GTATCTTGTACATACGCGTGTACTAAGTGCGTGTTATTTAACAGGAGCGCTTGTGCTGCATTCACACGACAATGATGAAAAAAAGCACTCACCTCCCCGTAGACAAACAACAGCAGCAGCAGCAAATTCAACCGCGGGCCTCACTGTGTAAGACAACGCCGCTGGATGGCATCTCACGCAGTCCCCATCACGCCTGTGTTCCCATCACGCCTGCGTTCCGATGACGAATTCCAACATTAAAAAAAATACAACGCTGCCGTCGCAATGATTTTGCGAAGCGTTCCCCCGTCTCCGCACGGGAAGCTGACGACAACACGACACCGGTGCTGCTGCTGCTGGTGGTGATGATGATGATGACGACGGCCGCCTTCCCCCTCCCGCTGCTGCTGCTTTTGTGTAGCGAGGCGGAGCGATCCAGCCCGACCTGCACCCACTCTTGGCACTGGCGGCCGGGCGGGCGGGCGTCAGTTGTCGCTCCGGTCACAGGGAGGGGATTCCTTTTCCCCGCCCAAAGCTTTTGCTGGGCTAAGCTCCAATAAAAATATATATATTCACCCCCCACCCACCCACCACCACCCCCCACCCACCCACAACCACCCCCCACCCACCCACAACCACCCCCCACCCACCCACAACCACCCCCCACCCACCCACAACCACCCCCCCACCCACCCACAACACCGCCCCCACCCACAACACCCCCCCCCACCCACCCACAACCACCCCCCACCCACCCACAACCACCCCCCCACCCACCCACAACACCGCCCCCACCCACAACACCCCCCCCCACCCACCCACAACCACCCCCCACCCACCCACAACCACCCACCACCCGACGAATAAGTTGGTTATTCAAATAAAGGTTTTGAAATTGCATTTGACAGATTTATACCGTCATAATTTTCCCCACTTTAGATCAGGGAGCGAGGACTGTGCTGAATAAACGTGTCCCTATTTACTTTGAATAAACAAGAGAAGAGAATAAGGTTTAAGTTGAGTCATACCTCCTACTTCTAAATTGAAACATTTTAATGTTCAGATAGTTGTGCCTATGGTTTAATGTTACATTGACTTAAGTAATTTCAATACGTTGAACCAATGAATTCACCAACGTAACTATATATTGAGGTCAGATACCACTATTAATAACTTTGGCACTCAGAGCAAATATCTACTTTAGTGAATTTTAGCAATTGGAAAACAGGATATTTTTTTCTCAGGTCTTGTACCCCTGCTTATCTCTATTGAGCCGATGGTGGAAATTCCACGTTCACGCGGCAGGATAATTGTATCGATATGGGAGCTGTAGTTCTTTAAAACTATGTGGTGCTCATTTTTGTTTTACCTGCCTTGGACAGGCGATGGCGATCAAGATGGCATTTTACATTCCTAACAAATGCGGGCCCAGAATTTCAACTGCCATTCCACGGGGGCACGACTCACCAAAAATGCGAAGTTCAATCTGGCTTCTACTGCGTGGATGGTGGCGTCGAGGCGAATGTAGCGCAAGTATGCAACGGTCTTACGCGACATGCTGGCGTGGCGTACCTGACCAGGTGAGACAGTCTACAAGCCGCGGGTTCACAACTGCATTGCGACGTGCACATGAATGTACATCATGCACGATGAGTGGTCGAACCGTTTTTTGACGTGAACAGATGATGACACGTGCCTCAGACCTTGACCTTAAAAAACCAGCCAAGCCCTACCAAACAGAAGTGTATCTAACAAATTAAAGGGAACATTGGCAATGGTGTAGAATTGCAAAATACAGCACCACACGTGTCATTAACATTATCTTACAACAGTGACCATATATGCTGACATTTTTTATGGCAATGGCCCTTGTTTCAGAGGAAAGGTCCAATTTGCATGGCTCCTCTGAAAAAAGGTAACTGCCTGAAACGTCAACTTCTTACGGTTTTTTTTCAGCAATGTCAACGATGAATGCGATGGTCGGGAGGGTGGATCGCATACGGATGAGTTATAAAACCCACAAGTTGTGGCACGCGTTAGACTCCTGCTGGAAATAATCCCGAGTCTGACCACGCATCCAATATGGAGCTCAGTGCTTCATGTGGAAAGCCGCTCAAGCGCCTGCAAAAACGCCACAAAGAGCAGCAATGAATATTCTTTGGGTCTGTCGGTAAAGTCACGTAAAAAGGTTTAAATTAATACAAATTAAATAAACAAAAAACTACGACGTTTCGATCACAACACAAGCGATCGTCATAATGTTTTTCCTCCTGATGACGATCGTTTGCGTTGTGATCGAAACGTCGTAGTTTTCATTTTTATTAATTTAAACCTATCTACGTGATTCATATTATTGGTTCTTTCGGTAAAGTCCCGTAGAAGGGAAATAATGAAAATAAAACATATAATAAAATTATCACGTTTCGTGGCCGAAAGAACCAAGAATATGAATCCCTGCAGTCTTGAAAGCTTGAAATCGAAATCTATCTACGTGACTTTACCGAAAGACCCAAAGAATATGAATTCCTGCAGTCACGAAAGCTTTAAGTCAGGAGCAATGATTGTTCACGAGCACTCCTTCAACAGACGGCAAGGTGTCCACAAAATTCGTCAAGTGTCCACACAGCTTCTCCTTGTAAAATAACAAATCACTTGCAGTCGTAACAGACTCTCACATTTGTTATAAGCAATATATTGAGACTCCGCAAAACATTCCTCATTCAACAATGTGTGTATTGTTTCTTAATATAGCAACACATTGATTTAGGTATTAAACGCAGGAATGAGCAGTACAATTATCTACGTGGATTCCACTTTTATAACAAACTTGCATTTTAAAAACCACTACCAATCATTCGCCATTAAGTGACGGTGTCGTCACCACGCCGCCTGTGCCAGGCCAGGTGCACTGAGGCCACGTGAAGTGTCGAAGGCTCCCTGACCGGTCCGGGCACAGACCCAGGTGCCATGGGTTGACTGTGATGACTGACAGATGCATCAGCTCTGCCCCCCCCCCACTACTGTGCATAAAAAAAAGATTCCCCATACAGACTTAACAGACTGTTCTGGTAAGTGCTGTTAGCGAGCAGCGATGAAGGCCGGAACGGCACACGAGGGAGCGGGAATTGGAACTCGGGTCGACGGGTTCATAACGCAGCGCGCTAATCGCTACACTACCGCTCTCACACACACACAACTACCCCTTGTGGAAAAACACGCCAATTTCACATGCAGCCTGACCACACCGGAAACAAACATTCAGACACGGGGAGGCATGGGTTAGGGATGCACTGCAAATGTATTAAGGAACATAAGAGGGGGGGCGGGGGGGGGGGGAAGTAAAACAAAATAATAATGAACGGAAACGGGGTCACATTTATTAGAGCGTGAACGCGCAGTTGTTTGCATGCCCGGCGTAAGGGGCCGGTTCGCAGTTCACCACTCCACCGTGGCCCATAATGCCCTATACAATGGCAGCATCATCATACTGAAACAATGGTAAAGCAAACAACTTTAAATATATTTATAATATATCAATACAGCTTAAAAGGACACATTTAGCAGAAAGTGGGAGCGAGCAAACAAAAAAAAGCCAAAAATATTTAACAGAACCGAAAAAAATAAAGGTAAAAAAAATATTGATTAGCGTCAGCTAACAAAAAAAGTACGGGTTTAGTTTCATTTTTGCTCAGCACAATGATGGTCCAGTTCATACAAATGTTTTGGGAATTCAACAACAAAATTAATCATAAAAAGATTTTTTTCTTTTTAACTGACAGACGTATATTAAGCAAACTGGCAGTAAACAGCACCAGTAAGATAGAGAGCTTGGTCACATGTAAAAACACAGTGTGAGGCGGTGCATTGTTATACAACACCAGCTCTAGAATAACACACAGAAAACAACATACCCCCCCCACCACCCACAGGAGACAATGGTCAGCAATTTCCCCTAATGAACACCCCCCACCCCCCTTTCTCCGAAACTGGCGAAATGTTGAGCAGCAGCGTTATCACAACTGTGTACAACCAAGTCTCTCCCGCCAATTGTTCCCTAGCAGTGATCATTACCACGCACGCAGGCTTCCTTGCACACCCGAGGAAATAAAAAAAACACCTCTAGGCACTACAATAATTATAGTAAATGAAATAAACAATTATAGTACGTAAATCTACCCCCAAAAAAAACCATGAAGCTTTTCAGTAAATAATGGCATGTTCTATGTTGTGTTTCTTAAATCTTATTACAAACAGCTCCGATATACACTAAAATGTCAAGATATGCTGTATATTATTTGTAGAGAATAACCTGATGACATTGTGCAAAGTCTAAAACGGATTCATCTTGTACCACCTGTGGGGTAGCGGTGGACGCAGGCGAACGTCACACCAATGCATTTGTTAATAAAAGTACACGGGGCTGTCACAAAGCCTTCCCACACAAATTACGACTGATGAAGGAATCGATGTTATCGGGCCTGCAAACAAATCAAGACGTGGAACGCTGAGCATCTGAGTTCACCGTGGCGAAAAGTCCATACACTTTTTCGTTCCTACGGCGTTCAATGACCTGTCGCTTTCACACCTCTCTCGGTTTTTTTTGTTTTACTCAATCCCCGCACCCCCCATTCCTACATTGCTGCCAATATAGGGGGAAGGAATCTTATAGGGTTTTTTTTTAACTCGCCAGCTTAAAACTAGTAGGTTGTGCAAGCCACCGACAGTTAATCGCATCGAGCCAAAGCGCATTGATGTAATAAGAGTAAAAAGCTACAAATGCACCGAAAAGTCCCAAATTTGCAAGAACAAAAAGACAACCGATGATTGCAGTGGTGTTTTGGTTAGCGAAATCAAGTACCCACGCCTTTCACGTCATGTTCATGCGTTGGCCTCAAACTAAAGTGTTGGTGTAACGAGTGGCTGTGGTGTCCCCCGCACGCACGCGCGCGCGCGAGAAGGGGACAGTTTGATATGCAGGCCATTGTCACGTTTATATAAATACACACACACACATTTATATGGTATATAATGAAAAACAATGGCACCTTTATAAGTAACATATGTAAGGAAATTATGAATTTGAAAAAATTGCATCACAGGTGTGGACAATTCCAAGCGTCGCAGGCCAAGTCTGCCTTTCCGAATCAACCAATTAGCTGAATGTATCGAATTCACAAGTGAATGGAGGACAGTGAATCACATACAAAAGGTGGACCTTTGTCCAGCTTATTAGGCCTGGAGTTGCTTGTCTGCATTAACACACATTTTAGTAGATAGGCTCGGCTGATACGCTAGTCTTTGGTACACATCTTGTCCAGTAGCCAAGCTTGGTTGCTCACAGAAAGAATGCACGACGACATTGCCAGATGCTGGATTGGATTTGCTTGGTAAGCTGGACTAGATTTTAATCCCAATGACTGGCATTTGGAAAATTACCAAAAAAGCACTATCTGCCAAAATGTTGATTGATTTCAATTTACTTTTTTTTTTGGACAACCATTGCTTCTTGAGGAAACCATTAAGTAACATGTCATGATTTGTTACCTGCAAATTCAAGCCCATACACATGCCAGGAATTAATATTGCGATAAGTTCTCAACTCCAGTATTTATGCCCCCAACCCAAAAAAAAACAGACGTGATCCAGTTTTTTTTTACTGTCCAGCAACTACCAGACCGAGAACAACGTAATATAATTAATTGTGTTAATATTATGTAATATTATTGCAATTAACATATCAACTGCCATCTGGCGAGTGCACGGGACCTGCCGATGTTAGACTTAAATAGCGGAGAGCCTGGACGACCGTGAATGACCGGAGCTTTTGAGATAGGCTGTAAGCAGTGGCTTTTACACGAGTATGTAATAGCGAAACCAAATGGCATTGCAGTAAAACGTAAATTGGCCTTATTGAGTGTACCCTCGGCGGTAAACAACACACACACCGCCCGGCAAACCCTGGCAAAAAAAAGCAACAGTCCAATCTGGAACGGCCACAAACAAGCTTTGCAATCCATGTCTTTTTTTGTTTAACCCGTCTCAGGCTGTATATTTTCCTATTGCTTGTACAGTACTTGTCCATATAGTGCATTATAGTCGGCATAGGAATGTAACCATATATAGAAACACACCTCATACATCTTAACACAGTACTAAGTGCATCGCTACAGTAATGTATACGTCAGCTGACCTGTTAAAGTGTCAAGTAAGTCTATAACATGCAATTAAAAACTGAGCGAAATAATGCGCGACTGTGGTTGGCATAGTGTATAGGCTTTTTTTTTGTTTGATACACAATGAATACTTTTTTTTAACAGCTGTTGATATCGTAGACTTCAGTTTAAATTGTTTGTCGTCAACTTAAGTGCACACACGTTTGTCAAGATATCAGGGCAAGCAATAGCCGAAAGGTGGATGCATTTTTACATTGTGCCATGAGAGAGCAAATAAAAAAAACCATCGCCGCTTAAAAGGTATATTTTGTTTGTTTGTTTAATATAACGAGACGGAGAAGCAATGGTCAACGTGAAATGAATGCAACATGCTGCGGCAGCCCCCACCCCGAATCAAGTGTGCAGCGGCGACACCACTGCGATAATAATAATGGAAGTTCTGTTCTTGGTCGATTAAAGAGGTACTTTATGTAACTTTTTTTTTCATTTTTCTTCTTTTCCCCTAAACTTTTGTTTTGCAAAAATAGTCGCTTCGGAGTTATTGCACATTCAGTGAAATATCACAAGACGAAAAACTGTTACGCTGCTGCGTGGAAGCAGCCCAGTCTCGCCGTGCCTGTTTTAGATCGGACCCACAACACACACACACAGCAGCATCAGCAGCTACCTGCGAATACAATACGTTAAAACAAAGCTGGCTTTAAAGTATTTATTTAACTTTACTTATTCAAAGTTTATTTTTGTTTGCTTTTTTGTTTTTTTATTTCTTAAATCATCTATTGCATATTACAAATTATTTTCTGCCTCTGTTGGTAAACACAATATGGCACCATTGTTGTCTTTCCACCTTCCCAATCTGGCTGAACCCATCACATATCATCATGTCTGTCTCTCTCTCTCATTTCTCCAAACGCACACCCCCCCCCCTGCTTGCTACAACACGACTCTCCATCCCCGACAATGGCTGCAAGCTCCGATGAAGAAATGCTTGTGGGGAACCTCGTTGTGTAGCAAGAACGGTCTCTGTCAACGGAATTAGTCAAAGTATTGACAAAAAGGCACTTTGACAAGGTTTTACATTTTGGGGCGAGCAGAGAAACAACCACCACCCACCACCCCCCACCCCCACACGGCACCGGTATCGCCGTCATGCGTCGAATAAAAATTCGACGACAAATCGGTAATGAAATAAAAAAACAAAACTACAACAAAAATACTGACTTCATTGGCTCTGCTGTTTTTTTTGTTGTTGTTGTTGTCAACCGACTGAAAAAAAAGAAATGCGATGAGATAACGGAACAAAAAAATAATCGTCGCCGCAACAATACCACCGAGGGACAGGGGAATCACAAATTGCAAACCTAACATTTAGGAAAATGTTTGCATTTACGCAATTTGTTCTGAATGAATGCAACGTTATTCAACACCCAGCTTAACTGCTTAGATTTCCTGTTGGGGGTTTTTTTTTCTCTTCCTCTTTTCGGCATAGCAAATCACAGCGTTAATTGAAAGCATGTTTAATTCGTTACAAAAGATATTTCGCTGAACGCTTGTTGTTGTTGTTGTGTGTGACCTACGCCAATATAAAATACAACTTTTAGTTTAGTACCACGTAAATTGTAGCACAGCCTGCACCCTTCAATATGGGAATACAATATACCGGTAGTTATTCCCTCTGCCAGCTGCCTGGTTGTACACTCATTCTCAAATGTACGTCGTGTATAAATAAGATATTACATTCACACAATGGCGAATCTTCATTGGAGTCAAAGTGAGTGTGCGTACACAATCCGAGTATGAACACTTTTCACTTGAAAAGCAGCAAAAACCCAGGGTTACCTTGAACTTTAAAAAAAAAAATCTTCCTTGCCTACGAATACTATACCGAAGACCAATTAGCCCTTGATTTGTAGACAATTTGCATAACCACAGCCATTGTTCTAGGTCACAATCATACGAGGAAACGTGCATTTCAGCCGATATCCTCAAACTGCGGGCAGCGATGACCACTTGCAGGACTTTTAAGAGGACAACTTTTATCCCCAAAACAAGATACCTAGGGGTTGTCAAATTCATCAAGGACCCGACCTGGCAGTTGGTAAGCAAGTGGCAATTGGGAGAGGTAACAGGAACAAGGTTTGCATTTGTGTTTACACGGGACCTGGTTCTGGGGATGACTTTTAAAACAACGCAGTCCATCAGGAAATGTTGCACCGAACGACTGTGCTATACGTGATTGGTTGAGGAAGGTATCCCTGAAAACAGAATACGACGAACGGATAACGGAGATGATCGCTGCTGTTTTTTCTTTCCCCCCTGCTCCCCCCCATTCGTAAAAACTTTGCTCTCACAATAAAGGTTCGCCAGTATAGCGCAAACTCGTCCGTGTGCTTGTCCAGCCTTGCATTACTGTGAGAGCGCTCCTCTTGCCGACCGGAAGCCGACGATGCTCCCCCACAGCCACTGGGAACGGGTGCACACGCGCGCACGGCAGCGAGCAAACGAACGACATTCCCACGCACGCGCGCGCGCACACGCACGCACGAGCCAAACATACGCCTCGTAACGCTACAGATTCATGCTATACACTTGGCCAGTATTTTGTGCAGCATTCAGGGCTTGACATCAGGGCCACACGCGGCTTGGCTCACGAGATACAATTAAAAATAAATAGGTTTGCAATTTTGAGAAGTACAAAAGTGCAGCATTACAGAAAAGCGTACGTCACACACCGACTGTACATAGTGTTACATCGACACACACGGAGAGGCATTTTTTTTTTAAATCAGTTGCTTTTGACCCAGGTTTAAGGCATGTATAGAAAACACTATTCGACGAGCTCTAAACAAAATCTGCCCTGCACACCTTTCCAAAACCTTCAGTAGTATAGGTTCTTATCGAACGGGTGCAAGGAAGCAAGGCAATGAGCCTCAAATTGCCCATACCACAGCACCAGATTTCACCGCACCCCCCCAATTATCAATGGAGTGCCGCAAATGAACAGACTTTGCGCGCTCAATATGTTGCGCGTATAAACCCTTCGCTTCTGCCCATGCCTCACCATCGTATGGAGCCCCGTTCTATAAAATGATAACGCACACTGCAAACACCAATTGCAGTCTCAACAAGTGTACAGCCCTGTACCAAAGAGACAGCTTAGCATAATTGTTCACAATCATAAAAAGGAATTGTTATCTTGCCTGTAAACAGCACTTCTGTTACTTTCTTGGCATTCCACAATGCACGATTCAAAATAAACATAATTCAATGAGGTAGCTCGACAACACTATGAATATTGTATTTCGCCACTTTTTTCTGTTTATATTCGCTATTGAAAGTTGTAGTATAGTTGAAACTTGAGAAAGTCACTGAAAAATTGTATAGCAGTTTGGTTGATCTGTAGTCTTTTGGAAATGGAAAACTAAATTATGGCAATAACACAAATGGAAACATTTACACTCTTTTCAATGGTACTGCTACCACTTTTTGGTGCCGACTTTTTAAGTTGGTAGTGCACGATTAAGTAGCGGGTTGGTTTGGGTCTAGCAAAAGTAGATTGTACGTGCGTTCCTTGTTCCAAGCAAGACCCCTTTAATACTGCATGCCGATCTAGCACACACACTTGCTGGACTCTCCCAGCCAGAGGAGGGGAAATTCACGGCGCGGATATAACTTCATGATCTTCTAAAAAGATTTGGATGAACAGAAGCACCCCAAGGCAGACAACTCTTGATGGGTACGTGTATTTGGATTGGATAATTACTCTTAATTGAGCTTTCCAAATGCGTTTAGATCCGAGTTTTCCCAACTGCATCAACAGGGAAACCAAACCGACATAAGACTGCATCTGCATGGATTGGATTTGCGCTATCTCACCCACACGGTACGTTATGCTTTAAGGTTAACCATTTGGGCCATAGCCGTGAGATCTTAGCAAGGCTAATGACAGCAGACCTTCGTTTGTCAAAAAATGTACTGGCATATTGCCATGTGATGAAATGTTCTAGCACGTGGATCTGTGGTAATGTCTGCTTGTTCTCAAAAAATACTTGGCAGTCAACTAAAAATTTAACTTTGTTTTATTTTACCAAGGCCCACTGTGAGCTATAGAGCTCTTTTCCAAAAGTGACCTGGCCACAAATGATAGCTCAAAAAAGTGGCTCATCACGTGGAAATGTATAGCAGCCAAATACTCTAAAAACGTTTCTTAATGTGGAAGGACTAGCCGAAGGACCTGGAGAAAAATCCATGTACCCATGTGGAGGACATGCAAACTCCAAATATACAGGCGTCAGCGTTAGGATCGAGCCCACAGACCTCATGCATGATTTATTGACGTCCAACCAAAAAATATTTTTTGTAAACTACTCTCTTTGTAGGCAGTACATAAAATCAAATGCTCGAAAAAGAACACTCCTGCTTGTATTGCATTTAGAATTTGAGTTTAGATTTGAATCGAATTGTATGATGCATGGTCTCTGGAGTGGAATCCTTAACTCTCTTAAGCCAGTAAGGAAGCGTTTGGATAATCAAGTGAATTCCTTATGGTATGGACACAGATAAACTGTTCCTTTACCATTTTGAAAGCATTTTAATTAAGGCTGGTTATATGGTTGTTCAATAATATTGATAATTAGTGCATTTAATTATAGAAAATAATATACAGCCTGAAATTAAAAGTTCATAGGGTTAATAAATGGATACAAGGAAGTAGATGCATCAGAGCAAGATGCCAAATTTGAAAGGGCATCAGGACAAGCCACAAGATTTACTTCTATATAGGAAAGGATATCCATTGTCAATGTTCATCTGTTGACAATTAAAAAAAAAATCCTGCTTCGATGGTTAGACAGTGCAAAACAGATCCAAGTCAATGTTTTTTTTTTCATTTTAACAGAAGTGCAATGAATATTTACGCTCAAATCGCAAAAGCCAAGTTCGTCAATTTGCAGCTCTCAATCTCTGTACATCTGCCAGCTTGCTATCATTTCAGCCGCCACCCAGTGAATGAATCCTTCCTAGTTACGATGTGCACCTCAGTCGTAATTATTGCGATGCGCCAAAAACAAAGAAGAGTACCCGTTAACTCCAATATATTGCTAAGTTTTCTAAGGTACAGGGCTGTAACACCATGCTCACCATGCGCTCTAAACACCCTCCCCCAATTTGCCTCTACCTCCACAGTCTTCGGTTGCGCAACTTCCCGAGCATTCCATTCACCTTGTGGTGTAATTGCTGTGCAGTACAAACACCTTCAGCTGTCAGAAATTGAAGATTTCTAAATAAACTCGATTTCCAGTATGGGTTTTGATGATTTCTTTAGTTATCATTATACTGCTGGTGGGAACAAGGCTCAAGGAATGATTTGGTGCTCAGTATTCAGAAAGGACTTAGAAACTGTCATTAAGAAAACAACACGCTGGAGATATGCACTAAATGGAATAAGCTTTTAACATGCAACTTATTTATAGAAATATTTTTTTTTGTTATTCTCGTTCAATTCTTTCTTTTACAAACTGCATCACCGACGCCTCGGTCCGTTCAATAAGCACATTCTGAATTCTCTCTCAAGCACCAGCACAATCATCACTTCCGTCTCAAAGTGAAAACTATTCTACCTCCAGTACCAATTCAGCCTCATCCAAACTCATGAATCCACCCCCCCCCCCACTTCGTTATTTTTGCCTTGCCCGTACTCGGCACGTGGCCAGTGAAAGGTCAATGGGCAAACGAGCTCCGTCAGTGTACGAGCGCTGATAACCGGCCACGCTCGTTTGAAATAGCCTCATTTTCTGCCCGATAAACGCCACTTGCATGTACTTCACAATGGTTGACAATAACTGGTACCGAAGCTATAACCACAGACACAAAAAAACATGACCCATCTTTTACCACCAGATTCTGAAGTTGACTAGCTAAAAGCGAGATCAAGTGCAAGTTTTGGAGAATTATGCAAGTGTGCTTTTTTCTTTTTTTTTCCTACGAAACACGGGATTGTGTCACGTAGTTGTACAGTGTCGTTTGTTTTTTTTTTTTTACGGTTTTATATTTTTATTAAATTTAACTTTACGCCAAACCCCACCTGAAGCGGGCTGTAAACTAAGAGCATGCGTTCATGGCAAGGCCACTGCACACCGCGGCAAAGAGTAGCAAAATGAGAAGTTACAAGCACAATGCGTTTTTACATCTTTCTCCAACTCTTTTTTCTCTCTGTACAGCAAAAAAAAAAAGCCAAGCCGGTGGAGACCCTGATGAATCACAGTACCCTGCCCGTGCGGCGGTTTAGGGAAGCGAGGGGGTGGGGCGGAGGCTTTAAGTGGTAAAACAACCTCATTTGTAACGGAGCACATTCCCCCTTTCAAAACGATTTTTTTTTCCATGCGCTCGATATTGATGCTACTCGCAAGCTAAGGGCACCGGAGCGTGCGCCACTCGTTCAAGTTGCATTGTGTATTTTTTTTTTTAAAATAAGATAAAAAATAAAATATATATATTAAAATTATGTTCAACCATACACAGTGTTCGAATGGGGAATAGTCTGGCCAGAGTGTAGGTTAAAAGGGGAGGGGGGGGTGGGGCATTTGGCTCATTAGGTTCATTAAATACATTGCTCTAGGCTCTGTCGAAGCCTAAATCGCGTAGGGGCGGTGGTGCCGTGTGGTTGTCACCTGGCCCCCTCCCCCTGCCTATGGCTTGCTTTGTGGAAGTGGGATAATGGGAGATGAGGTACCCCCATCTTCCATTCTGCAGGTAAAGGAGGTCAGGTGCGAGCAGAGGACTCCACTCATCACCGCCCCAGAGCCGAACACCGAATCTCAGCTTGCGCTGTCCCCTCCCCGTGCCAGCAACCCAATCCCTGTTCATTCGACCGCAGCTCAAGGCAATGGATTAAGGTAACGGATGTGTGTGTGTGTTTCTTATTACCATTATTTTCTTTATGGTTTACCGTAAAGATTTTTTATTCTTAAAGCCAACAGGAGGTAATATCACACACCCTGGCCCCCCTAAACCTTCTTTCCGGTGGGCAGCAATTGCAGCAAAAGGCAATGGATGGGAGTTCTCATCCCCTTCTCTCTCCTCCCTGCCTGCGCTGGGGCCGTCAATCTGTCTGTCCAGCCGGCCGTGCATCTGTCCGGCGAACTCAGGCGAAGTACATGGTGCGCAGCGTGTCCTGGTGGACCTGAACCGCCTTGGCCAGTGCCTGGGGGTCGCGTCCGTTGCCCTGACCCGAGGCGTGGCTGCCCTCCGCACTGCTTCACACACACACACACGTGCGTGCAGACACACACACACACAGGTGCGCGCAAGCAAGCCGTTGAGACGGCCGTTGGCGCACGAGTGCATGGGCACACAGACATCCGATTAGATTCCCACATACAGCCTGCAAAAAACAACCACTGTATTTATGTTATCCCAGAAAGCTTTACTGGAGCTCAGGACTTTAAAAAAGGGGTCCAGCATGAGAATATTTGGCCAAATTAAAGTGTTTTGATCGAGGGAGGAAGCCGAAGCATCCAGAGAAAATCCACCATTCGCTGGAAGAAGACTTAAAAAGGGCTCTGCCCAGAAAGGGTTAGGAACGAACTTTCAATACTGCCATTGATAACTTCGTAGCAAAGCAGATTTTGGGGTGTCAGAAATGTACACGATCCATCAACCCTTTCCTCCGAAAAAATCACTCGCGCCACCACACTTGATTTGAAATGCGTCAATGTACTGCAGTCAACTTCTCAAACAGAGATGCAAATGATTTGATTTAAACAAACGGGTGCCAGACAATCGTCGCCACACACGCGCACGCTCCAATGGGAACGCTTGAGACATCGCGGCCGCTGGTTGGTGCCCATGCTCACCTGTCATACTCCTTGTCGACCAGGTGGTATCGCGCTCGGAAGGCAACCAGGTGGGCGTAGTAGGCGGGCGCGGGGATGGACACGGATCGCGTGCATCGCACGTACGTGTGGCACAGCTGGTAGGTGAGCACCTGCAGCTCATCCGCCGAGAAGTGATTGTCGTCCCAAAGCACGTGGTAGTGCGAGGGGCGACTTGTGCCCTGCGAACGCGCACGCATCGCAGGTTTGACAGCAAACCCATCAGCATTGACAACCGGGTAATGTATGTAACCGTATTTCCTAACATTACAATTTTATTTTGATAAGTTAACTATTGTTCACTTGTAGATGTTAGCCACTTTCAGCTGCAGAAGAGCTGCCTTCTCTGTCTAAGGAAAACTGGAATAAAATTAAATAAGAGGCTGATGGTACGGAGCAACGTTCCAATATTCCCAACATAGAGCGATGTATTAGTTATTAAAAGTCAAATATTTATTCTATTACATGATTGTGGGATCGTTGGAACTCACGGAATTGGTAGCATTTTATTTTTAATGTGTGCCATCTAGTGGTGAATCTTGAAAATTGGCACTATAATCCAAAAAGACCCAAATGTAAATCCAAACAACCTTGACCAATTCTATTGAGCAGCAGGAGCATCCTCCGATTAGCACGGTTGGCTACATACGGTGCGAAAGAAGTTCAACACGCATGCATGCATACCCTGGTGGGTAGCACCATGGGCCCCAGCACACAGGAAAGTCAAATGTATTCATGGGTCCGTAGAAAAGGAGCTTAGACAGGTACTATGTATTTTTTGACTGCAATTCACCTTCTTCATCAAGCTCTATTACATGAAAAAAATTATCGTTAAATCTAGTCCATTTTTGTTTTAGCTTTTTATATTGTTGTATCCTAATTTACTTGCTGCAATCCCAGGTACCCATTGCAAGAGAAGCAACGAGTCACGTGTCTGAATAGGCATGTCTTTCAGCCCCTCGATAAATAGAAGCTGCTACGACTACCGCTTAAGGCCCCGGGGCCTCTCAGACCCTTCAAAAGATTCGCTGGCAAACGAACCTTCAAAAGTATGTATGCTGAACTTCTTTCGTACCATACATAGCCAACCGTGCTAATCGGAGGTGCGGGAGGACAACAAAACTAAACGCAAAAAGCAGTGCTGAAAAAATTCGTTTTCAATTTCGACGATTTAAAAGTGCATCGCTCCAGTGCCTTCCTAATATCGCAAAGGAAGAACGTTCCAGACGGCCGCAGAAGCCCATCTGAAAGCGCTCGGCACGATGCGGTGCCGGTCAATCACCTGGATGCCCGCGTGGCTGCAGAGGTAGAAGTCGAACTCCGTCGGGTGCGTAATCTTTGTGTCGACTGTTGTGCCCGCGGGTATGTTGCCACTCTTCCCGATCTGATGACGAACGAAGAAGAGGGGGAAACAATTATAAACCAACTGTCCACATTTCCAGTCAACAGTCTTGGAAGCATCCATCCATCCCCCCCCCCCACCGCTGGTGCCTTTAGTAGGCAGTTCGTTTTTCTGGTAAATAATATATTTTTTTAAACAGTCACAAAACTTGAACAAAGTCAAGACTGTGTCGGTGCCAGTACCTAAAATGTTAAATTTACATTTACTGTAACTCTCTCCTACTCGATCTCCCAGCATATGCATTCATTCCACTTCAACAGATCCAAAATACATCTGCACGTTTCATTTAGAAACTACCACACGACTTTGTCTTCTTGGTTCTTTCGGTAAAGTCACCACGTAGAAAGGAAATAAAATGATAAAAAATAAAACATAATAAAATAAGATTCTCACGACGTTTCGGCCACAACACAAGTAGCCTTCTTCAGGTGAATAAACAGGACTGTCCAGAAGACGGCGCTTGAGTGAACATTGCCAAGCATGGACCGCGTCTTTTACACACACTGCCGCCGCACCTCCGCCCATCTTATAGAAGTGCATTTCATCTTATAGAAATGCACTGGCTCCTCATCTACTGCCAGTGTCTATTCAAGCTCCTGACACGCTGGTATTTAAATCTCTTCATGGCCTCGCTTCCCTCGTCTCGTTTCACGTCCCCTCCCGCCCACTCTCAATCTCTCCTACTCCTAACTGTCCCCCCCCCCCATGTCCTTGCGCACAATCCTGTTTCGGCTCCTTTTCCCGACTTGGCCCCCTTGCACTGGAACAAACTTCCCCTCCACATTAAGCGAGAAGCACCCTCCCTCAAGACCCACCTCTTCTCCCTGGCCCATCCTTCCCTCCATCCTTAGGCACCCCCGTAATTCCGGTACCCACAAACCACCCTCCCCATACCCTATCCCTATTCACCGTATCACTTTTAGTTACCCTAATTGTACCACTCATAACCCTTGTGAAGCACCTTGGATTAATAAATGCGCTATATAAATATAAGATAAGAACACCTTAGTCATTTGAACATCACTACCTGGTAAATCACATAAAGGAATGACTTATCAAAAATTAAAATTGTAACATTCCACTCTTAATGACACAATTTCTAACAATATTTGGAAAGCACCTTCAAGCTAGCCTAAGATTATAATCAGACAGGAATTGAACCTCACTGTAAACTAGTTAATACTAAAAGTGGCAACTCAATAACAGAATTTCATGAACAATCCCAAAACTTCTTTGGTTCTTTCGGTAAATTCACGTAGAATGAGACAGGTCTGTTCCTTTCACCTGAAGAAGGCCACTTGTGTTGTGGCCGAAACGTCGTGAGAATTTTATTGTGTTATTTTATTTTATTAATATCTGATTTTATTCTCATTCTACGTGACTTTACCGAAAGAACCAAACAAGATGAATCCTTGCAGTCACGAAAGCTTTAAATCGAAATCCCAAAACTATATGAGATTATAAAGTGTTTGTTTGCCCAGAGAGCAAGCAGGAGATTTACAAGCATCACTAACCCTCTCATTGCGGTCGGCGCAGAAGAGGCGAGTGTGGTGGCGTTTCTGTACAACGATGAAGGTGATTCCTGGCCGATACTCCTTCTCTAGCCTGATGCACGCCTCGCGGATGGCGAGCAGCTCGTGGTATAGAACCTGGGGGCGTCAAAAAGGGGACGCGCGCAACACAACCGACGTCAAGAGGATGCACGAAAAACACAAAGACTCGCGATCTATTTTTTTCTTCCTTACTCAGGTCGATTTGCGTAAAACTCGCCGAGCTGCGAGATGGGGATGGACTTTGCTGAACTTTGAGCAAACCTGTTTCTTCCCAAAAATAAATTCTCTAGATTTTTATCAATGTGGCAACAACTGCCACCAACACAGCTGGTGCGGTGGCTGAAACGGCTCATGCGTGGGCAAATGCCCCCACAACCTAAATTAACTCATTTGTATTTTTGTTATAAGTTAAAACATTTTGCTCATCAGTTAACTTTTTTGCTCCACATCACCCCCCACCCCACCACCACCCCCACAAATTCTCCAAACGGCATTTTCATATACTTTTTTTAATGTAGCAGCAATACAAATGAAAGTTTTAATGCAAAACATCCCTGAAAGAGAAATCAGCAAAAACAGCCACTTAACTTGTTTTTTTTTTATCTTTGCAAAGCATGAAACTGTATGTCAGACAGGCCAAGGCACAGCTTAGGCATGAACCTTCTACAATAACCAGGCCGGCTGTTTTTGTGGGGTCTCGTGGTTTATCGAGTACAGGACAATGCAAAGCACACGGCGGCGACACGCAATCGCAGCGGGCACCTGCTGGAACTGGCCCTCGGAGACGCCGTCGCGGTAGAAGATGATGCGCGTGGGCTTGAAGCGTGTAGACTTGTAGAACTGGATGAGCAGCTCGCGCACCATGGACGAGAGGTCGTGGATGATCTCCTGCCGGTGCTGCTGCACACGCACCGTGGCGCAATAGCGGCTCGGGTGGGCATCCATGCTACCCACCACCTGCAAGCGTACACCGCGCACACCGACGCCTTGAATACCTCTCTTCAAAAAAAGAACTGGCTAGCCCCTTGTGCACGGGTAGAGCTCTTTTTAAAAAAAAAAAAAAGGAGCGTACGACGAAATTTGGTAAAATGGGAATGGCTTCTCCGATTAATTTAATACCAAAAAATCAGGGGTGTGTTTTGGACAGTCATTCCAACTCTACTCCTAATCTATAAATATACACCTCGCGATTACTTTTCACAATACAAAAAAAAGCATAAGTATTAAATTGAGTGCATAACAATTACTTAAAAAAAAAATGCACCTTTTCAGGGAGCTCACCAAGAGATATGCTGCATGCTGGAATGACTAGAAAGGTGATGCGGAGGCATTACTGTTGCACTCGAGTGATATTGTGACACTGTCGCGGGTGGATGACGCAGCCTCCCGGGTGGTTCTTGTTTGATCCCATGGCGCGTGCCGTAGTGAAATTTCGCTCACACGGAAACTCGATTGCGCTAATCGAAAAGTGTCCATAAATTGTCAATTGCGTTCATGCGACATTTCGCAAACCGAACATTCATAAATCGAGGGATACTTGGGATAATAAACATGTATCTGTCAGGCACGGCACTTTAAAAGTAATGTTCATCATACAGCCAAGTAGGGACTCGGTTTCACAAGAAATAACCAATGGACCTTTGAGCTGGATAACAAAAACAACTGGGATCCGACTGAAAATCACACCGTGAACCACCTGGGGGTGGACAAAGAACAAGGAACTTAAGACAACATATATAAACTAAAGCTTTCATTCATTGAGTAACTTTTACGAGGTACAAAGTAACAGTCATGGATGGTGAGGTCTAATGTGGCTTCAGGTCACTCAAGGCCTACTCCATTAAAAGCCTTTGGAGTCACATGGTCTCTCCGAACATTTGCCCATCAAACATGAAAATGTCCACACCAATAGATATACTTCACACTGAGACTGGGTTACACAATAAGTGGGTAAGATAAGGAATTCACAGATAGTACAACATATTTAAGTATTCTGGACTCGAGAGAAAAGAGCCACAAGATTGAACAAAAATCAGAAGGGAATATACTGGGCTTTAAGCCCTGATGTAAAAAGTTTCAGAAGGACAGGAAAAAGGAAGATTGTTTTTGGTTAAAAAACATAACTAAAGATCAATAAAGTAAATAAAGAAGAATATGAAATAACTATTACATTCAAATATGAAACTCAATACGAAACTACAACGCCCTTTTAAATATGTACATAACATGGAAATGCCAATGCCGACACTAAAATCACTACATGTAAAAGCTTGGCCTGGAACCACTTAACGTTAACGGAACAAGCAAACACAAAATATTAGGCGAGGGGACGAACCGCTGCTATTGAAGGCTTCTTTCCGTCTCCCGCTGGAGGGTGTGTCACATCGGCACCCAGGAATATCACAGGCTGCTGAAACACTGCAGGCCTGCCAGACGAACACACACACACCAACGCACATCGATCAACGCGCATTCCATCGTAGCTCGGCCAAAGCATAACATTTGCAAATAAATTGAGCAACACCAGAAAGCAAATGTTACAAGAACTGTGGTGACATCAAAGCTCTGGTAAAGCAAATGTCCAGCAGATATTATTACATTTCATTTGCATTCATAAAAAGGTATGCAAACATGAGCAGTGTGTACATTACACTGCATACACGCACCCACCGATGCAATCATGCAAAGTCAGAGGGAAGGTACCCTCATGATTCACATAGCTCAACGCTATTCTCTGAAACTCATATCACCATTATCAAGAGTGGCACAGCCAAGGGAGACCACCCAGTAGTTTTATGTATTGCTCGTGGCCACTCCACTTACCCATCAGATGTTAAACTTTTAATTAAAATAATCTTAATGAAGCATAAGTATTGCTTAACAGCAGGCACTACTGAGTGGAGTTGTAGTGATTTGTTCAAGCCGTGTCGTACCGTATGTGAGGCACAAGGATGTTGTTGACCCCACCGAGCTTGACGTTGATCTTGAGGCAAAGGTTTGAGAGGGTTTGAGGCGAGGTCTTGAGGACGTTCTTCACCTGCACGCACTGCGTGGCCATCCCCAGCAGTGTATCGCCGACCCGCTTCACCTCCGCTGCACGCATAACACGCACGCACACAAACGCCTCGTCAGCATGGCTAAAGTTGTCAGCAACTGTCGGGGGAAACGAGTGACTTGTGAGGCCATTAACAAGCCTGGCTCGGCTTTCCCATGAACTCAAACTGACGAGAGGCTCACTGCCAGGCACACGTGCCAAACGTACGTGGGTTGGGGATTGAAGCTTGGTTCCTCAAAGTGCATGACGCTAACCATGGCACATGCAATTTAAACACAGCAGAATGTACTCCTCTTCAATATTGTCTTGGGAGCTATTTGCTTGACACCCCGTCAATGGAGGCTATCAAGAGCATAGACTCTTAATGGTCACAATACCCCCAAGGCCAACTCTGTGCCCATCACTACGTCAAAAGCACCAACAGTAACAAGAAAAACCACACGCATGCATCGCTTCTGTAACGTTTTCCAACCTGCGTCTGTCTTTGGGCGTCTAACTAGCGATAATAACGGAACGTTTCAAACTCGCAGAAGATGACATCACACGGCACGCGACGTCGGGCAAGTGCGGTCTCCATGGGCATAAACGACTACAAAGCACACGTTGTACAAGCAACACGTGAGCAGCAGCGTTCCTCACCGTAGACGGGGGTCTTGCCAGGCAGGATGACCACAATGAGCTGCAGGCCCATGTAGGCATTCTTGAGGTGCCGAAACATGGGCTCCACATTCTCAGCTCCTTGTGCGTACTTGCAGAAGCATGGCTGACCCTGGATGGGCATGCCAGCGTCCTTCGAGATCTTTCTCAACTGGTCCGTGAAGTTCCTGCCGGTAAAGCACGTGAAAATAAATTAAATGCTGTAAAAACTCAACGTGCAGGTCACAGGCAGTTGGGCCTCAGCTAAGCGTTTAAGGTGAAGCTTGTTTAGTCCACTTTCAAGTCAATTTATGTTCATATAAAACCAGGACTGTTAGGCACTCCAAGATATCAACATTTTCAAATCTGTGGATTATATTAAGTTTTTAATTTAGGTTGCTTGCCTTTCAGTTGAAAGGTTGCTGGTGCAAATACCTAAACCAGTTCCCCTGTTAAAGCTCTGAAGGTTATCTAACAAGAAGACTGTTGTGGAGACCAGACATTGCAAGCTAACACTGTAACTATACAGGAATCCACAAACATTCATGTGTTGTAATCATGATGAAAATTCTAAAGCTAGTTACTGGCATTACCATCAGTCACACAGTCTGCTTAGGACCTACTACCATATTCTGCAGATAAGACACTTTCCCCGCCTGTATTTTAGAGCAAGAGTCGGGGGTGCGTTGTATAATACGACATGCGCGCTTCCAAATTTGTACAACTTGACATCGAGAATCACCTTTGTAGAGCGTCTTTCTTTTTAGTGCGTCTTATAATCCAAAGAATACAGCAATAAGCATAATTTAACAAGCCAAAAAACATTTGCCGGTCAATCGGCATGCTGGAGGTTAAAGTGGGCCAACACGAGGTTCAACTGCTGCTTACTTCAAGACTTCCTCCCGACACTGCCTCTGTGGTGCGAAGCAAGCGATTGCCCACACTTTAATTTCAATTCCCGTGAAGAACTGCTTCCCCCGCATGTCCCACACTCCCTGGTTGGGCGTCGCCACAGCCCGAGTCTTCAGGCACGCGCACACGGGGGAAAGAAAAAAAACGCATGCACGCAGAGCACATGGGCATTAAAGGTCACGTCCCCCTCGGCCTGGACAACAGCATCACACGTTTCATTCAGAACGTAATTAAAACAAGCAAGACCAGCGCGAGACAGCGAGAACGTGAAAGGTGCGCAACATGCTGCGGTGAATCACTCACAAAGCGGAACGGACAAACACTGCTTCATATCACCAGGGGGGAATGACAGCAACATTTTCACATGCGTACATATTAAACATCGAGAGGCAGGAAGTACTCCGATTATACATTGCTTATATATGTTAACCGCGATTAAAGACTGCAATCACTGCTCACAACTAGCTTGTCCTTTCTGATTTTAAGGAGGCAATTAAGGGATGCTATTTGCACGCTTGTGAAAATGGCAAGAATTATGTAAAAAAAATATGATTTTATTATTTCCCTTCTACGTGACTTTACCGAAAGAACCAAGAAGCTAAAACAAGACATTTACGAGAAAACGTTACCATTTAAAATTACTCAAAGCATTTGTTTACGTCACATCATAATTAAACTGTTTTAATGCAAGGCCATTTCAACACTAATGCACTTCCCACAGTGTTATCATTCTAAACATCAGGTTCAATATTCTGTTTCAATCCAACTTGAACCCCAATGACTTCATCCTAAGCCTTACACCAGTAAGCCCACATTACCAGGTCAATAAACAGTATCCCATTTTGAGGATAATACCTCAATAGATTCTGACCCATATTCTTTGGGTCTTTCGGTAAAGTCACGTAGATAGGTTCAAAGAAAATAACAAAAAATAACAAACAAAAAATTACGACATTTCGATCGCTACACAAGCATTCGTCATCAGAAAGAGGGGGTTAGCTTCTAAAGGTAAACTGTTTATAAAGGTTTGAAATGAGCGTAGCTAACCCCCTCTTCCTGATGATGAACTCCTGTGTTGCGATCAAAACGTCATAGTTATTTGTTATTTTTAGTTATTTTCTTTGAACCTATCTACGTGACTTTACCGAAAGACCCAAAGAATATGAATTCCTGCAGTCACGAAAGCTTCAAGTCAAGATTCTTACCCATTTAAAATTAGGAATACGAATCATACACCCCAAAACCACCACTGCAAATTACCTTCGCGTTATTTATAAATGTGTCGTAACCCTCCACCACCCGACACGACCAAACAGTAAAAAATGTGTCACGTTGACAAAAGACAAATAGTTCACTGCTTTAGCCCACCGGTGTGTTGAAGAGTGAATCCACAGCATTTACAATTTTTGAGTACGACGTTTCGCTGGTAATTACATCCAGCATCATCGGGCAATTCGCCAGCGAAACGTCGTACTCAAAAATTGTAAATGTTGTGGATTCACTCAACACACCGGTGGGCTAAGGCAGTGAACTATTTGTCTTTTGTCAAGGTGACATTGTTTACTGTTTGGCCGTGTCGAGTGGTGCAGGGTTACGACACATTTATAAATAACGCGATCTAACCCCAAAAACCTTTATTATGAATAATATTGGTCGCGAAAGACTACGTGTTAAACTACCTTCAACACAAAACACTTGACATTTTGTTTCTACGTAAAACCTCTACTCATCATTCATACGTTAAACCGGTGATTTTCAAACTGCTAGTGCCCTCTAGGGGGTCAAATGTGCAATTTAGTTTGGACTGAAGAGGTTATATACTCTTTGGTTCTTTCGCTAAAGTCACGTAGGTAGAAAAATACATCATGACGTTTCGATCGCAACACAAGCAATCGTTATCAGGTGGGACAACCACAGCAAGAAAAAAACTGGTGAAGTAGTTTTTTCCTGCTGTGGTTGTTTTTTCTTGATGTGGTTGTCCCACCTGATGACGATTGCTTGTGTTGCGATCGAAACGTCGTGATCTATTATTTTTCTAACTACGTGACTTTACCGAAAGAACCAATGAGAATGGATTCCTGCAGTCACGAAAGCTTCAAATCAAGATTTAAGAGGTTATATTTCAGGGCCAGAGAAAAAATTAAGTAAAAGTAGTTATGGCCAATTACATAATTGAATAACTCACTGCTGACAAAATGAACAATAGAATGAATAGCAGGGACCTGTAGAGCCAAGGAATACAACTGAATGGGATGGCAGCTGCAAAAGGAAAGACCAATTATTAAAGTAAACACTCAATTATTATTGCAGCATGAAAATGCAGTCTCATTCAATCTCTAAATTTGCATTGGACGAGCTGGCACAAAAAAAAAGCAATGTGTGATTATTCCTAGCACGGCAAGTGTGAAAACCACCACGGTAAAATCCACCAACCCCACGGCTAGTTAAGGCACAACAAAAACCATGGCAGACAATGGCAAGCGCATGTCAAATAAAACAGTAATAATGACAAACAAACGCAAAGTGGCGACGTGCGGTGGATTGCAGCTGGCGGCAGCTAGTTACCTGGGCGTGTGCGGAGCTGGTACTCACCCTGCCGCCGTACTGCAGCATGGGCGGGTTCAGCACTCTGCCCTGCACGTCCGCCATATCGTCCTTCACCATGATGCCAAACTCGCGCACGTACGGGTCCGAGTTGAAGCTCGCGCTCTTCATCTGAGCGAGGCGGCGAAATAAAAAAAACCGCACGAAATCAAGACGTCACAAAGTAGGGGGATGCTCATTGTAAAGCGGACGGAAGGAACAGAGTTGCTTGTGTGGGAAAGGACAACTTGGCTTGGAGAATCAGCAATTACAATGTGTTTTATTTAACCAGGTTAAAACCTTGACATTCACAACTCATTTCCAAGGGGGGGGGGGGGGGGGGGGGTCCTGGCAAGATGGCACAGAAAATGTCATAAAATCAGAAAACTTAAACAATTAATATGGCACTCTAAAGTAATGCATCATCTAACGCATTGGAAATATGCTATTACTATAAAATATTATCATCAACATTAAATTGCCTAAGTTCCAACTTTGTGGTTCAGTTCATTTTTACATCTTTAGATAATAAAATGAGAACCCATTGAGATAAGTCTCTTTTTACTCCAGGGAACTGAAAGATAAACATTAAAAGACAAATTTACGTTTAGGCAAGTCAATGCCGCAAGGTACTACACACAGCACATTCACAAAGAGGTCCCGATCGGAAGAAAAAAACGGACAGCAATAGCTGATATACACGAGCCCTCAGTTTCTTACCAGACGACTGATTTCTTCCTGACGGTCCGGAGCTGAACGTGCTGTGGCTTTGATCATTGTGGACGTCTGGTTGTCTGTAAGTTTCTTTATACAGCGCTGTCCAGCCACAATATTGCAAACCTACGAGAGGCAGGCATTTCGGCACATTAATTTAATCTGTTACCAACTGAACACCTGTGATAGGAGTGACGATCACACCGAAAACCGAAACCATCAAAGGCAGAATGACAAAGCTACCTGAAGGGTACCAAATACAGCAAGGCCACCAGTGAGTTCCCTCCCCCCATCATTTGTGCAATGAGTGTCTCAGCCTGGCCCCGAGTTGGCACTGGTGCAGCTGTTGTTAGTCAGAGGCATCTTAAATTCTTGGTTCTTTCGGTAAAGTCACGTTGAAGGAAAACAATAAAATAATAAAATATATAAAACAATAAAATTCTCACGACGTTTCGACTGCAACACAAGCAGTCATCACCTCATGATGACTGCTTGTGTTGCAATTTTATCGTTTTATATATTTTTTTATTGTTTCCCTTCAACGTGACTTTACCGAAAGAACCAAGAATATGAATCACTGCAGTCACGAAAGCTTTAAATCAAAATTCAGAGGCATCTTGTTATTTTTATCCTCAGTGCTGGGTATATATCCAAATAACAAAGCGGTCTTGTGAGATGGCCTGGGGACATCTCTCCTGCTACTCTTCAGATACGCAATATGCAGATTTAATTTGGCTGTTGGGAGCCTTTGGCAACCAACACTAAATATGAAGAATCCTAAATTCGGTGCGTTGTGTGACTAAGGCGACTTTTGGCAACCCACAGTTTAACATTTTTCCTCAATTATAATTATTGGAAGGACTGTAATATTACAGATGTCCAATTTAACAATTACTGACTAGTTCCACTTATAAAATGTATTAACTAGAGTAACGAGTTAGTTCACTGCAATAATAATTAGCATCGCAACAGAACGTAACTTAAACAATAATGGAATTACAATACAAAAGATTAATCATTACTACAATCGCAACTGCTTTACCTGCGTATTATTTCCCATCACAATTCAAATTCTGAAGTCATATTTGGAATGACATGCAAGCCACAATGAATTGCTGAGTGCGCATATGCCGTCAATTTATTTTGTTCGTCCCTAGTAAATTGGATATTCATTTAGATGCATTCTTCAGGTAAAACTGCAAACATTTGAAAGTAAAACTAAAATGACGTGGTTTTATGGTAACCCACATAGCTTTTTGAGCATGTGACAGAGCACATCTGTTCATGTGGAAGTGACACGGCTAAGTGCACACGTGGGCTGGCCGGCTCAAGTCCCATTAAAAAAAGACCAATTCACGAACATGTGTTCCACCACTCTAATGACCATTTAAATGCATGTTTTCAAAGAATTCGCACGGATGCACATTCGAATATAGCTCACATTAAGTCACCTGTACTCACACAAAGTGGTCAGTGCCTTCCAAATGTCATATTTTAGCATTTTAACAAAAGGCAGGTGCACAAATCATGATCCATCCCAAACAGCAATCAGGATACATATTGCACAAGTGGAAAATCACATACTTCCTTCTTGTATATGACTGACTACAAACCCCAAACCATGGAAGCATATAACTTCGCATATCGCCAATTAAACAACTCTCAAAGCAACTGAACGGCTCAATCGCTGACAGCCGGATCTCTCATGGCTGCACGACACAAGCCAGGTGAATTCCCAACCACCTCTGCATGTCATTTATTGCAGATGAGCGAATTAAAAAAACCACTGCTCCTTGCTGCACAGCTACCCTGCGAACACCCGCCTCCAGTGAGTTTAACACGTAGGCTTTCGCGACCCCCTTCCAGTGTTCAGTTTGCTCACCTCAAGCGGCAGGTAGGTGTGCTTCTCTTCCTGCCCCACCTGGAGGCAGGGTAGGTGCGCGTACTTCAGGTGAAGCTTGTACTTGTCCCTGAAGTACTGTGCTACTGTGCACTCTACCGTCTGCCCGCTCTCCAGCTGCAGAGGGAACCTGCAGAGGGGAAGGCAAGAGAGCAACAAAATCAACATCATGGTGAGCCACGGTCTATCCACTGATGGGGACGAAAGCGCCACCATGTCGTCGTAATCCTTCGTGGTCTTGTGATGCTAAACGGTATCTCAAGCCTGCACATCAATCGATTTCATCGCTCCATCTCTCAAGTCATTGTCTTCTCAAATACAATTTATATCCTTTGGTTGCCATTACACCACCAGCCTTGTCACAACTTCATCACCATAACTTAATGAAAACAAAACAGCACAATATGAAAGTCTTACAATGCATTGACATCCCTTTCAAAAGCAAACCACAATCATAACACTTAAACTAGCCCACTAATCACTAACCTTAGTCTTAAAAGTAATTGTAGAATGTCAGAATACTTTTCAATTTGCGAATTGAATATTGTGCTTATGAAAAAGGCATAACACTGGAAAATGACATTAATCACTTTAGCACGTGTTTCGTCACTCAGGCCACTCATAGTTTTCCCACACGTGCGTGCGCTGCAAATACACGTGGGTTTAAAATGTATGATAGCTTGGCAATTGAGTGCTAAAGTGATACTCATATCAATTGTTAACTTAGACCTGCACTATTAAATGAAGGTGTTAACATAACAAACACCAACTACGCCCCACTCAAGGTCCAGACTTTTCATATTAACTCAAATATTATGTTTAAATGCTTACATATTTGTTAGTGGTCTTGTTTTACTCGTCTTGCCTGCAGTGAAACAAATTTTCTAAGCAGAAAACTGTTTTTTTTTTTATTGAAAACTTATTCCTTCAGAACTGCTTCTTGTGTTTAGTGTGTTGTCCTTCCACCGCAGCACCTCCGATGAGCACGGTTGGCTACGTACAGTACGAAAGAAGTCCAACACGCGAGCGTACGTACGTACGTATTCGACACAAAACAGAAAACAACGAATGTACCGCTCCACCTGCTGCAGGAGCCGAACTCGGGCATTGTGCAGTGGTGGGCTGGAGGGCTCCATCACTTACGTCTGTTGCGCGGCAGGCCTTCGGGTAACGTTGCACACGCGGTATTTCCTCTTCATCTGCCCACAGTGGGTTATCTCCACTTTAAGCCCTGCAATAAAACACGCAGCCATGAGCACGCGCGTGCACACGCACAGATGCACTTACGATAGTCCTCAAAAGCATCCGTTGGGCCATGCGTGGTCTCATTTAGCAGGGCAGACTTTTACGCATTTGCAAGGGGAATTCCCACGGACGGAACATTTTTCAGTATCAAGCGTGAACTCTCAAGCTATCATGTCAAATCACCTTTCATTGCTTTTTCAAAAGTCTCTATTCTTAAGAACACACTATTAACTTAATGATGCGGAACATATAAGAACATAAGTAAATAATACGTAAAAATATATACGCACGTTGGCCAATGTGACCCTATGTTACTTTTAATACATATGGGGTTAAAAACATGGCCAATAAACAATTAAACTTAGTGGCCTCAGGCAGTGTTGTGCATTAAAGGCAGACAAAACCTTTGTAAAGTGTCACCCCCAGGCTCTGATAAGATTTTTTTTCTATATATAAAATGAAACGTTTCGCAATTTGCCTTTGGCGAGACACTGCTTGAAAATAAACTCTTTGATAAGATAATTTAAGTTCACCATCGTGTTGTCTGTGAATATCTGCAGTGTGTGAAAATAAGTTATTCTCCTTTGTGGGACCGTACTCTTATACTTAGAACAAAGATCTGTTTTGCTATAAAGCATCATCTACATTGGAGACATTATAAACTATCCAAGACTAGGAATGCATTTAATATGCTGCAATAATTTCAAGAAATTTTTTAACACTTTAGTGGGGATTTTTGGCATATATAGTTTGACATGCACATTTAAGAAGCTAAAGCCTCAATGCTAACACCACCAAAAAAAAGTGTCAATGTTGACAGATAAAAACCCATTCACACAAAGCGTTGCGAGGCTTGCAAGTAAAGCTCAGGACCTCTTCTGAGGCCACACTCTAAAATCCACCCGTTTAGTTTATATCCTCTTACGTTCAGTTCGCCAGTTTCCTGTTAGGTTAGTGATAAGCTTATCTCATTTGTGTTGCAAATATCTACACAAGGCTCTGGTTATAAGACAAATGGCACAAGGTTGTTGTGTGCTTTAGAAACAATGTACAGCATACATGTTTGTTTCTTAAATTACGTATGTACTGTACATCACCATCAACATCAGCCATCGTCTGCCCCATTGCTGGACGATGGCCTTCGTCCACCATTGCTCCCTTCATGATCCTGCGGTGCCACATTCTAGCTCACTCCCGCTCATCGTCTGATATTATTCTTCCCTTTCTGTGGTTATTATTCAAGTGGAGCACTTTTTCTGATTCACATTCCATTCCAAAACAAGCCTCGTCCTTCCAGCAGTGTCTTGCCCAAGCCCTCTTATGTTTCAAAGGTCAATTGTGTCTGATGTGTGTTCGTTCCATCATCCCTGTAACTGCGATTTCTGAATCTCCGTGTAAATTAAGCGCTGCACCACCCACAAGCTTCTTAATGCACTTTTAAAGTTTTGTTCCATTTTATTTGTCAGTGGCCATCTTTCTGATCCACAAATCATGCAAGGCAATATGTTATTCAGGATTATTCGCCAGGAGACCTTTAATTTCCTTGGTGAACTTGACACGCTGCGAATCGCTGAGCGGCCGTGGCTGCTCCTCCACAGTGCGAAGGTCCAGCACCTCGCACATGAACTCGATCACCGGCTGTGCCTTGTAGAACGCCGTGGCCGACACTGCGGGCACCGCAGATGGCAGAGAACACGTAAGACGCTCGAAGCACCGGGTACGAGAGGCACGCGGAAAACTTACATATACCAAACTTCTTTCGCGCCGCACGCAGCCAACCATGTTAATCGGAAGTGCTGAAACTGGCCGTTGTAAAGAGATTACAGCAAATGCCTTAAGCTAATAAATTGAGACAAAAGGCTAATCATGGAGATGGGTGAGCGGGGGGCTAATCGCATCTGTTTACCAAGCGACAAGTGCTAAAGTAGGACAAAAAAATATTCTCCTGGGCAGCAATCACGCACCGTCGATGTTGAGCATCATCTTCCACATGCAGGGCCGCACAGATTGATGGAAGCCGAACCAGACCTCGCGTCCACCACCCAGGGGCTGACTGTAGCCCTCCGGAGGTGTGAAGAATGAGCGGCCCACGGGCGTGTACCTGCAAGACAACAGATGGGTGCATGCTTACAACGGGGGTAATGGGACCTTTAACGGTCTGCGCTCGCTCTGGTAGGGGTAGATGCTCGCAGCTCTCTGCTCCCCCACTCCAGCACTGACTGCCCATAATTATCCAAATATAGGTGTGTGCAATTATCTGTCTTTTAACACGAGTGAGCAGTCTTGGTTTGTGCAAATGTAAATTTTATTTTTTAAAGGCGAATAGTCGAGTAAAAGGACATTTGGTCAAAGGTCAGGATTTTATAATAAATGTTAGATTGTATAATTAACAAGGTAGATAGTTTTTCAGTCATGATCTAAACACTAAGTTAACACCACCCTTGCCAGTTTAACAATAACATTATTTGGATGCATTACCAGCCAGACCTCGCAAAAAACTCATTATCCATGAGGCATCTCAACTGGAGTGCAGCCTCATGGTGGAATATACCATGCGAGTTCAGTGTGTCCATGATCAGTGCAGTCCTCAAACTCCAGAATCCCACCAAACCATTACGTGCAGAGGATGATACCATCCGGAACTGCCTTATCCCTCGCCAACAGGATCTGGGTTAGCCAGGAATAGCCCTTGCAGTTCCTGCCTCCAACAAGGAGATGCTTGCAAACACCACAGCTAAGATATTATCAATCCAATCTCTATAGGGGAGACGGAAGGAATGCGAGGGAGACAGTAACACGTGGGAAATTCGTTGGTTTATTTATACAAACACTTTTCCACACCACTGTCAATGCCACCTCCACCAATTCAACTAGCGAGCCTTCTCACAGCTCTCACCTGAGGAGGAGGCAAGATACAGCTTCACTTATGACCAGCGATAGAACTGCCCTCCCAAGACGCCTCTGCTGATGCCAGTGTGCAAGGGCAGGAGTGTATTATAAATGTGACCACCGTCATCCAAGTCAGCCTTGCATGCCACCAGTAAGGGGATTCCTGGACTTGAGTCAGTAATGTGGTGGACTGTTCTTTGAGCCACTGAAGATGCTCCCCCTCTCTAATTTGGGTGCCCGAGGCAGCGTCTCTCGTTATCATAACCATGGCCATGACTTTGTCAGTGGACCCTCCTTACTCTCTTTCCCCTTGTGCCTGCTCTAAATATCCCAGAGGCACCTGGTGGATGGCCCACAGCTCAAGCACGCTTTTATGCCAAGCCTGGTCTTCCATCTACCCAGCTGCCGTGCAAAGAGTCCTCCCCCAACTGCCTGCCCCAATGATAATCCAGTCTTAGTATTTCAGCACAACCTCTGTGGGCGAGGTCTCTCTTGGGGATGTACTACCTCTGGGAGAGTTCCACAGCGGCATTCCCGAGAGGACATTTAAGGGTGAGGGGGGGGTTGAGAGTCTAGAGGCTGGCGAATGCAACAATTGTGAGTGAGCCCATGTGGTGAAAACACGGGGAAATGTACGATTCAGGGTCTCTGTCAATAGTACTTTAATTTAGTTAGGGCCAATCCATAAATAAGTTACTTAAGGGAAAAACAAAGTAAGTAGACAATGACGTCATGACAAAAAAAGATGATCATGACGTTGTAAATATATATTTTAAAATCATGAATACTTGGTTCTGCCATAAATAAATTACGAAACATGGAAAAACCTGTTAACGTTTTCATTGTCGTCTAAGTAATGAAATTGTTCGGCTTGTGAAATAATTGTAGTGGTTATCACTCTTTGGTAATTGCAGTTAAGTCACTGCGTCAGCAGTTCTCCTGCTGTGTTTGTCTCAACTGATGGACGGTTGCTTGTGCTGCGATCGAAACGTCGTGATATATTAATTTTCTATCAACGTGACTTTACCGAAATAACCAAAGAGTATGGATTCCTGCAGTCACGAAAGCTTCAAATGAAGATTGTTGTGGTTATTGTTTTGTTCTTATTTTTGGCTATCACATATGTCCAAGATCATACTGCTTTTGAGTTTAAAGCTAAATGCCAAATTTGTCTGTGCAGAAAAGTGCTTGAATTTGAAATTTTGATCAGCTTGTATGGTTCAGGGTGTGGCCAATTATGCAAACTATATACAAGTCAAACATGATCATATATGGATATTAACTGCACATGTAGCACTGGGCACTACACTTTTAGCCAGTGAATGGACATACCAGTCATTTTAAATAAAATATTAACCGTGCGTTACCATTAATACAAACTAAACATTGTAAAGTGAATGGCTACAATTTTTACTGTGCTCCAAGACATGGCTGGCTTGTGATGGTTCTACATTTGGCAAGAAATTATATATTTTGCTGTGCTCATTTAATAGATTTTAATAAAAAAAGAGACTTCACTCATTCAACGGTAACAAGTCGGTTAAAGGGGATGAGGTATACGCATACAACAAATATTTTTCACACTGGTTTGACCAACTACATGAAATACTTTCAATTCACTAAACTTCTACATTAAGTTTCACTTAATCACTACTGTTCACAACCTCCATCGCATCGAACGGTTAGATTTTTTTTTTTAAAGTATGGCTTCAACATTCTGAGAAGAGTCAAAGTGTAAATGTTGACATGAACGCTCGCTGTGGTTTTATTAGGTTTTGGCGCCATTGCTTGGATGCCTCTCTCGCCTTGCCGGTGCCGACCACAGGCATCCGAGCGGTTCATGGACATGTCGCGCTCGGTCGCAAGGAATGCTGCACCGCGGAAAATGGGGGGGGGGGGGGGGGGGGGGACAGTCGCTCGCTCGCTCGCTCTCCATCACGCTCCGCGTCACACACGACGCGCTCATTCCACGGCTCATTCGTTAAACCCCGACACCTCTCTCTCTCTCGCTGCCCTTGTATTTAACTTCATGTGTGAAGTGAAATATTAGCACGGTTGGCTTCGTACGGTGCGAAAAAAGTTCAACATACATACGTATATGTAAGTATAGTCATGAATAGTTTTCTTTTAAAAATATGCAACGGAATGATTCGTAACCTTCAGATTTGCAACAGTGAGGCCCTCACCATGGACACCGATTCCTGTAAATCTTTCATGAAGAAAACTGATTATCATTATTGTATATTGTTCACAAAATATTAACACAATGCCCAAATCTTCTTGGTTCTTTCGGTAAAGTCACGTAGAATGGAAATAAAATAATAAAAATAAAACATAATAAAATAAAATTCTCACGACGTTTCGGCCACAACACAAGTAACCTTCTTCAGGTGAAGAAACAGAACTGTCGGGCCGACAGCGCTTCAATGAACACTGCTAAGCTTCGCAGCGTCTTTTAAGCTGGGTGGGAGGAGCAGAGCGCCTTGACAAAGGAGTTTACATATCAACAGAAGAATTTAGCATTGAAATAGCTGTTAAAGTGTTGGATTAGCAAGGTGTTAAAGTCAGAAATTACCATGTAACTGGGAGATTAGCATGATGTTAATGTGAGGGATTAGCATGCAGCTGGTCATGGAAGTAGCTATGTTAAAGTCAGAGTTTACATATCAACATTGGCATTTAGAATATTGACGCTAAATAACTGCAACTACCCAACTATCATACAATAAGCCGATGTGAAATAACTAAGTATAAACTACATCAATATAATAAATGTACTCAATATATTCTTCAGTAAGTTTAACTATTAACATAAAGTAACTGGGTATACACTACACTATATAATGAAAATCATACAGTAAACTGATAAAAAACTAAAATATAAACTACATCAACGTTATCAATAAACTCAATATACTCTCAAATCAGCTGAGCTACTAACAATAAGTCGTTATACATTACAATTCTATGTCGAAAAAAAGGTGGCGTTTTTTTCTTTTCAACGTTAGCACCACGGAAAGCGACGAGCTTTGTTCAGACGGACGAGTCCATCTGTGCTCAGAACGGAGGAGGGGGGAGAAACAGCCACGATGCGCTGCTCTGTCCTGTGTTGCGTTACAACAATGTTATAAACTAGACTACTATACATTACAATGTTATACCTTCCAATCTAAACTACATTGTATAATATCGTATACACAGCCCAATGTTTCATTTTTATTATTTTATTTCCATTCTACGTGACTTTACCGAAAGAACCAAGAAGATGAATCCCTGCAGTCACGAAAGCTTTAAATCGAAATACAATGCCCAAAATTATTTAAAATGCTGCAAAATTTAGGAACGTACTTCTTATTTTAGACATGAACCAGGGTTCCTTTTCACACATGGTAGTAGGTTAATATCACATTGATCAACTTAATGTATTAAACTGTATTTTACCATTGCGTGATACCCAGTGGTAAAAATTATTTGCTACAATACATAACTGGGAAACCATGTGAATCCTTAAAAAAAGGTTTGACATTCCTGTTAATAGGCTATTCATGCCAAAACTAAGGCTCCATATTTTTTTTCTTTAAATGCATTGCAATGAGGCAATGTAACTTGGTCTACTCGCAAAACGTCGCACAGTAAACCTACACCTCTCGCATGATTGCTCACCGCATGGAAGGAAGATGCCTCATGACCACGTCCAGGCCCTGGATGGACTCGTATGGGATCTGTGCAAGACGGCCGCTCAGAGCCTCATGCAGCAGCTGCAGGCTCACGTTGGCCATCCATTTGATGGTCACCTTGAAGACGCGCTCCTTGCCCTCCCCAGGCAACGTTACCTCCAGCTCCACCTGCATTGACCATCATCATCCATCAGTATCAGTATATCGCCTTTTGGCGTCTTCTGGTCCAACACCAATGGAGACTAGGCTCTAAGAAAAGCTGTCTCGGGTGTGGACCAATCAAATTCAAGGACAATGCATATTATTATCAGAGTTGTCTTTTTTGTTTGCATTTTGACTGCTTGTGTTGTGGTTATTGCAAACATGATGCCTTGAATAAAGGTGTCAGTTTTTGTGCCAGTTAAAAGGGTAAAACCTATTCCTGTATCATTGCTGTCAATAGTGCTCCCACTACAATCACACCCCTCAAGGCTAGTTGATGAAATGTCACGATCTGGTGTAAATATTTGATTCGCGAACCGATTCTCATATTTACATCTTATTTGCGATGCTTCGCAATTCAGTTTCGTTCAACCAATCAGCCTTAATTAAACATTACCACATTCTATTTGCATAACAAGGTGGTTCCTAGTGGCGATTTCCCTCTCAAAACTGTCTGCAAGCATTGAAATGTACCACCAAACCCGAAAAATCCTAACTGTGAATTAGCCTGGCCTCGAACAATGAACATTAAGAATCATTATGTAACATTGTATATAAAACACTCCTCAAAAAAATCGGCCACACTCCCCAATGCAGGACGCTCATTAAAGGCTTTCAGGTATAAATGGCATTATGTATATCGTTTCATGCACTCATCTCTTACTTGGTATACAACGTGGGTGCATGTGCATGCAATTTATATATACGTACACAATGTAAATATGGAACAAAAAACATAAAAAGACTACTAATGTGCGTTGCGATATCCTATATGCCATGGACTCTGGGAGACAAATGCAACTTCTGAATATAGATTTACATAAAATGTAATTGATTCCTGCATTTTCATGAATGTGGCATTGAATTCTGAAGGGTGAATATGATTAGTCATTACATGCGTAATGGCGCTCATGCCAATGCATGGGTGGAAATCGCTTACCCGGTCTCTTCCAATTGGCAAGGGCGTGACCGTGTAGAGGTTCTTCCTTCCATCAAACACCGGCTTCCGATCGCCGAATATCTTGTGTTTGAAGTGCTGCACCATGTGCTCCACCACCTCCCTGTAGGTGAACACGGCAAGCACGATGCTCATCACACCGCTGCGCCACGACCGGTCAAAAGATTGTGGCGTTAGCCCTGGTTCCCTACGTGGTTTTCAGACAGTGTTGTGGATATTGACGACTTGGCTTCAGGTGGTTCCACATAATGAGGTTTAATTTTTCATATGCACAAAGTGGTGAAAATTTGAAACTCCAAACAAAAATTGTTTAACTGTACTGTTAAAGCAACGTTGAGTGTAAATTATGAAATATGAGCAGATGTTAGAAATAAAACACTTCTATTATACCCCACGGCATATAATGATACCCCTGTGGTGGGCAGCGGGTTGCAAATTGCAGAATGAACACGGGGACCTGCAATCTAATTCCTGGGCCACGGCTAACAATGGTGGCGAGTGCAGTGGTGTGCATCTGAACCTCTCTTGGGCACTCCACCCCGCCCTTCACCAATCTGCACTGGCCAGTGTAAAGCATGGGCAACCTCCATAACCAACAGTGTGGGAAGGCCCTGATCTAGCAATGGACTGCCAAAGGGCTACGAGTGATGAAAGGTCTGAATGGCACTAGATGTTGTTCATGAAGCAAGCACCGTGTTCAGCCAACTCCCCCTCCCAACCACTGCTCTTGAGACACAGTAACCGGGTGTGCATTTTCAGAGGTCCTATGGGAAACCTGCAACTGGTACATATGCCAACTGCAAAAACCACAGGCATGCCAGAAGAGGAATCCAAGTAAATGGGAGGCTAAGTAGCTAATAAGGTGCATAAATGAAGCACGCCACCACTCACAACTCACACATATATCCCTCGAAATATACACGTGGCTCTATTTCCAACGGTACTTGGAAGCAGCTCTGTTTTTCCAGGCTATACGCAGTACCAGACCTTCTTTCTAAGAAAAACAAGGGGAAAAAAATGCCTATTTCAACAATATAACTATTGCTGGCATTTCGAGTGCTACCAGCTGTTTGCATCGGAATAGTTTACTATTCCTAGAGCACAAGACACAGTCAACATGCCCTCAACACTCCCACATGGATAATGACCGTTAACTGCCTGTTACGAAATTCTTCCACTCTATAATGCAACTCAAACAATACGTCTTCTTTGGTTCTTTCGGTTAAGTCACGTAGAATGAGAATAAAATAATAAAATAAAACAATAAAATTCTCACGATGTTTCGGCCACAACACAAGTGGCCTTCTTCAGGTGAAAGGAACAAACCTGTCGGGACGTCAGAGCTACAACGAACGCTGCTAAGATTTGCAGCGTCTTTTAAGCTGGTTGAGAGAAGTGAGGCACCTTGACAAAGGGGTTTACATATCAAACAGGAGAATTTAGCATTGAAACAGTTGAGGGATTTAGCTTGTGACTGGTCACAGAAATAGCTATGTTAAAGTCAAAGCCTACACATCCACAGAGGCACCTCGTACTTAGGCTTAATATACCTCTAAAAGGAAGAGGCACTTGCCAATGTTGAATGGGCTCTATACCAGTGATCCTTGGATAAGAGGGGAGAGGGGCTACATCTGAGCACACTCAGCTGTGCTCCAGTGAATTAATGTCAATCACAACACTCGCAGTTCAATCAGCGAGTGCTTCAAATAGAGAATAAACTTAAATGGTGTTGTCATGTCACCTTTGTTGATATAAACACATCAAAGAACCCGCCATGGTCTTTGGGAGTCAAGTGAGGAATTCAATATATGCGATATTCTATGGTCATTGAATTGGCACTGTCTAAACAATCCTGCTGCTTGGCATTGCAATCAAATTCAGGTGCATTGTGTAAGACTTATACATTTGCAATCATCTACATGCCTGTTAATATAAATAAGGTGTCGAGAACCCTAAAGAAGACTATTGTTGGAGAGAAAAAATCCCCAAAATACATTGCTAAAAGTCACAAATCAGAGTGCAGTGGAGGTGGACATTGCTGTCATCAGGCAGTGCTCCAAAAGCCAGGCGACCTGAGATTTAGACCTGGTGATGATTATTTGAACCGGTCTTGGGCCTTCCCTTTACCAAACGCAGACTAATATGACGAATATGTCGTGTAATAGCGCCGGCTGGTGGACAGCAGCAGCAACTGTGGTGGACAGACGGTACACACGCCAGTGAGCGTGTGCACGGGTGTGTTGGCAGGGCGGAGGAACTAGGGAAAGGGTCATGGAGGCCCCTGGAACCTGATCGTGGGTTCGAGAAGGGAGGCACGGCCAGCGCGGGGCCAGGGCGGGGCCAGGCCGTGTTGGAAGGATAAAAGGAGCCGAGAGCGGGAGCTCGAGGCTGCCGGTTCTGAGATTGGACTCGTCTCGTCATTGCTGTCGTCTCGTCGACCGCTGCCGTCTTCGCTAGATATTGCGCTGCAGGATAGTTGTTGGCTGTCTCAGTCAGCGCCGTCAGTGTTAGACGGCTAGTGTTGTGTACAGGCTAGGCTAAGCGGCTGTAGAGGTGTGTAGACGAGACCGTGAATGTGTTGTTAATAAAGAAGGTGCCTCCTACAAACCTCGTCTCCGAATCACTGATACTACAGATCCCATACGAGGATAAAGCAACAAGTAGATTGATAAAGAACTGTACATAATTCATTATTGCAACTAAGCACATACAATGCGAATTCCACATAGGAATTCATTGACCAGCACATCAAATAAGCTGCCTGAAAGCTCGCAGTGACACGGAACTGCATGTATAAAAACGTGCTCATACTAAGTGCAGCAGCTACATAAAAATATCACTTATTTTAAATTAAAGCAGTGCTTCACAATTAAATTAGAAATCCTTTCCCAACTACCCAGCAGCATGATAAAGCAAAGTACCACTCCATTTTATGATTTTCCCATGCAATTTACGTTAAGATTATTTGGCTGCTTCCAGCCTAATCTAACGTAAAAATCTTTGAGCACAGCACATGTTAACTAAAAATTGACTGCCACAATTCTCAGAAAAACAATTACTCATTCCTGGAAAGCAGCATGCACGTCTTGATTTTATGATTTAACAAAAGACATGACATTATTTCCTAGTAATCAGCATGGATGCCAAAGGACCAATCCAAAAATTTCATTTCCACGTGATAATCTAACCACCTGAGGAAAGGTGCAGCAACATCTACAAAGATCGCATTGTATTTTTATGAACGTTAAACAATGTTTGGTTTACCACCCTTGACTGCTCCTTAATAAACAGGGACCTTTCCCCACAGCTGATCGATTAACCTAGTACTGTAAGTGGTTTAAGGTTAGATAGTGTCTGCCCTGCAGACTTTATCGAAGAACAACTCAGAATTTTCCCTTACGAGTCACTGCACTGGTGGGCGACACTCACCGGTTGACCCTGCGGGGACACTTCTCAGGCTTGATATCGATGTCGTAGTGGAGCAGGTCCATCTTCGGGATGTCCACCTCGAAGTAGTTGGCCCTGAGTTGGATGGGCTTGCCGACAGTGCCAAAGCCCGGCCTCAGGGGGGCCTGGAACACCGGTGGTGTTGTGGGTGGCATCGCCGGGGCTGCTGGTAGCACGCAATAACAGCAGTTGGCACATTTACATCAATAATAAAAATGTACAAACAATGCACATTGACAAAGATGGAACATTCTGCAAACCAGTGAGAAAGTGGGTAAATATAACACCAATTTAGATGTATTTGTATCACCGATAAAAAATTATATATTTAGTGGAACTGAAACACATGTTCTTCCTCATGATTTGATTAAATATATTTTTTACAAATATAGGAAATGTAGCACTTTCCCTGGCTGTAGGGGCCATGTGAAGCCATTACCTTCGCCATATTCAAATAAAAAACAATAAATTCTTGCATGCATTATAGGATAAATGTATCATGAGGGTAATAACACATTTTAAATCTATAACGTCGTTGTAAGCCTATTATTCCGCATACATTGAACGATTTCATTATCCTTCATAAACAATGCCGACCACGAATTCCTCCTTGCCCGCCGACACAGAAACCAAACAAATAAATGGGAAATACATTCGAGTAGCACACGCCAGCAGACCATTAAATATTGCTCGACTCGTAAAACATACCACGCAATAAATACACTGAAAGCAAGGGTCTCACACACACACAATACAAAAATCCCAAGCAATGGACAGCTTTCCAGAGGTGCCCCACACGAGTGTATCCAGCCATATCCAAATTAAGGCGAAGGAATGCTTCGCGCCTAAACGTTTGTCGCGCGGGTTCTGCGGCACAATACGAGGGGGATAATTTAAGGATGATGTCTCTTGAGATACCCCCCCCCCACCCCCCTCCTCCCCCCCCCCCCCGCAAACACAACACACAAAACACAAACATCGATGGGCCGATGGACGAAACGCACGCGAAAAAAACCTAACCGTAAAATCGGCGGATTGTGCCCGGCGCGTTTGTCTTTTGTTAGGCGCCGCTTTCTTCACCATGCATTGTGGTCCTTAGAACCCTTCGTGCTGGCGCTCCATGGATGCGTCCGCGCAAGGCTGCACGACTCCGCCATGGATGGCACATAAACTAATATGATAAACACAATCCTACACCACCACCCCCCCCCCCCCTTTCACAGACAGCCAAGTGGTTTTTCCCAGCCAAATGTTGAGAACAATCTGCAAGCCAGTGCTGGGTTGTAAGAGGGCATCTATAAACAGCAGAGCGTACTACAGGCACGTTGGGTATGTGCCGATGTAATCAGCCGTGTCAACCATTGCCTGCCACGGTCGATGTCATGCCAAAAAAAATGCATCCGGGGACTCTGGGATGGCTGCTTTCCAGGGCACGGAGCTACTGTTGTGCTTCACCCTATTTTCTGATTGCAATACAAGGCACCTTTGATTGCTGTGTTGATTTGTTATCAACACTTGTTGGCAGCGTGTAATCATTAACCATCGTTGAAATAAGAGTTTTGCAAATGGGAGATTTTTGATAGGTCCTGCATCATAATGTAAAAAAAGCTCAATAATAGCATTTTAAATGGTTGACTTTCCCTACAGAGTGGCCAATTGAGATTTCAAGCACCTGCTCTAATTACAGTGCGAATGCTGTCTCGTGATATGTTTATTAATTTAATTGTACATGTACACCAACAGCTAGCTGCAGGTTAGGGTTTATTAAAAACATGAAAGCTGTCACTCAGCCCATCCAAACAGCTTTATTTTGAATAATGCAGCAACGTATCATTATAGTATTCCCTGGTTATTCGTGAGGACTACGTTCCGGAAACGCTCGTAAAGAGCAAATTTCGCAGATAATATTACTTTAAATAAATACGTTAATACGATATGAAATGCATGATAATTATCATAGCACAAAAAAATATTGTCTCCAATAATTTTTTATTAACTAATAGTTTATAAATGAACTTACCTTAAATTATGATGATGCATATCATCATCATATCTCATCACTTTCTCACATTATTTCTCTCTCATAACTTTACCTCATCAGTTTTCTTCTCTCTGCAGTAGTTCCACATACATGATTCACGGAGAGCCAAAATCACGGGTAGCAAGTTCGTGAATAACAAGAGGAGAGGCAATTATTTTTTCACGTTCACAAATTAAAACATGCATGGGTTTCACGAAAGCCAAAAAAACAAGGAGAATTGTATTGTACGAAAACGTTAGTCAATTGTACTCTCCCTCAAGAGTAAAACTAAGTCTTCGTGGTCAGACAAATCGCTGAGTCCACTCGAAGGCTTAACATAGAACTACAGTGTCCACAACATTCAATAAGGGTTATAGTTAGGGCTAGCAGACTAGTTTCAGACAGTGAAAATTACACCTAACATGCATGTTCTTTTCCAAAAAAATCTCAGGAACTAAATACATCAATTCAGACGACTGGCAAGCATTGTGATAAGCAATCCATCAATCGTGATAACTACAAGGGGGGTTTTTTTTTAGATTCAAAATAACTTTCCCTCTTTAAGATTTGTTATTTATCATTTAAAGGTCAGAGTAAAAAAACACAAGAACCACACTGCAAAATCGCCATGTGTGGAAAATTTACGGTTCCTGTATTTAGCTTCAAAACCAACTGCGAATGTAGGTCAACCGATGAAGCCAGTTTGTGAGTCACCTTTGAGATTATAATGGACAAAATACAGGCAACTGTAAACACCAGATATGGATCCCAAATAAAGGGATACATATCTGCCCAAGTTAAGCTTAAAGGCCTGACAATAGGTGAACTTAAAAACCATTCAAGATTTTTTTTCTCAAAAAGCAGTGACATAACTTTTATTCCATGCGGTAAGCATCAATAGTCAAGTCAATAAAATAAATAAAATACTAATTATCACGCGACTATCATATCCGAGGGTACCAAATAGGAAGCTTACTGTGCATTTACCAACAAACAAAATGACCTCCTCACCCATTTGTTAGCCAATATGATCAATAACCATATACAATACATGGTTTTAGAATGACATGCAGCTTTAAGCGTACTTACAGCAGAAACGTGCTGGTGTAGTGGCACGATGTTGATCTGAATGCACTATGAACTCGGAAACCCGAATTTGATTCCTTGCCACAGTTAACATCACCAACCTGCACTGGCCAGTAGGGTGAAGCACGGTCAATCACCCCAATTACTAATTTGGCATAGGGAAGCCGTCAACCAATAGTGGATTGACAAAGGGTTGTAAATTTCATGTAATTTTAACATCATAATTATCAGGCCTTGGGGGTGAGATGGTGCAATAATTTGTGCACTACAACATGGCTAATAAGAGTGATGATATCTGAAGCAGTCTTTCGGCCAGTCTTGACCAAACCATACTGTCCAATGTGATGAAATATGACGAGAACAATTTCCTTTACCTCCCCCCATTAGGACTTCATTCAGCAGTGGATTGACCAAGGGTGGCTTATTTGTTCTCTCACTTCCTTCGTGCCATTTGTATTACTATCTTGCCATCCTTAAAATAGCTAGGATTTACACAAGTGCGTGTTACACAACTCATCACGCAACATTGGTTAATTCCTATTCTTACCTGTGCGCCCATGTCTAATATCTGCCGTATCATGCCAACTGTAGGCATCCACAGATGTTACACTGCCCACATAACGACATTTGTCGTTGAATCAATACTTCCGTTGAAATTCATCGTTGGATAAAAATACACACCAACCTCGAAGATCCCTGTTACATAACATTGTGCAAATTGCATTTATTGACTTGCCAATTATTTCTAAAGAGCATATACTCTTGGAAAGTAACTTAAATGTATTCAACAACATATGCTAAACGGGGTTTCTGATGACATCCCAACCCTCGTGTTTCCACGGCAGCTAGCCACAAACAAGAATATCAATTTTCAAAAGGGCTTCTAAACATCTTCCAAATAATAATTATTAAGTTAATTTTTTGCCCAAGGGTCCAAATTGCTGCTCATGTCTGAGCATCTACAACGACTATTGAAAATGTGTGTCATCTTGCGATTGAAAACGTTATCACGTGACTCCCTCCCCGACAATCTTCCACTAAAAGGATCCGTCTTTAAACTATCGATACATTACTGAAACCGATCACTCTTTAAACAGTGTTCGATCTTGAGGGGAAGAAACCCCCAGGAAATAATGTAACTACACAACTACAAATGTAAATTTGCTCTGTTTACAAAAGTAAATGTCAGATTAGGTTATTTTGCAATGTATCAGAAGAATTAAATTCGATGCATTAAGCCTTTAGAGTTAATCATCCAAGTCAATTAAACTGTCACGTTGATTGTGGACATGAAAACCAATACAAAGATAGTGCAATTAAAGTCTTGTCCGGAATATTAGCAACAACTTGTGAAGGTACATGCCTTCTGGACACCACCAACCTCACTGGTTAAAAAACCACAAAGACCACACTTGGAATACTTTTCAATGCAGACTTAAGTAAAACAAACTCCAGTACTTTGCTCTGAGAACCATGAAAGATGTAGTTCCCCCACTGGCCGTATCTACATTTTCCAAAATGATGAAGGAAAATCGTATTAGCATATATTTGCACGTGTCATGTAAATGGAGTGGAAATTGTGTTCACTTACAACACTTAAATTACAGTCGCAGAGTTCTCCTTTCGTTTTCTGACACAATACAGAAGTGGATTCTTTGAGTAAATAAAAACTGGGGGAATGCATTCCTAAAATACCTGTTATCTCTAAATAAGACGCCACAGGAAGCATTCGCTGGCCTCAGCAAGGCTTAAACCAGCCTTTGACAAACCTGTACTCACAAAGAACTGCTTGAGAGATGTGCTGTAGAGACTATTTTAGTTCACGAACAAATATCTTCATTGGCAGAGGGGAATAAATCCTGCTGTTTGCCTTGTGAAAGCCTGATAATGTGCTTCACGCAAAAAACATGGAACCACCATGGAGCTCATTTGCTTCTTAAAGAAGCATATTTGGCCGCTCAAGTCAAGTTCATTTTAATCCTGGCAGAACAGAAGCTGATCTTTACCCCTCCCTGTCCACCGAGTACCATTCCTGCATTCGCATTTTCACGAATGCCACATCAATTACCGCCAGTCACGATCTATTTATTGTAGGAGTGTCCGGCGACACCGATGTTTAACGCAACAACCTCCTCAAATGTCCATCACAGCAGCGTATACTGTAAAGGATAAGTTGGCAGTGCAAGGAGAACAGCAAGGGGGATCCATAAGCAGGTAATTTAACTTATTTTCGGTGGCATCCTAAAAAATATAAGAACACTTTGCTCTCGAATTAGTGTTCATTACTTGTAAATAGGTAAACACAAACACGAGGGACCCAGCATGTATTTTATGACTGGCAAATATTTACATATTTTGAGGATACATGTTTCTGGTGGAATTACGCACTGCATCTTAAGTTATTTAACTCTAGGAATGCCAGCTGACCGGTCTAAAGCAAAATATAGAAACTACAAGCTGTATGGTAAAAGGAAAACAGCTCCGCATGTATTTGAACGGTGAACCAAAACTGCATCACTGTGGGCTAACATCTAACAAATTACATTGTATCAATATATCTTATCAGGACACGTGTATGATGAAAGAATTATGCTTGCAAGAAAGAAAATTCTAAATGTTTATCCATCACATGGGCACATACCAAATTCCAAGAATACAATACTGTAAATCAACGTACACTATTATCCAAGAAATCCCCGAAACTGTGTACGCTAAATTGCGGATGCTAAAACGTGTGGACGTTGAATAATTTCCATTTTAAGTATTGTTGAGGAATGAGTGAGTTTCAAAAGAATGATCCTAAAGGGCTCTGACCTCGTTAAATAAAGGACACCAAGGAACAATTACGAGCATCGTGAGCACACGATGAGTGGGGGCCACAAGCCATAACAATAAAACTGGTGGCGGTGTATCAGATTACAACGAGAACGTGTGTATTAGTCGAGGCAGTACACAAGAGCGGGCATTAGCAGCAATAAATATGAATTTAAAAACCATTTAAGATCATTCAACATTGTGGCCGCGATGGCCGTGCCAGGCAGTGAGGGCCTAGCGCAGGCTTTCCCCGCTAAGTCTCCTCTTCACGCTACGGGAGCGAATCTCCGTGTACTTTAACCGGCCACGGTTATTTATCCACCACATTTGGCGGCTTTATTTTGTTTGGTTATTCACCACGTTCATATACATACGTAACATATATATTTTAATATAAAAATAATGAGACAATTAAATTAAGCGACACCCGGTTAAAGTCTAGTCGAGTAACCGGGCCGAGCGCACCGCGGCACACACACACACGACAAACACAACTACTTCCCCTCACAAACCCTCTCTCACCTACAATCACCCTTATTACAAAACGTTCGTAACGCTAACAACCGACGTAGAATAATAGGCGACGTAAGGGACAAGCGAATCGAACCGAACCTTCGGGCTCTTGATACATGACGCCTTCGCGGGGAGGACGCGGGGGTGAGCTGGGGTCGGCCGTCGCGCTCGTTCTCCCGCTGCCCTAGCGTTTTGCTCGACAGTCACGGGCGGGCGCGCACGCACGCACAGCCCCCGGAGGACAATCCTCTCCGCCTTGCTGCCTTCCCTTCTCACGGCGTGGCCCGCGAGCGGACGGATAGAATGGGAAGCGAGTCCGCTTCTCCGACCCCGGGAAACGCCGCCGCTCGTCGTGATGGTGGTGGGGGGGGGGGGGAACGCGTTCGCGCGACGTGACGTAATCCCGCCGGCGTGCGCGATGGCGTAGCCGCGTAGCGACGATGACCCGATTGGCTGTTTCGGTTTCGCGACGTCACCGCGCATTTCACGCGATGACGTCACGAGGGCAGCCGGAATGGCCGGGTGATTTGGCGCCGCGGCCGCGCGCTCGAGCCGTTAGGGCGTGACGTCACCGTCACCGGACCTTACGCGGTGACGTCACGCGCGCGGGATGGGATCGGGGTGGCCAATCGAATGGCGATCTGGGTCGGCATGACGTCAACACGTTGGCGCGGGCGTCTTGCGTCGGGCGCCGACGTCAAGCGGCGAAGTGGAATCTGGCGGGGTGACGTCACCGCGCACGGGTTTGGTTTGGAGTTCCTGTCGAGCGGCGGTTATTGCGGTGACGACATCGTTTAAGCGTGCGCGATGACGTCACCGCGTTATTAAGCGTGGTTGATAATCCGCGAACTTTTATTTGACGTGGTGACGTCGTCAATAAAGTGTTTGGGAATCCATGGTCGAGATCTTTGTACGACTGCACAAGGCTTGGAAATGGCAATTAACCGGCTCTGGTGGCGACTGTTGCAGACTGATGATACCCCAAATAAAACGTTACAACCAGTACACAGTTACGTACACCGTATTCTTGTACAGGGAAATTGAGTTTTCAGGTCCACACGGCGCACAGCCGTTTCAATACTGGCACAAACATTTCTGTTTGTGTTTCTTCCTTGTGATGGGGGGGCTTTGTGGGATGAACGTTGAGATGTATAAGGGGCACGGGGTGACCAATAAGGTCTGAATCGGTCTGTAATAAGCAGTCAGGGCACTGATAAGGGGTTGACAGGTGTGGGATTACCATGCGGATAAGTAGCCGTGGCTCTTCAATGCGGAGTATTCCAAATGAAAGTGAAAACCGTTGTATACATTGCCACGTTGCTTCACTGCCAAAGTCTGAACAAAACAACTTAACACGACGTTACGTATATAAAGCTCCTCAAAGGAGAAACAGGCAACGTTTCGGGCAATGGCCCTTTATGATATGAACAAGGGCTATTGAAACGTCACCGGTTATCCTACGAACCTTCAGGGATAACCCAGAGGCAATTAGGGTTGTCAAGTGAAAAAAAGAGATGCCCATTAGTTAGTTGCTAATTAATCACTCCGGTGTTTTGGAGAGAGCGAACATAGCCATAAAAATGTATTATGAATATTTGTCGTCAAAGTCTTACGTGTTAAATTAACCTAGGGCAGTTGAAAGTTGGACTTTTTCACCACTGCTAACGCATTATTACAACATACCTGTCAACCCATAATACGGTTTACCCGTATTGTTGTACAGAGAAATTGAATAAAAATGAATGGTAGTATATTTGTTTCTCCCTTGTGATGGGACTTCGTAGGATGAACGTTGAGATTTATAAGGGGCACGGGGTGACCAATAAGGTCTGAATTGGTCTGTAATAAGGTAGGGGCACTGATAAGGGGTTGACAGGTATGGTAACAATTTCCAATGATCAATCCAAGAATAGATAACGGGAAGTGTAAACATTGTATATGTATGCGTAGGGACAGACAAACGAAGGAGATGTCTGGTTATTTGCTGAGAACCGCTTTGCAAGATGTTGGCATTGCCTTAATACCAGTAATTTTGGACTATATCTTCTTGGCAAATTTGAACCTGGAGTCTTGCGAATAATTGTGACCTTATTCATCACGGGCAGCATAATTGAGGTAAGAAATGTGCATCTTTCAACCAAGGCATGATGTCCAAAACTGTGGAAATAATTCCAAACACGTGGTACAAGCAAAGAGCACATCACAGTGCTTGACTTCTCTTTACCTACAACTTCACCGTCACATTACTCAAAACTGGTGAATTCAAAACACTAACATCGAATTGTTGTAAACATCCCACTATTCAAGTCCCGTAACGCTTCGATAGAGCAAGATTGTCTCCGAGCTAATTGCCGTGAATGCACCTAATCGTGTAGGATCTTCAAACCTATGAAAGGTTGAGCTGGATTAATCATTTGGATGGCCGATGATCAGCGCATACCAGGTGTGGTAGGCCTGGGTCTGCAAGGGCTGCGGTGCCAGATGGTAGTACAGAAATGGGAAATTGTCCACAGATTTGGTCCACATAGTGGAATGAGTCTGGATTGAATCTATCTGTTCAAATCTTTTGAGTGTTATCCTCTTATAGGAGATTCCTCCCACATGCCACTTACAAACATCCCGTTGCAGGATCTTCCTGAAAATAATCTTGAGACTGAAGTCTTCTATGCAAATGGGATTATTATACCGTACTTAGTGGCAGTGGCTGATTGTAAGTTTTGAGACCGACTTTTGGAATATCAATTATATTGAACGGACTGCATTTACTTGAAAAGATGTCATTTTATTTTGTGTGTAGGCTTAGACATATAAAACTTCGAAATTATATACTACTCATCAAATATGTTAAATGTATTAGCTTTCATGGGCAACATATGTGTCCGATTCTTTTTAAGATGACATCTAATTCACAAGAGTATTCAGGCAATAATCAACAGGAAATGAGGAATAAAATTAACGTGTAATATACTGTATTTACAGACAATTGCTCAACAGAAAAAAATTAAAGTGAAAATCTTGCTCCAAACAGACAATAGGAGCAGTGTTTGTGGTATCAGTGACATCTGCCACAACCCTTAAGCTGATGAAACAGAAAGTCCAATGTAAATGAGTGACTTGTCAGCTCTTGGATAAACCTCCTTAAGGCAATTAACGCTTCAAAGATTTTCTACCCAAATAAAAGTTGGCTTTTAAGAGTCAGTGTCAGCACCGTGTAGATGTGGACGTAAAAGAGAACTTAAGTTGAAATTATAAAGGGTGCGGGGAGGCTGGTTACGATTGCGAGCTGCTTTCGGTGTGTCCTCGGGCAATGTTCACTTTGTTTGTCATGTATATATTCACAATTCATATCCCACATAGTTTAAATACATGCTGACAGTAATTCGTATTTACCATTAGGATAATTACGATTATAAATTATTTGCGGCCGCTCTGCGTGGAGTGCGTCGTAACAGTGAAGTCATTCAACTGTATTGTAATGTGAGACAATTTGTACTGACGCACTATCATGGCCAACTGGACACTCATACACATGACCTCACTGCAGCGTCATTTCAGCTGCCAGTTCCTTACTCTGTGGGTGGGGCTATCCTTATTTAATATCAATAACTATATATAAGTATCAATTATAATATTGATTTGAAGCTTTCGTGACTGCAGGAATCCATACTCTTTGGTTATTTCGGTAAAGTCACGTGGGTAGAAACGTCGTGATTTATTTTATTCTATACCTACGTGACTTTACCGAAAGAACCAAAGAGTGAGTATCAATTATGCTTTCAGTTTCATGTCATTACATTAATCCATTTGGAATACTCCCAGGCAGTGCCTCCCCACCATTTTAGAGAATGCCTGGCAGAAGCAAAGGTTACAGAACTAATGCTGAGATCCCGCAAATTATACTACCTCCTCTGTAATAGATGAAAATGAAATTCATTAAGGAAAAAGAAAATACAAATCTGAAAACTAAATGGGGAAAATTTCAACAGGTCTGAAGATGAGATGTATTCAAGGAGAAAGGAAACATTTATGCCAGATGGAGGCAAAGTGCAACAGAACAATATGAAAAAATGCAGAGGTGGAAGCAACTGAGAAAGTATGCGCAAAGACAAACGGAGGAAAGTGTCAGGGCAGAAGGTTCCGGAGCAGGGCGGGAGGAGATGGATAAAGAGGGTAACATGGAGAGAGAAAATCCAAGCAGACAACCCCAAGGCCATAATGGAAGATTAGTGACTGGGCTGAAACCATTATCTCATTCAATTTGAGAACCTTGTTTAAAACGTGAACGGCAGACCCAAATTTAACTCGGGGTCTCAGTCGGTGCCGGCTTATTTCTTTGAACTCTTGCCACCCAGGGGTGGGGCTATTCTTGACCAGACGTCTCACCAGCCACAGGTCTGCTGTTCCTGTCTCTATGTAATCGACATCAAAGGTGACATCAGATGCTATTTTTGGCCAATCAATGCACAGTTACTCACAAGATGGGCAACACCCCTGTACATTTTATCCATGGTTTAATATGTGCAGCAAGATTAAAGATAAATTGGGTGTGCCAAGGTGCACCAAGGTGTGCTTAGTGGCACTGTGGCATTTCATGCAAGTGCTGTGTTGTCCTGTTCTCATTTACACTTAGTATTCCTTCCACCCCACTCAAAATTGTAAATCGAATTATAACTCAATTTACAAAAATGTGAATTCTCGCATCGTGTGACTGACAGATAACATACATTATGATACACCAACTCGCATTGTAGAAATTGTTTTGATTTCCAATTGGTTCTACTTCATAAAAACAGGGCTTCGCCTATCGATTTGAAGATTTGGTACCAAAGAAGACACCCCACACATTTGAAATACAGCGCGAGTCCTACCCCAAATTATTTTGTGCATGAGGTACACATTTATCTAAGACACATATAACGTCATATGTACCTGGTCTTGACCAGAAATGGGAGGACAAAATACATTAGTGTACGCAAGTGGCAAAAACTCTTAATAGAGGTCATCACTCTGGATCATGCCCATGTCCAAGTTCACACAATGATGCGTACGCATTAGTGACACGCCCAATCAAAAAGAGAAACAAAAAAAGAATACAAATATTTCCAAAGACGTAAATTTCAATCAGCTGTCTTGATAACAGCACAGATGATGAAGACCGTACGTTTTGACTGCTCGCCAAATCCGCCATCACGTACACGTGACATCTTGGCACAACGTCTCGCTTGAGTGGCACGACCGCTACTGAGCAACATGCCTGAACTCGTCCAGGATGTAGCTCGGGACGTGGGCTTCGATCACCTGCAAACAAGGAACAAACATCGCCACTATTCTCAGTCACACACAATCTGTTTAATTCAAAACCTTGCCTCAAGTTCCATGTGCAACTGCTGTGATGCATAGACCACTGTTTTCGGGCACAGCTGGCAGTCTTTCACGAAATTCCAATCTGTAATTTGCAAATGCTAATCCCCAGCCTGCCTTTCTTATGGGCCATTGGGGATTTTAAAGGTTCCTCATTGATTCCTGGAAGCTTTGGTTCCTGAAACCACATTATTGTGTTGTGAAGCCCCAGCACATGCGGTGGGAATGGATCACACAAGCATTGTGCTTTTGATTAGAAAAATAATTGACAAGCTTAGAGCAAGTGCCCATAATCTGATAGCTCAAAGATCTGGGGTGATGGTTTGTGTAAGGATGGGTGCAGTGCAAACGCATTTCCCAAGCACACACCTGTCTCGTGAGCTGTGTGTAGTGCACAAAATCTTCTAGGAACACGAGGGTTCCAACCACATCCGAAGGCATCTCTGGAGATTTTTGGCTGCGAAAAACAATTCACACCGATTACAAGATAAAAGTCAAGTCAATTTATATTTTTTACAAATGTGGCACCTTTCTGGCACAAATGGACTACTCAAAGCACCATCACATTGATACTCAACATAAAAATTGGAAATTCTAGACAATGAGAAAAATATACATACAATTCATAGTTGTATGTTGAACTTCTTTCACACCGTACGTAGCCAACCGTGCTACAAAGGTGCAGCCCTACAATTTCTTGACCATGTTACTGCTGGAAGGACCTCACAAGTGGTAGCTCTAGATAGCCCCTCTATAGGGCATATGGCCTACTCTTCAACACTGACGAAATGTATTGGAAGGGGTGAGAAGTACCCACACTTTACCCCAACACACGTGGGTACACCAAATTATACTGCTTGGTGAACTCAGGATCGCAAATACGGTGTGGCAAATATACCACAACAGCATCCGTACCGTTAAGGATATGGCTCGTTAAATCCTAGCCACAGTTAACACCAGTGCAAAGTGCTATTTGAACCGATTATGCCCCCACCCCCCTTTTAACAAACCTTCACCAACCATTTTGATGGCGAATGACAAAACAACCAGACAGCATGAAGTGCCAGGTGCCTTCAAACAGCAATGGTTTGGCAAAAATCTGTAGGTGAATTATTATGAATCTTAAGTCAGCAAACTCTACTCTTACCTGCCAGTAATTCAGGTGCATGGACCATGCTCTTATCTGGCTATAACCCAGGTATTTAAGAGCTATGCTAAAGTCAGGTTTTCTACAGCGCAGGTATACGTGTGGACAGATACTGCTTGTAAAGCTGCCTGTGACCCCTGGCGTGCGCTCGAGTGTGCTGTGCGTGGTGTGCGAGGGAGAGATGAATGTGCATGAACACGTGTGGCCAGGCTTAAACCGTGTGTGTGCGGCCTGGGCAGTGTGCTGGATTAATTAGGGGGTCATCATTATTATTTTCATCGTTATCATTACCTGGTCGTGCACTGCTCCAGTAAGGAGCGCACTAACTGGCCCAGCAGTGCCAGGAACTGCTCGGTGTTGCGCGAGTGGAACTGCTTGAGCAATGTGAGCATTCCCACCACCATGGGCGGCCAGTCCAGCCCATCACCCGCCCGCCTGCTCACCATGCCTAGACACAGCGGACGTTGGTGTTGGGGGTCAGGGAGAACAAGCATTGTTGGATTTTCACTTGGTCCTGCCTCTGTAGCGGGGCAGCAATAGCACATGCCCTAGGGTTGATGGATCACATAAATGTTGTGAAACTCCTGTCCAGTGGGTGTCGCCAAGGTGCCATACTCTGCCTTGCCAGCAGAATACAGAACAGCGGGCGGACTAATCTCCATCTGTTTCCATCTGTACGGGGATAGAGTGTTGCCCCCTCGCGCGCGTACGTTTTATCCGGGTGCTCCGGTTTTCTCCCGCTTGTATAAACACTCATCATCAGTTGGCTGAAAAAACTTTAAAAAAAAAACAATGCAGCACCCTCCTGAAAATAAGTCCTATGACTCTCCTAGACATAAAGAAAAAAACCTGTAATCACGACAATAAGTGTGAAGCTGATAGCGCGTAGTATTATTACAGTAATGAGCGCCACGGTAACGAGATGTTAACTCCCTCGCCTAGTATGCAGAAGGTCGTGGGTTCGATTCCGACCCTGACGCCTGCTGTATATTCGGAGTTTGCATGTTCTCCTCGTGATCACGTGGATTTTTCTCCAGGCCCTCCGGTTTTTCTCTCCACATTTAGAATTAACATCATGCATTTAGAGTATTTGGCTGCTATACATTACCACATAAGCCACTTCGCTAATCTATAATTTGAGGCCAGGCCGCTTCTGAAAACGAGCTAATAATAGCTCAGTGGGCCTTACCTGATAAAATAAAAATAAAACATTTTTGTTTAATAGTTGAACTACACCCATAGTGATAACAGAGGCTTGTGTTCGTTAAACTTGCATAGTATTAATATTCTCAGTTGCCCCACATGTAATCAATCACCTAAAAAATTGGTTACGGTTCAGTCTTCGTCAGCAGTATATTAACTGCCTTTCTTTCTAACAACAGAATATGCATTTCCATTGTCCAATATAGCATAAATTCATGTGAACCGAAGCTTTCGGCAAAAAATTGGCCAACATTTAAAAAGCACATTGTCTCTACATAGCAATATGTTCCTTTACGGTTTGTGACCAAACAATTACTTTCGGGGCTTTTATTTTCATGTCATCAGTGGATTCGCTCCAATAAGTTATTTAATAGGGTGGTTTTTTTTCAGCGGAGGGGGGAGGGGGGGGGGGAGAAATTAAACAATGCATGGCGCAAAAAACGCGTGGACACGAGAGAGAAACCCACCCACTGCCTTGCTGTACTGTAGCTTGGGTAGATGCGCAATGACGCACAGGAAGTTAATGAGTGGGAAATGCGGCAGCCGCTTGGTTGTGATGTAAATCTGCACCACAAGAGGGGGGGAGGGGGTGGGAAATGAGGTGGAGTAAAACAAAAGCTCTTACAAGTAACTGGTCTCGATAAATGAACACGTTCAAATGTGTTCACGGCCATTTGTTTACGAGTACAAGAGCTAGATGAAAAACGAAGGCTTTCGCAAACAATATTATATATAAGAAGTTTTTTTTTGGGTTACATCGCAATTCTGGCCGTCGCCTGATGAGTCTGGTTGTAATTACCGGCGAAATGTTGCCCTCGGATTGTAAGCATTGTGAGTTTACTCTCCAACACACCGGTGTGCTGAAGTAATTGTCATGTTTTGTTTACGTAAAAAAACCTTACTACTAATTGGCTGTCGGGTGGTGGCGTCTTTAACGACACATTTATATTTACGCGATCTAAGCCCAAAAAGTAATATTTTAAAAAAAAAACTTTTTTAAAAACACGCTTTCATGAAATGTACTAGTAATGGCAGAACTCCACGACTCCAGGAAGTGGCCCCGAAGCTTGCCACAACGTAAGGGATCGTGGTCATTTAAGCCAACGTCAGTTGACCGTGGACAATTAGACCGAAGCCGAAACATAACATGTAAAAAATGTTTAAAAATATATATTTTTTATTATAAAATATAGTATTGTCATCAGTGTGACATAAGTATACCAAGTTTGCAGTCGATACCACATTAGGAAGTGGCTTAAAATTGAGTTACAAAATTTGACAATAAGACAACAACAGAGTGAGTTAAAAGAAAGCGTGTAAAAAAAACTTTTATGGAGAAGATTCAGATGGATAATTGACCTATGGAATAACTACAAACTAAAGATGTCTATAGAACCTTTCTTGACATATCATTGCAAAGCTATTTTTAATCTTCATAAAACAGTGTGAACAATCATTATTATACAAGCATCGGGAGCATTGCATCAGCCTTCTCATTGCGCTCCCCCCCCATCTTTACCCGGACCTCTCCGGAGAAGCAAACAAACGCGTTTTGGGTTTACTGGACACTTAACGATTATTCACCTTCATGATAGATTCAAACGTCACGACCCAGGTTCGTGAAGTGACTGAAGAATAGATTGTCTCATTTTGACCATTTAAAATGAATAAAAAAAATTGTCCCGTTTCGAATTATTTCGTCCCGCTTACAGTTTTGTTGGCGAAGCTCACCTAAATGAAACATTTGCATAAATTTCCACAAATGTGCGAGCACAACCGTTTCTCACGTGCATGACTCATCGCACATTCTTCGAGGACATTAGCGCTTATCCATCGACAAATGGCCAAGGTGGCAGGATGTTAACAACCTCGCTTGGTATGCAGGAGGTCGTCGGTTCAATCCTGACTGATGCCTGTACATTTGGCGTTTGCTTGTCCTCCCCATGCTCTCTGGATCCTAGGTTTTTCTCTCCACATTTAGAATCAACATGCGTTTAGAGCATTTGTCCGCTATGAATTTCCACGCGATAAGCCACTTCGTCGAGTGATCACTTGTGGCAAAGGTCGCTTCTGATAAAGGGCTATACAGAGCCCAGTGGGGCCTTACCTGGTAAACAAAAATTAGATGATAAGTTTTAGTTTAGAATCGATGCATCGCTGAATGGCTAAGGCCTACCTTGAAGCGGCCCTGCGCACGCTTACCTTGTTTAGAGGGTTGTTTATCCCCGCCGCCTCCAGGTAAGAGGTGAGCTCGAAGAGCAGGGGGTTGTCCTCTCGTGGGTACGGGCGGCTCGGCTCGGCGTAGTGGGCCTGCACGTCTGCCAGCAGGGCCCTAGCAGCAGAGCCCGCGGTGGAAGATTATTAATAATAAGAATAATAAATGTATTTATAACGTGCCAGATTTTGCAGACAAGTCGACAACTCCGAGGCGCAGAGCCAAGCTCAGGGCTGCGCGAAAGCCTGACCAAACAGATAGGCCCTTTAGATGTTTCTTGAAAGTCAGAGGGCATTTGATACTGCAGATGTGCAAAAGGATAGAGTTCCACGCCGAGGGGGCGACAGCAGAAAACCGACGGTGAGTCAACTTGTGTGTACGTTGAACTTCTTTAACACCGTACGTAGCCAACCATGATAATGGGAGGTGCAGAGGAAGGACAACAAACTACACACACACACACACAGAAAAATATTCCAAATAAGTTTTCAAACTAAACGTAAAAAAGGAAACTAACTTGTTAAGTGTCATAAGTGCTCCAAATAGAGTCTTGGAGTCGAGTTTGCAGGAGTAGCTGAGCTCATGAGCCATCTGTCGCCTTAGCAGCTGAAGCTGCCCAACCTGCGCAAAAAAAAGTACAACTTTAAAAACAAGACGATGTCAGCATTTGCCACTAGTGGGCACGACTTGGTCGTTTTAACTTCCGCTCCATCCCCAAACCATTCTCAGCATATCGCCAGGCCTCGACGCCAAGTTCCACTCTCTCCAGGTGCATATACCGACGGACAAAAACTTTGGATGCCCAAGACAATTATTGTGAGCCAAGTAGGTCAAGATGCGGCCCTGCAAACTGCTCAATCATGCCACTGCTGGCAGAAGGGCCTCCACTCGAGAGAGCTCGAGACAGCCCCTCTAGTGGAGGGTATTTTGGCCGACTCTTCAAAGCTGGCCCAGACATCTTGGAAGAGGTAATGAAATCAGGAACTTAATTGTGTGGAATTGTTTATTTGTCTAATGATGTTTAATAATTTAAGCATCTTTTAAAAAAAGACAACTTGGGCAATTTATGACTTCAGCGAGTCGTATTAGCAAGATGTGACCTCTTAAATCAGTACCAATGGGTACCCTGATATTAAGGGGGCAAGATCCAACTACCCTCATCAGTTTTCCTATAAATTGTTTTGCCGAGGTGTCACAACTAAACACTTTTACTGGTATATGATACTGGTAGGAACCTCCTGGTTACACCAGCCCACAGGGGATTATTGTGTCCGTCCGTCGTGCATCCATAAATGGGAGGGGTGGGGCTGGGTGGAAAGGGGAGGGTGGGGAAGGGCTGGGTTGGGGAAGGGATGGTGGGTAGGGGCTGGGTGGGGAGGGGCTGAGAGGGGAGGGTGGGGAGGGGCTGGGTGGGGAGGGGCTGGAAGGGGAGGGGTGGGGAGGGGCTGCTCACCCCGTGGTGCCCTTATAAAACTCAACGTTTAACCTACTCACGCTGGCTTGTGCCCGCCCTCACAGTCGGGCATATTTGCGGAATACACCACGTGGTGGTGCCGTTGACCCTGGCCATTGACCGAGCAACCCAACGTTCCTACCAGCTCCCTCCGCAGGAATGTGTTTGTGTAATTTCTAAGAAGCAATAGCAGCGAATACGATTATTCATAATCCGTGCAATCCCTTTTATATCCAGGATAACTGATTTTATGTTGAGAATAGGTTTTCCTCTTTTTTATGGCAACAAAACAGGTGTTAAGATGTTAAAACACCAAACTGAAACCTTTTACAAGGAATCATGTCTGCAGTAACCGCAATACTTGTGGTCAGAATGCAAACAAAAAACACTCTGATCATATCTGCATTGTCCTTGAAACTGATTGGTCCACACCAGACAGCTTTCTTTTGAGCCTCGTCTCAAACGGTGTTAGACCAGAGGACCAATCAGTTGCAAGGACAATGCATATATTATCAGAGTATGTTTTTTGTTTGCATTCTGACCACAAGTATTGTGGTTAATGCAGACATGATTCCTTGTAAAAGGTTTCAGTTTGGTGATTTAACATCTTAACGCCTGTTTTGTTGTCAGAAAAAAGGAGAACAACTATTATTATATTTTTGGTACTGGCAAAGGAGGTCCCATAATGCTGTTATGATATTTTCTCAATTTCATATTGAAAGTTAATTATTAGCATATACAAGCAGGAATGTTTTAACTTAACAGTTGCTTTTATGTCATCATACTAATGATGTCTTTGTTCGACCAGCAACGCCTAATTAAGCCTCAAGGACTTATTTTGGCAAGCTTCTGTGCTCATGCAATGAATGGGTAGTAGCAGAGAAAGAACCACACGCCACCTTGAGGATGATGTCCATGTAGCCAGGCCAGATTTTCTGTGACTTTGATGTGGCGGATGAATACACTTTGCTTGCGTTGGCTGCAAGCGACGGAGGCAGACAGAACACCGCGAAAGCCAGCAATTGATGTCATGTGCACAACCAAATTCTATACTCTGTCACACAACACAACATCACTGGGGCGAATGTGAAGTGTCTAAATCGCATTTTTATGTATGTTGAACTTCTTTCGCACCGTATGTAGCAAACCATGCTAATCAGAGGTGCAGGGAAAGGACAACAAATCAAACTCAAAAAGCAGTTATAAAGATATTAGTTTCAAATCTAGATTCAAAAGTGCATAGCTCCAGTGGCTTCCTAATGTCAAAAGGAAAAGCTTTCCAGACGACCGCAGAAGCGCATCTGAGAGAGTGTGTGATGCAGTGACCGTCTTTGTTAAATGGTTAGCCAAAAAGCCGCTGTGAGGATGACCAAAATTTGCATGATGGTTCATGCTCCTTGATGACATCAGCAAAGTATTGTGGTTAATTTCTGGCAAGCCACTGTGTGCATAATGAGTGCGTCCTTAAAATGTATATATTGTATATGTATGTTGAACTTTGTTCGCAGCGTACCAAGACAACCATGCTAATCATGAAAGACGTGGATGTGCTATGGTCTTGTTGCCCTCGTGTGATATAGATTTTTTTCCTTCCAGAATTATTTTATTGAAAAAGGAAGAAAAAAAAACAGAAGGTACAGGGTACGTTCAAATGGAGTTGGGTGGGGGAACACGATGGAGTAACCTCAACAAGCGAGTTAGGGTCCCACACATTAGGTGAACGTTATAAATGGAAGAGACGTAGTGGAGAGGTGATGCTATGGAGGAGTGTTGTAGTTTAGGCAAGTGAGGCTATGAGAGGGTGTGATGTGTTACGTGGAGGTTGTGCGATTCGTGGAGCGGTAATCGGTCCGGGTGTGATTTTAAAAGACTTTGTTCTCAACACTCTAGTGACATCGCTGCACTAACACAGTAATGCAACGCACAGCGGTGATGTCATTATGGTGACAACACTAAAGTGACGAAATGGTACATCTGACAGGCCCTTAAAAACGCTGTTCTATCTCATTAACCAGGTTTCAAACTCATGTCTGGGCAGTCTGGGGCACACATTTAAAGTGCGCATCTACAAAATAAGGCTATTAATTTTTTCATGACATTTTTATTTTTTTTATGGATGTTGGTTATCTGCAAATGGGTCCCCTCCTCCAGTTCAAGCAGTTTATTGAATATACTCATTTGGTGACCTATGTCATCACTCTTGAAATATAGACTTATCCCGGTCTCTTGAGTTCTCCCCCCAGGTTAAAGAAAAGAAACTTGAAACTCCACGAATGAGAGGGTTTGTTTTGATGTAGACGCCCACCAAGTATGCCCTTGATGGGGTTGGCAGTCTTCATGAACGCAGTAAACGAGTCCATGAGCACCTTATCCTTCAGCACATTCTTCTGCAGGTACTCGACCGCATTCTGCAATGAAGGCAGCGGCCACGTCAAAACCCAGCTTGGTACAACGGCGGCAGGTCATAGCACGTCGCGCTGTGGCACGGGGCGGCCGCAAGATAACCACGGGGCGGGCTAGCGAAGGGTGGCACGGCACGGTGCGACGTGGCACACAACGTCAGATGGTGGCTTGGTACAGTATGACACTCGGCTCAAACCTTCCATAAATCATGAGACTTCTGTGTGGCCACTGCCACTGAATCCCTTCGCCTCTTCCCGCTGCCCCCTGTGAAAACAGACGCCGTTCCATGTGGCGTCAAGACCCTTATGTAGCCTTTTCCTCCCATTCCTCATCTTTCCTGACTCTTTGGGTCCAATTTTCTGTACCTTTTCTATATTTTTCCTATCAATTCCCATTATTTATCTTCTCTCTTCCCTTTCCCATTTTTTCCGTATATAATATATCCTTCACTCTCCTCCCCCTTCGATGGTCTGGCCACAGGTACAACGTTGCTAGTTGGATAAAATACATTATCCTGGTTGATATGTATGTATTTTGAACTTCTTTCGCACCGCATATAGCTAACTGTGAGAGTACACCTGGCTTCGTTGGAATTCAGGCGTGTAGCCAGCAGGTGCCACAGTGAATCATATCAATGTGAGCAGTCTCGAATTTCCGAGTTCAAGCCAGCAAGTCACTGTGCCAAGCAAATCAATATCCTCATGCTCCGTTAAGTTTAAAGATTTCAGTCAAATGACCAACAGACCTCAAATGGGTATTTGCATTTGATGAAACTGTAGCCAGTATAACAAAAAGAAACATTCAGTAATTGGCTGAAAACGTCTTAATATAAATGCACCTGTGTGATGCAGATGACAAAATGCAATTTGCATGCATGCTTTATAAAACAGATGATTATGATACTTAAATAATAATTTACAGCCCTTTATCAATGTTGGTGAAGCTCCCCCCCCATCTCCCCACCACTAACAGCTGGTGTGGGACATACATGTATTAACTCTCTTCATTTATTAAAATATAGTTTTGTCCTCATTCTGATTGTAACTCGAGAACCGAAACGTAGTACAAGGCTGAGCAGTACACCGAACATCGGAATTTAAAAAAAACTTTTAAAATGCAAGTTTCTTTTTTTTGCGAGGGAGTGACCTGACCAGAAGCGGGCAACACATTTTAACGAAGAGAACAGATTCACTGACCAACGCCTCACTGCCGTCTCGAATTCCAAAGCAACTGACATGAAGCAAATACAGTAAAACCTTGGATTGCGAGTAACTTGGTCTGCGAGTGTTTTGCAAGACGAGCAAAAATTTAAAATAAATATGAATTGGATAAACGAGCGAGGGTCTTGCAATACGAGCGGTACGTATACGATTTGTCTGCCGAGCGTCACGTGATCACAACTGATAAACGGAGTGCTTTGGTATACGAGTGCTTTGGATTACAAACACGTTTCCGGAACGAATTATGCTCGCAATCCAAGGTTTTACTGTACCACAGAGTACACAACTGTGTTTGTCCATCGTGAAGTGAGAGTGCAGACTGCAAACCATTCATCCATTGCGACAAAAGGACAACAGCTTCGAACACGGCTACTCTGCCTGTGAATGCACATACCTTATCTTCGCTCTGCAGATAGCTCTGACTAGGACGTCCCGCATGTAAAAGATAAGTTTGGGGCGCACGACTTCTCGGATGTTGGGCCTAAGGCTTGGAACTCACTTCTCAGCAAACGGAGTGCCGAGAAACTTGAAAAGATCTTTCTGAAACTTCTCAAATATTATCTTTTCAAACTGGCTTTTGATGCTTAAACTTAGATTTAATAATGTGATGCGCTGCTGTTCAACTGTAGCGATGCGGCGCTAAAGGCGCCACCGCCACAAAAGCGTGAGAGTGAAATCTGACATTACCTGCAGCTCCCGAACAATCATAAAGCTCAGCAGACGGTCGAGCCCAGTGAGACCGAAGGTTCCAAGGCTCTTCTGGACCTCGGAGAAGAGGCGGCTGTTTGTGAGCTCCTGCTTTGTGCGACCATCGTACCAGATGCTCAACTGATCCACGTAGGACGTCGTTCTGTTGGGAGTGGACAGTCACAGGAATATCACATCACATCAGGCCAATCCTCTAAACAAGACTGAACACTAGGACACGGACTGATTTCTCCCTCTGCTGAAATTCAATGAATTGTCACAATTCCTGAGTAATGATTAAATGCAACCAGCCATTAAGCTTGTATTGTTCACACTTGTCATACATCGCGTTGCCAATCTTCTCTGTAACCTTGGGTGGTGACATGGCCAAGCGGTAACGCATTCGCCACTTGCAGAGGTTGACGCTTCGAAAGCAGCGGCCGCCCTGGTTATTGCTGCAAGAGTATTGTCGAACTAGCAAACACACGCCGTCTGCTTCAGTGGACGGTACAGATCCCGTGACGTAATTTGTAAGAGTGGGCCTTTTGTGTGCCGGCGTCGTTGTCCAAATTAGCTAAATTAAAAATATCAACTGGAAATTACTGCAAAAACTACGTTAGACTCTCCTGAAAAAGAGTCACGACACTCAGCAAGGCTTTCCTGAGCATAATAAAACGCTCAAAAAAATATCTGTAAAAAGAACAACCTTTGTATTTCTGCTATGTAAAACTAAGTTGTGCTGTGCATCATGTGCACTAGGCTTGCGCAATTTTCCGCAGCGACACTTGCTTGGGGTCTGTGATGCGAAGGATTTCACGGCACAGGCGTCCGATGAAGGTGGCCGATTCATCCGTGGGCTGAAACTTGGGGATGGGGATGTGAGTCGACTGGTAGATGCTCTGCCAATCCTGTACCTGCAGCGCAGACACATGTACAATTCACTCAGTTGTCTGTGGAATGAACCCACTCGCCTGGTCACTTCGCAGTTCCACACTATCAACACCTGATTAGTGGCGAGATGTTAACTTCCTCGCCTAGTATGCAGGAGGTCGTGGGTTCAAACCCAACCCCGACACCTGCGTATTTGGAGTTTGCATGTTCTCCCCGTGATCACGTGGATTTTTCTTCGGGTCCTCTGGTTTTCCCCCTCTACATTTACAAACATGCGTTTAATTTGGCTGCAATACATTTTCAATAGAACGGCCACTTTGTTGAGCAATCATTTGTGGCCAGGTCGCTTCTGAAAAAGAGCAATATATAGTTCAGTGGGCCTTACCACGATCCCGACATGGAATTCAACTCACGACCTCGCGATTGCGAGTCGATCGAGCTGCCTCGGGTAAACGTTCCCAGCGTTTAAAAACGCTGACCTTGGTGCGCAGGAAGCTGTTGCACTCCTGCTCCACGTTGTAGTTGATGATGCGCGACACCTCCTCCTGCCAGATCTTGAGGCCGTACACGCTCACGTAATCCTGGATGTACTCAAACGAGCGGCGGAAGCCATCCATGCGGGCGGCCAAGTCGTGTAGTTTGGGCATCAGCTCGCTCGACTGGTGGAGGCAGGGGGCAAACAGATGAGTGCGGGGAGTCGGTCAGAGTCAGAGAAAGCCATGGACAGAGACAACGGAAGACAGGTAACGAAAACACAAACCATTATAGAGACGCAAATTATTATCATTACTCAGCAGCATGAGCGGCTACTCCAATCAATGGAGATGTTTTTGATATAGCGCGCTCTAAGTTTCTCAGAGCATCCTACATCTCATCTTAAACATTTGAAAGGGCACCCCCAATGTCAGCTGTCCCTGTGGGCACAAGGAGAGACTCAGCATCTGGCTTACAAAAAGACATTAGTCTTCCAGTAAGACGTGAAGATTGTTATATATAGAACCACAATTGAGTAATTTGCGGGGTTATTTTCGAATTTGGCCACTTTGGACCATGATGTAGGCCATTGTGAGTTGGCACACAATGGCCTACTCTTGGGAATGAGGTCAGGGGATCGTAACATCCAACGTAAAGCATATGGCCCATAGAATCAGTGGCTATTACACCTGCAGTAATAATCAGGGTGGCCGCTGGATTCGAACTGTGATCCTCTGCAGGGGTGGAGCCAAGGGGGTGACAGGGTAGACAATTGTCAGCCCCGAAAAAAAATTAAAAATCGAAAAATCTGAAACATTCTGCGTATAAGTGTACGACACTCGGTCTGGCGGACTCCGTGCAACTGCATTGTCAGAGTGTGTCGCCAACCGATGGCGTGGGGGTATAGCCGATTTCTCATTCAATCATTCTTGAAATTAAAATTTGTTGAACGTCACCCCGGGCTGAAAATCCTGGCTCCGCCCCTGATCCTCTGCAACATCGCTGGGCCACGTCACCACCCCACCAGCATTTGGGAGCCATTTTTATTATTTGCAAATTACACACTGGCACAATGTCAGCAGCTCACCAGAGCTCACCACATTTCTGCACGGCAAATCTAGAATCTGTGAACATAACCCCGACCGACGACGCGTTTGACAGGAGGTTCCGGCTTGACGCACCTTGGCCTTGGGGTTGAACGTGAGGCCAGTGTGCAGTGCGGCCGCCACCTGCTTCACCATCTCCTTCCTGATGCCGTCCTCCAGCAGCTGCTTGGGATCCACCTGGTGTGTGAGGCACAGCCGGTGAGAAGGACGCCAATGACCAATTCATGTCCAGAATCTGCGTGACGTCGTCAGATCTCCAAAGCTCTGTCGGGCTAAGTCTGGTTAGAACTTGGGAGGGGGATCACCACCTGCACATACCATGTGTTGATGGCAAAATGTTAACTACCTTTCCAGGTATACAGGAGGTCATGGGTTCGATCCCGACCCTGACACCTGTATATTTGTAGTTTGCATGTTCTCCGCATGGGCATGTGGATTGTTCTCCGGGTCCTCCGGTTTTTCTCTCCAAATTCATAAATATGCGTTTATGAGTATTTGGCTGATATAATTTTCCACATGAACAGCCACTTCATTGAGCTATAATTTGTGGCTGGATCGCTTCTGAAAAAGAGCTATATGGCTCAATGGGCCTTACCTGGTAAAATATAAAAAAATAGTTTATTGTTTATGATGTTTGCTTGCTAGGGATACCTATTGGTGGATGGCTCAATTGTTTGTCGAAAGATGTTCACTTTCAAGTTGGATGATGTGGAACTGTGAGGTGGCCAGGTGTTGGCAGTGCAGCAATGGGTTCAGTCCACAAGTTATTAAATTAACAACATATATATCTGTGTATTTTATCTGCCTGTGCATACTATTCCTCAAATGCGTGGGTTTTATCCAAGTACTCCAGTTTCCCCCCACATGCCAAACACTCATGGCTTGGACAAACATCATAGTGCAGGATAATTCATTGTTTGGAATTCTGGCAAATTGTCTCCAGTTCTCACGGGTCTATACATTCCTTCTTCAATGCTCCTAGGGTTTTTTTTCCCAGTAAGCTTCTTTACTCCATCATCCAGCCTTCTGGTTTCAGGGCAGCCACGAGCTAATTTCCCTTCAATTACTCCTTGCATGAGCAATTTCTCCCAGTTGTCATTAATAGTCGCATGCCCAAGGTACTTTTTTTGTGATTTGTTTAATGCAGGACTCTCCTGACATGGTCTTGAGACTCAATTAGACTTTCCCGGGTGAAGGGCCATAATTACATTTCATCTGAATCATAATCTTTATAAATTTCCTAAACCGATCTTGGTTTGATGTGCTAATAAGCGCCACTCCATGACATGTCACCTATAATATGCAGTTTGTTTTCTTTTACGACAGCGTTATTGACAATTGTGTCGAGTTATTTTGTTATTTTATGTTGGATAGCGCAAATTAAATAATACCTGGATCCAATTAGCATCAACCTGGCAAGTCAGTACATTCAGGGAGCCTCCACTTTGTAAAAAAAAACCGTGTACAGAGAAACATGCAAATGCACATCTTAGAAGCACGCGCTTAATTAAACATCAGAAAGCATCAAACATAATCTAGAGCGACAAAATAACACGCAGAGTTGAACCTCTTACGAGCAAATGTCACGTTATATATAGTGGTAAACATTTCTAGCGAGGTACAAGTGTTATCCTTGCATGAAGCCACACAGCTGGAGTTACCTTTATGATGCCCACCAATGTGGTTTTCATCATCAGGATCCCTTCGGTGAACACGGAAATGGCATGTGTCGACTTGGCGAGGTACAAGTGTTATCCTTGCATGAAGTCACACAGCTGGAGTTACCTTTATGATGCCCACCAATGTGGTTTTCATCATCAGGATCCCTTCGGTGAACACGGAAATGGCATGTGTCGACTTGGCGAGGTACAAGTGTTATCCTTGCATGAAGCCACACAGCTGGAGTTACCTTTATGATGCCCACCAATGTGGTTTTCATCATCAGGATCCCTTCGGTGAACACGGAAATGGCATGTGTCGACTTGGCGAGGTACAAGTGTTATCCTTGCATGAAGCCACACAGCTGGAGTTACCTTTATGATGCCCACCAATGTGGTTTTCATCATCAGGATCCCTTCGGTGAACACGGAAATGGCATGTGTCGACTTGGCGAGGTACAAGTGTTATCCTTGCATGAAGCCACACAGCTGGAGTTACCTTTATGATGCCCACCAATGTGGTTTTCATCATCAGGATCCCTTCGGTGAACACGGAAATGGCATGTGTCGACTTGGCGAGGTACAAGTGTTATCCTTGCATGAAGCCACACAGCTGGAGTTACCTTTATGATGCCCACCAATGTGGTTTTCATCATCAGGATCCCTTCGGTGAACACGGAAATGGCATGTGTCGACTTGGCGAGGTACAAGTGTTATCCTTGCATGAAGTCACACAGCTGGAGTTACCTTTATGATGCCCACCAATGTGGTTTTCATCATCAGGATCCCTTCGGTGAACACGGAAATGGCATGTGTCGACTTGGCGAGGTACAAGTGTTATCCTTGCATGAAGCCACACAGCTGGAGTTACCTTTATGATGCCCACCAATGTGGTTTTCATCATCAGGATCCCTTCGGTGAACACGGAAATGGCATGTGTCGACTTGGCGAGGTACAAGTGTTATCCTTGCATGAAGTCCCACAGCTGGAGTTACCTTTATGATGCCCACCAATGTGGTTTTCATCATCAGGATCCCTTCGGTGAACACGGAAATGGCATGTGTCGACTTGGCCACCTGGAAGGATGGCATGAGGAAGTCGACTGTTAACTGTACGCTAAATCGTGTTGATACCAATAATCCCAGTGTCAAATCCTATTCTTTGAGGCTGCTAATTGCCTTGGAAGGGCACCGACCCTTTACAGTGGTAACTTGTTTAGCATATAAATGCAACTGCATCTCAAGATTGGCGGGGGGGTGAGCAACGAGGCCAAGTCAACAGCTCTTATGTCCTACTCTGATGTAATGCAATGAATCAAATCTTGAATAATTTTTGGTATTCGCGCCATTCTTAGAGCACCAGGCCATCACAAACGGCACTGTGTTCCACGTAGGATTATAGTCTACAGATTGCACAGTAAGGGGGCTTCCGATGCTGCCAAGTGGTTTAGTTATTTTTAGGTTATATTTAAATTGTGGAAAATTTGGATCATGGGGCCAGCACACATGGCCTTATTCTTTTCCAAAAAGTGTCATAGCATCTTTAATGTCTACTGTCAAGCAGAAGGCAGTGTTCATGGTTAATGCACCCCGCAGTATTAAGCAGGCCGGATGTGGTTCACGCCCCGCGTACCTCTGCAACAAGCAGAAAATGCACTACCGTAAGAAATACGTGATAGATTTGATTAAACTGTGGTCTTTCTTTTTCTCAATTCATCTAGCAGCACAGTTGTCTCCTATTGTTGAGCTGGCAGGGTATTATTCACCCGAACCCCTGTGATCTGATGAACCATCACGAATCATTGCTGTGGTGTGAAGGGCCATTGTCCGAAACATCTCCTGTTATATACTTTTACATTCAGGGCCGCAGTGTTATCGATACGCGTGTTAAAAATGTTGTTTGTGCACCACTGCCAACCAACGCAGCATCATTCGATAATTTGCCACGATTCGGGGTGCCACGAATGCGATTCCTCCGGGCGCATGGGGCGTGCGCACCTGGTAGCGAGCCTCCAGCTGTGCGCACTCGCGCAGTTTGTCCTTGTCGAGACGCGTCGGAACCTCCAAAATGTTGTGCGTCTGCAGCTGGATCACCTGGGCCAGGAGGCCAAACATTGTCTCCGGGATTATCTGCAACACCTGTAGGGAAGCACAAAGATCCCTCCCCGTATAGCAATACAAAGCTGTTGGGGAAAGAGATTGGCCCGTCCCACAAGAGGGCGGGTGTCGTCAGACCCACGCCCGGCTCCCTGTTTGTCTCCCCTGTGACGATATTTACACACCGCATCACGTGCTCATTTTTAGGCCAATTCTATCTAGGAAAAGACCAAGACGGGTGGGTTCAGATAATCATTTGTGGTCAGGTCGCTTCTAAAAAAAAAGCTAATAGCTCAATGGGCTTAACCTGGTAAGATAGAAAAAAAATGCTTAGTTGTATTTGTATGTTTTTAAGTGATTTGTTTACATTTCCTATACTTTGTACTCCTATCTTGTTTGTGTATTGTTTGTAGTAACGTTCTGACCTGCCCCTACTGGACATCTGAGCTTTATAGCTCATCGGATTTCTCCAGTATAAATACATATTCTGACTCTGGGCACGAGCAGCAATCGAACTCAGGTCGCAAGCTTCATAGAGCTCTGAAGCCCTTTGTTGGTTCTTCTGCACCTTATAAAAACGTAAATAATAATAATACTAGCGTAGCGCGTAAACCACCACACGACTGTTCCTGCAAATAAGCACTTAGAATAAAAATAAACAGGAGCACACAAGTACAGTGTGTTTATCGCCTGGAAGAGCCACACACACACATGGATAAGGGATGCCCCGTTTTAGCCTTGTCAAATGCTCGGTTGAGCAGTGTTATGCATTCATCTATTGACTAAATTAGATTTTGTATTCATTTATTTAATGTACTGTAGATATTTATGAAATACAAATCGCATAACATTGCAATAATATTACGCGATGCAATACAATTGGATTCGTGAAGTGTCGAGTGGGATGTAAGGATGGGGGGTTCGAATCTGGGAAGTTCACCAGGAATTAAATGAGGTCCTCGAGTATAGTCAGTTGATGGTCTTAGTCTGGTCTCCAGTCACTGCACAATGAAAAAAAAATATCTAAAATTCTTTTAGAAAAAAATATCTAAAATAAAAAAAAATTTCAATTCATTTGGCTACATTTCAGTTTTACTTCTCTGAAGCAGGTGACAGGAAAGGACACTTGCTAATATATGGACTTCACCATCTCAGCGTTCAGTTGATGCTGAACAGCATCAACTGAACGCTGAACGTGGACGCACCTTGCGTACGTAGGAGACAAGCTCGCCCGAGTAGTACTGGGACACACTCATGAGATCTGGGCTGTTGGCCTGGTTGATCCTCAGCAGGGGCAGGTCCAGTGCAGATGCCAGCTGGCAGGGAAAATGGGCATGGGTTATGAAGGGGGAATGACAAGGAAGGACAGGGCAGAATGTGGACAGCAGTAATGTATAACAAGGGGTGGACTTAATTTCTCTACACACCAGGATTGGTGGAACAAGAACAGACTGAATGGTTCAGATCTTACTTTGCTCCGAATGACAAGTAAAACCTCTGTTGTTATTTTGATAAACCAATCACATTTCGGGCATAGGTTCACTAAAACAGCAATTTCATTCTCGACAAGCTATGGAAACAGCAACAAAAGGCGTGCAAACATAATGGTGTCTTCACAAGCTCGTCACCAATTAAATTAACACGATAAATACTGTGACCAAAATGTTAAGTCTACTGGATTATAATGGAATCATAATAACCATAATGTGACTTCATGGTTGATGTGTTTAGAATAATTATAATAAACATATAATAAAACATCACAATCATCATGGTCATATCCGCTGTATTACTTGTCCCTGTATTGAAAACTGTTTATCGTGGTAATCACCCTGACCCTATTAATGGCAGAAAGATGGTAATATAATCATGCTCCTAGGTTATTTTGTTTAACCAGGTGAGAACTAAAGGGACGAGGATGAGTCTAATTTGCAAGAGTGACCTCAGGTATTAGTCTGCCAGTAGGGGGGCGATGATCGCTCTGTATAATCCCCATTGAGCAATTTGCGGTTAGTTTTTTCGAGTTCGGCAAAATAAAAATACTTGAACACTGGCCGTCATGTAATAGCCGTCCGGGGATCTTTAAAATACACTGTAAAGCGCAAAACCTCTGCAACAAGTGGGGAAAGTGCTGCCGCTATAGGCCGTGCCAGTGCCCTCGTGTTCGGAGCAGCATGGGTCTCTGCGGGTGTGTACCTTGAGGAAGGTGGCTCGAAGCCTCGTGACCATAAAGGGGTCCTTCTTGATGCCCTCCTGCATAATGCGAGTATAGCTACAGCAGAACGCATTCATGGAGGACATACAGTGATTACATTCGGAATAAGGTAGAGTTTTTGAAAAACAGCTTTAATTTAAAGGATGCTGAGATGTTACATGTATCACTCTTTGGATGTCAAGCGTGGACTTTTCCCAAAGAGATTAGGAACAGATTCATAAGCTTTCAATCAGTGTTATGGGAGAAAGCTGAAAATAATATAGAATGACAAAATGAATAAGCAAGCAGCTTCGAAAATAAATGCCAACTATTGCAACAATACAAAGCGTTAGACAGCTCATACAGTCTTGGCAAGTATCTAAGAGATTGCATCAATTTCTTTTTTGAGTGCAAATATGATGCACACTCACACAAAGGGATTGGATGCAACATAAGATGGCCCAGTAATAAAAACCATGGAGGTGGACAGATCTTTTTCACATTTGCAGCACCACACCTCTGGAACAACCTCCCCCCGAAGCAATCTGCACACTCAACTCCATCGCTACATTGAAGTCACAACTCGACAACAAATATCTTTACACTGGCATATAACAAATAACTCACAGCCACAGCCTGCTTTTATATATTTTAAACAACTATAGATAGTATGTAAATATATATTTTTTTCTCTTCATTGTTTGCCATTTTTGGTAAATTTCAAGTTACGTATTATTTGTGATGGCTCTGAGTAGCAGATTTGTGACAGAAAGGTGTCACATACATGTCAATAAATATAAATATGACTCGACTAATCTGTTCTAAAACAAATTGTTCTAATAAAGCTCTTTGAGAAATTTAAAACCATGGCATGTCAGAATCAGCATGGAAGGCACCAGCGAACTAAACATTCACTGGCTGAAGTTACCGACACCGAGAAGCCCAAGATAACTGAACACAAAAGCATTCTTTCCATATTAAATGAGAGCACCGTTTTGTGTGAGTTGGGCAAACAAACAAAAAAATATCCAGAAGCACACGGGCGCTAGCAGAGTTTTTAATTAACAATTAACTAAGGTCAAATTTCAATCAACAATTAACGAAGTCAGGATCTTCATAAAAAATTTAACAGCGCTGCATTTTAAATCAAGGATCGATGATGGCCACACTGCGGTGGACATCTGAGCGTAGATCGGGCGGCTGGTGACAGCGGTGGCCATGGCGAGCAGACGGGTGAGTGGGCGAACGAGCCAGCGTGCCCCATGGAGCACCTGTCAATGATTTCCCAGGCATAGGAGAGGTCGCCGATGATCTGCATGCTGATAAGCACCTCCTCCTTGATGTTGATGGTGCGAATCATCTGGTGCAGGAAGCGACGCGTGTCCGCCAGGAATTGGCACACCTACAAAAAGCGTCGGAGTGTTTACCAACTTTGGCAACAGCCAACGCTTAGTGAAAAACTCTTGTTGCAATCTCAGAAGATAAGCAGAGTTACGGCTTGCTAAACACTTGAATGAGATCTTCTTGGTTCTTTCGGTAAAGTCACGTAGAATGGAAATAAAATAATAAAAATAAAACATAACAAAATACAATTCTCACGACGTGTCGGGCAAAACACAAGTAGCCTTCTTCAGGTGAAGAAACAGGACTGTCCAGAAGACAGCGCTTGAGTGACTCAAGCAGGACTGTCCAGAAGACAGCGCTTGACTCACTGAGTCACTCAAGCGCTGTCTTCTGGACAGTCCTGTTTCTTCAGCTGAAGAAGGCTACTTGTGTTGTGGCCAAAACGTCGTGAGAATTGTATTTTATTATGTTTTATTTTTATAATTTTATTTCCATTCTACGTGACTTTACCGAAAGAACCAGGAAGATGAATCCCTGCAGTCACGAAAGCTTTAAATCGAAACTTGAATGAGATGCCTGAAAATAGCTCGTATTGCAGAATTTGGTTACGAATTGTGGATGGCAGTACTGAGTGTTATTGCCTCATACATGCGGGCATTCTCTGGGTACCCTGGTATACCCCCATAAGCAAATCATGCATTAATGCTAATGACCTTATACCCCAATTAAGAACCCTCTTGAAAGAGTCACAAGACTCAGTAAGACTTTGCTTGGTACGTAATTAGCATTATTATTTTTAAAAAATCAACATTTGTTGTCAGATGGTAAAAAAAAGAAATTCAGCCAATGGAGTCACTGAAGTGTCACCAATATTTGAGCCTCACGAAAAAAATACAATCGTGGCCTTTTGTAATTCATGCCAACCATGAAAGTGCTATTTTTAATGTCATATATGTAAGGGACATTCTTTATAAGCCAGACCCATAAAACAGATATATTGAAATACAATACATATTTTTCCTGCTGCTTTGTGCTTTACTCCATCCTGACTTCTTAAGCACACTTTCATCATGAAAACCTTTTAATTCAAGAATTAATGGGTTTGAAATCCAGACTTCGATTTGTCGAAATCAAGCAGGTTCTGGTTGGCCGCTTGTGTTCACATGGTTAGATTCCTCACAATTCTGAACAATCATATCCTTATTCTTGGTTCTTTCGGAAAAGTCACGTAGAAGGGAAACAATAAAAAAATAAAAATATAAAACAATAAAATTCTCACAACGTTGAACTCAAGCATGTACACCAAGCTCTTAAGCCTAATGGTTACTCCGACTACACAATCCGCAAAGCTATCACTCCAACCATGAAGAAGGACCCTCTTGAGGAGCCTTTCAAAGCCATCACTTTACCCTACATTGCAGGGATCAGAAAAAAGATCTCCAAAATATTGAATAAACACAAGATCCAGGTCCCATTCAACACATTACATAAAATCCGTGATCTGGTTCCGTCTGTAAAATGTGATTCCGGACATACAGTACCCTGGCATCTACAAACTAAGTTACCTCTGTGGTAGTAGTTACATTGGAGAAACCAAACGATATGTCTCGGACCGAATTCGTGAACACAAAGCAGACCTAAAACACGGTAGGACCAACACCTCGGCCGTGGCAGATCACTGTTATAATTCGGTAGGCTCACATGACATTGACTTCTCCAAGACAGAGGTTCTTTGCAAGACACCTGGCTACCATGAGAAATTCGTTCATGAGGCTATCCACATATACAAGCACAGAGACAATTTCAACCGAGAAGATGGATTCTGGCTTAGCAATCATTGGAAGGATTTGATAAACCATTTCGGGTCTTAATTGATTGTTCACGCTTACGGTGTCTTTCAGACCGCATCCATTATTTTCGTCTCCCCCCTCCTCTTTTCCAAACATAGATGGACTCGTCCATCTGAATAACTGCCAAATCGCTCTCCGTGGTGCCAACGTTAAAAAATCTGCCACTTTTTTCAAATTTTCTTGCTGTGGTTTTTACACCTGATGATGATTGCTTGTGTTGCAGTCGAAACGTCATGATAATTTTCTTGTTTTATATTTTTATTATTTTATTGTTTCTCTTCTACGTGACTTTACCGAAAGAACCAAGAATATGAATCTCTGCAGTCACGAAAGCTTTAAATAAAAATCATATCCTTGTTGATTATATCTCGTCTTCGCTGTATTTTTAGCCCAGTCGAGGATGCTCTTTCTGAGTGCTCTTCAATCAATGCTTTGCTTTGTCACTGTGCAGCACAATAAACATGCTTCCTGATGCTTATGCATCATAATCCTCTGTCACCATCGTCGTCATCATCATCCACCATCCCAAATGAGTAATGTGTATGTAATTTTCAGCACTGCGATGTTTCGGCCAATACCAGTTAACATTGCATGGTATTTTTGACTATGAGAGGAATCCAGAGAAAACCCATCCAGCACAGGGGGAGGAAGAACCTACAAACACCAGACAAAATGGCACCCCAGTTGGGGAATTAACACAGACCCCTTCTTGCTACGAGGCACAAGTGTTACCACCGCAGTGCTACCCTGCCACATACCCTGGCCACTCTGATCGAATTGCCCCATCTCCATCGCAGCGGTAATTTTGCGTGCAAGGGGACAACCATTCAATCAATCAATTGGTCTTCATTTCACGTGCCACTATCACCCTCAATAAAGTAGGCATCAGTGCACATTACAACAACTAAACTGGCAGTGAAGGTCAGGCTGTGCCAGTGACCTGCATGTTGGTGTCCAGCTGGTGGAACACCTGGACCTCCTCCAGCGCCTGAATCAGCTGCACAGTCTTGCGCCCCGCCGCAGTCGCATCCTCCGATCCCAGAGACGAGATCTGCTTGGCCATCTCCCGGAACCACGCCTGGAGGTTTTCTGAAGCGATAGTTCAGGATGCAGGAGAGAGAAGAGGGGCAGATGACAAAAGAGTAGGTAATTATTCTACGTAAAGCAGTTGTGTGTTTGGTTTGTAAAAAAAAGCAACGAGCTAATACGAATGTGTTTCGGTTTAAAAATTGTCCGATTTGGACTTTCGGATTTTAAGGACAATTTAGTTTTTGTCTGGATTCTCCACGTTGGGGATCATTTATAGTATGTAATGATGTATTATATCTTTGTGCTAACAAAAGTGGCATCACCTGATGCCATGTGACACCACTCTTGGTGGGAATATAGGTGATGTCATTTCCTGTGACATCGCACTTTCAGATCAACTCCAAACAAATCATATTTTTGAATCATTCGAAATTTCGTAGCTTGGTCCGATTTTCAGATTTTGTGATTGAATACAAAAATTGCTATCACCTTTCTAGTATGTAACGTCATTGGATTTTGGGTTAACCATAAAGTCACAAATCTGTTTCACCATTACAATGAAATAACCTTCAAGTTCTTCAGCCAAACATGAACATACCATTTGGGTTAATGTTCATAAATGTTTTGGTGATAAAATAAGACTTGATGTACAACTGTTTGTATTTTGTTCGTGGATTGCAGGAGCGATTATTGGGATTCATGAGTTGACACCGCTTAGGAATGACCAGAAATTTAGGTCTGGAGGGCAAAGGTTAATAAGAAAGGCAGAGGGGGAAAAAATAAACATTACAATAAATAGTAAAACTTTTCAAGCTAAAAGGGAGCTCAAATGGAAGGAAGGACCACACCCGTCAAACCCTGGATAGCGACTGGCGGTAGAGGCAACGAACGAGATACCGTTCTTCTCGACGCGCGTGAGCGGCTTGGTGCCGGAGAACACCTCGGCCATCTCAATCATCCTCTCCGCTGCCTCGCTCCGGAAGCTCTCCCACTTGAGCTGTTTCTCCGCCAGCATCAGCCGGAACATCTGGGGGCAACCGCCACCACCACCACACCGTACAAACCACAGTAGCGCATGGTGACCACGCAGTTTACAGCACAGTTACAACGCAATTGTAATCTCATAAATTACTTGTTTTTTTTTAAGTACACAATTTTTTTGGTTATTTCAATTGTGCTATAGGAATCATGTAATGTATTGCCATCATGAATCAGCGTGGGACTCTGTATGTATACTGAACTGCTTTCGCACCGTACGTAGCCAACCGTGCTAAACGGAGGTGTGGACTGACAGTACAGTGCAACTGAGCACGTTAAGAGACCTGCACACGATAGGCATCATCACATCTGACGGTCACGTGACACTGTGCGCAAAGACAAATTGATAAGAGCTTATTCTTAGTTTTTTCGGTAAAGTCACGTTAAAGGGAAACAACAAAATAATAAAATATATATAACAATAAAAAATTCTCACGACGTTTCGACCATAACTCAAACGGTCGTCACGACGTTTCGACCATAACTCAAACGGTCGTCCGTTTGAGTTATGGTCGAAACGTCGTGAGAATTTTTTATTGTTTTATATATATTTTATTATTTTGTTGTTTCCCTTTAACGTGACTTTACCGCAAAAAACTAAGAATATGAATTACTGCAGTCACGAAAGCTTTAAATCAAAATTTGATAAGAGCTTGCGGATGTTTATTGTCTGGGTGGCCCGGCACCTCCTTGAGCTGAAACTCCAGCTGAGCCGTGTTGAGCAGCAGCTGGAACATGGTGTCCGGTCGGTACTTGCAGTCAGCCATCACCTGCTCTCGCACCTGCCGGGACCTCTTATTGCTGGAATCATAAGCTACACAGGAGACAAAGAAGGTGAGGATGTAAGGGTCAATAATAACAGGGTGAGAGATCAGCAGTTTTTTTTTTTTATTAAGCATTGCTCATCTCATCTACTGCAAGATGTCTGACCAGCGTGGAAGAATAGGCCAAATGCCTTCTAGTAGAGGGGTTCTGTAATAGTGCCCTCTAGTGGCGGCATTTCCACCAGCAGTGGTGTGAGCAATCGGTTGCATGCTTGTACCTCTCTCTGCCTTCAGTAACATTTGATTAAAGCATTACTGGTTAAATGTGTAAAAAAAAAAATCAGGAGCAAAGTTTTATTTATTTATTAATTGGAGTTTCGCACTCGTATGCCATATGCTGTGAAAGTGACTTATAAATACAGCAAAACCTTGGATTGCGAGTAACTTGGTCTGCGAGCGTTTTGCAAGACGAGCAAAAATTTGTAAATAAATATTAATTTGATAAACGGGCGAGGTCTTGCAATACGAGTAGTACGTATACGCTTTGTACTGCCGAGCGTCACGTGATCACAACTGATATACGAGTGCTTTGGATTACAAACACGTTTCCAGAACTAATCATGCTCGCAATCCAAGGTTTTATTGTACTCGTATTTGTAGATTATATTATTTTCAGTTTGCTTTTGGTCTATACCACAAGTGCTTGTTTTGAGGCATTAAATGGTTCCGTGTATTTTAAGTTTTAGTAGAAGTTAAACTTTTTCAAACCAGATAGCAACTGCGCTCATAGAAGTTTTTTGAGGAACACAACACTTCCAAATAGCAGCAGCTTACACTGTCAGATGTATCATGAACTTTGTGCAACAGGCTCAAAGCATATTTCAATAGAACAATACACCGTGCAATTATTTTATCAACCCTTTTAAATGTACCACTGTACCAATTCTCAATTCATACCTTATGATAACATAGACAATCAGTTACAAATAATTAATACATTCATGAAATGAAGTGAACAAAATTGTAACACTAATTAAGTGGGTTCTCATTAATTAAAACAATTGCGGTTGCCGGCAAGTCAGTTTTAATGGGTGAAGGTAAGGTTACTTCAGAAAAGGTTTGCAACGATGCACAGGTTAATAAGCATTACAACACTTCTTTTATATCACCGTATGTATGCATGTTGAAATTATTTCGTTCCGTACACAGCCAACCATGCTAATCGGAGGTGCGGGGGGCAGGACAACAATCTAAACACAAAAAAACATTTCTAAATAAATGAGTGTTCAATCTAAATAAAATAAAATAAAAACGTGTCGACGTTTCGGGCGACCGGCCTTCTGCTTTCGAAATCGACAACGCGTGGGCGCCCTCTCGACGGCGGGGGCCACCCGGACACGTGTGAAAAAGAGCTTCGTGGCTCATCGGATTCCACCTCCAGTCCGAACGAAAGATCGCGACTCTCCGACCTGACTCCGCCGCGTGCAGCATGGCCCAGCGCAAGCTGACGTTGCAGTCGCGCAGGCAGTGCAGCAGCTTGGGGATGGAGTCGAGGACGAACTCCTGCATGAGCACGCCCTCCGTCAGGTACTGCCTCACCTCCTTCATCACGCCGTCCAGCTTGCGCGCGTGGCGGCATGCCTGGTGTGGGTGGGGGGGGCGGCAGTGGTGGTAGATGGGGGGGGGGGGGCAGGGAGAGAGGGGGTGCCCAGACCAGGGCGTGCAAGTGGGAACGTCGGGAGTGTGTGAGGTGGGGAGGAAGAGGAGACGGAGAGAGATAAGTGAGAAAGGGCGGCAGGCACAACACGAAAATCAACATATATATTTTATTATTTTATTGTTTCCCTTCAGCGTGACTTTACCGAAAGAGCTGAGAATGTGAAAATTAACACGTGAGATATTAACAGGTGGTACTGGTTCAATGCAATCTCGTGGGTGTGTGTTTATACTCGTATATATATCAAGCGTGTAATATTACCCCCACGCTGTGATTCAATTTTCACAATTTGGAATCGATTTGATTCGTTCGTTTCTAAATTGTGCCATCGTGTTTTGTATTGCTTCTCAATTCTTGCATGCACAATTGAACACATGGGTCTCTATCCCGGGTAACAGAATTTTGGGCCAGGCTGTATCGTGAGCGAAAGCATCTATTTTAATCAAATAATACAGGTTATGTATGCATGTTGAATTTCTTTTGCACCGTATACAGCCAACCATGCTAATCGGGAGGTTACCATTACCCTCACGTGTAACTAAATTACACAGCAGTATCATAGCAGTATCACATTCCTGTTATCTGCACTACCCGTACGATAGTGTTGCGTGCGAAGCATCACGGGTGAACGATAAAGGATCACCAAGTGGACAGCGCATGCGACTGATTACCAATAGCGGAGTGGCTGTGGGTGAGGCCAGGCACACACCTGCTCGCGAATGTTCCCCGGCTCCAGGGTGTTGTTGAGCGCAGTCTTGGCCGCTTTGTATGGCTCCCAGGCCTCCATGAGGTTCACAGTCATGCCCATGTACACGCTGATCACCTGCGGAGGACAGGAGTGTGACTCGCGACTTTACATTCGGCCTCTTGTTCGAAACAAACAAGCTGGCCAGACTGTCAAATAGAGGAGCATCCGCTTTGGAGAATTATCAAAGAAACGCGTGCAAATAAACAGTAAACAGGCAAATGCTCCTTCATATCTTAATAACACAGAAAGGTGGACTCACAAACAGCAGGAACAGACAACCTCACATCGTGCCTTGCATGCATGTGGTGTGACCATCACATTGCATGTACAATGCTCTCAGCCTTGTCCAGACCACCAGTGCAAGAGCTAAATGTGTAGCTGTATTTTTAAGCCACAAATTTAAAGTGTAATAATGTGGCCATCCCAATAAGGCTGAAAGGAACGCACCTTGCAACACAGTGGGGCTGGCTTGCAGGGGGTTTCCTGCCTTCGAGAGGTAGAATTTTGGGGGCAGCCACCATTTTTACAGTGGCTCAGGAAATGATTCACACAAAAAAAGTCCACTAAAATCTTCTGTCAAGTAATCGACTTATTTGACTATTACACACATGGCCGTGCACTCATATAACCTAAACAAACTTATCGACTAAGCGAGCGCAAGCGCGTGTATCTTAATTTCCAGCGTTGGTTGCGTTCATGCTCGTGTGCTGCCCGGTGCTCACCCAGTTGTCGGGGAAGTACTTGTCGACGATCTCGCGCATCTTGGCCTGTTGCGTGTGCAGCGTCGAGGGCTGCAGGTACAGCAGCACATAGAGCATGGCGGCCTGCGTGGCAAGCGCCGTGCTCCGATGCTCTGGCAAGGGATACGCCGACACCTGCGCGCAGCGGTGCGAGGTCCGGTAAACGCCGGGCACAAGTGGATTAATGAACAACATTGCAAACATTCATCCAATTACTTGGGGTTTTGGATACATCATTGCATGCCTATTAAAGACATCAGTACTACAGCAGTGAACTTTGCTCGCTCGGTTCCAGCCATGAAAGAAGCGTGTTATTATACTTCTACACTGCGAGGCGGAAAGAGGAACACATGCATTAGAGAACATATGCAGGTTCGTGAACATAATTTAAACCATTCTGCTAGGGGACGTGATGGACAATGGTCAAGTATAATAATGGAGTGGCAGCCAAGGAACGGAACACATCCGAGAGGACATCAGATGAGGAAATGGAGCGATGAAATCACGTTGTATGCAGGTACTAGATGGATTATTACATCGAAGGATCACGAGAGGCGGCGACGGTTTGGGGAGTGAATTAAACATGGCCGCTGACGATGGATGAGGTGGCAGCAGCATGTAGCAAGCAGTAGTGGAATAACTGGGTCTGGTTCAGCACGGGGGGGGGGGGGGGGGGGGGGGGGGGGGGGGGTGGGGCCGTGCAGATCGTGCCTGGTTGTAGATGTCGTCAGAGCGCAGGCGTCCAATGAGCATGCTGATGAACGTCTCGCTCACGGGCACGCGCTGGAAGTAGCTCTCGGGGTACCCGACCGGGCGGCGCGAGCCGGGCGCCGACGAAAATCCCGTGCTGCGCAGCAGCTTGCAGACATCGTCGATGTTCGAGTCGGCCGAGGAGCGAGCCCCGCTAGAGTCGTGAACGACGCGCGACTCGGCAAATCAATGACTCGGCAGCAGCGAAGCCGCCTCCTTTGCAGTCTCAGGTTTGCAATAATTTATTACTTGATATATAATGCTTCGCACGGGTATAAATAATCCAAGTCGCGAAGCACAATTGATCAAAATGTTGAAAAAATAAGAATAGGCTCTACCCTTTCAGACAATAAAACGGTTAAGAGATTCAAACACCAAATAGATACCTATTGCAAGGCATCAAGTCTGCATTAACCACACATACTTGTGGAAAAACAAGCAAACCAACATGCTATGATAATATATGATGCATTGTCTTTGAAACTGATTGGCCGACACCAGAGACAACCTTCTTTATGGCCTAGTCTCACTATTGTTAAAGCAGAGAACGCCAAAAGGCGAACAGTCCAAAGGCAATGCAAGCATCAACGTATAAATAGCTCGGGTTGAGCAGTTAAATCTATGGGACCTTTTTGTTTGTACCATTAACATGTCATATTGGCAGACCATTTGCAGACATTAACTCCGAATTTCAAAAAGTTTCCAAGACAACCAACAACACTGAATGAACACTGGAGTGTGTTGGGTGGTTGGACAATTTAATATGTACATCTCTGACAATTTGAATCCTCACCTTACAATTTCTGCAAGGCATGTAATCATGCAATCAATTATTAAAATCATTTCAGCTCAAGATACATACATCATATCGCATGTGTGAGAAACAAATATTTATGATTAATATGGGATTGTATGTAATCGGTGCGTTTGTGGCAAACTTACAGCCACTGCACATGCTGGATTAACCGCAAGTGCAATACACGGATTATTGAATCACGCCCCCCTCTGAATGCTGCCAATTCATCAACATGCTGGGGGTTGAATTATTACACGCTTCAATTCTACAGGGCATTACAAAGAGGCAATGTCTACTGGAAAGCGAACATGAGAGACCTTGTGACACAATATATAACCGAACACATTTGTTTTCTAGCATATTTGTTCAAAATAGAAATGACGAAATAATTAAAATGTATTCCATTCATGCATGCCAGCTTACACAAGTCACTCCTGAACTCATAGCCCCAAATGGCTGACGTGAGCAACCTCTCGTCACATTCAGTGTAAAAAACACACAATGAATATATAATACTGTGTAACAATTTTTTTTGTTCCTGGGTAGTAAGTGTTATTTCCTAATTGTTTAAAGCCTCAAAAGTAAGAAAATTCAAATAGTCAAAGTAAAAAAAAATGTTTTACAATTTTCAATGTTATTGAAAAAATATATCATATACTGTATGAAAAATGTTGCGAGAATCTCTTACACATTAGTCATGAGTGAAAACAGGTCCCTGCAGGGTGGGCTGGTAGGACAAGTCTCTGCGCTGTCTGTTGCTGATTTTACACCAAACAGCACGGGATTTCACTTCGTTAAAGTATTGAAAGGGGACGGACGGACGGACACATTAATCTATTGCAGGCTGGTACACTCAGTTTACAACTTCGTTCCTACCAGTATAAATTTATTTTTCTAGGATGGTACAAAGGGGAAAAGAGAGCCACGAAGTTCGCTATCCCAAGAATTTGGTGGGAACCCCTTGACCACTCAAGCAACTGCTACTTCTGCATGGTGGACCCTTCCAAACATCTGACTGGCAAGAATGCACCTGCTCTCACGTATCCGGACCTTCCTTCATCCATCACACCTGGTGCCACACTGCCATGAGCTCCCCGTACCCACTCCTCCAGAGAGAGAGCAGCCGTCTTTAGAAGAGAGCAGCAAGTCAGAGAGCGAGGAAGACGTTGTAGATCCAGATGACAATTTTAGAGGTGGAGCTGAGGATAGAAACCCATACTACCCCCACCCAAAAAGAAGACTTCAACAACTTGATCAGAGATCTTGGTATCACCAGGTCCAATGCTGAGCTTTTGACGTCTAGGTTCAAGCAGTGGAACTTGTTGGATGATAGTGTGCAAGTCGCAGATCAGAGGAAGCATCACCAACATTTCTGCAACTTCTTCACCCGTCAAGATGGGTTCTGCTTCTGCCACAATGTGACCAGTCTGTTCGAGGCAATCGGAATCGCCTGTAACCAGAATGAGTGGCGCCTCTTCATTGACAGCTCATCCAGGAGCCTCAAAGCCGTGCTGCTCCATAATGGTAACAAAGTACCCGTCTCTTCCCCGGCTCACTCGGTGCACCTCAGAGGATTAAAACAGCATCAAGACCTTGCTGGACGCCTTGAAGTATGATGAGTACGGCTGGGAGGTCATTGGAGACTTCAAAATGGTGGCATTCCTGATGGGTCTCCAAGGCGGTTTTACCAAGTGTCCCTGCTATCTTTGCCTTTGGGACAGCAGGGACACCAAGGCGCACTACCACAGGCGGGACTGGCCACAGCGGACAGAGTTCTCTGTGGGGAGGAACAACGTCAAGTGGGAGCCACTGGTGGACCCCTGGAAGGTGCTGATGCCACCACTGCACATCAAATTGGACCTTATGAAACAATTTGTCAGAGCTGTAGATAAGGAGTCGGCAGCCTTCAAGTTCCTTCAAGACTTCTTCCCTAAGCTGTCTGAGGAAAAGGTCAAAGCCGGTGTCTTCGTCAGACCACAGAAAAATAAGATTCTGGAGTGAAATGAATTCCCCAAGAAGCTCACTAGTTAGGAGAAAGCGGCTTGGGACAGCTTCGTCGCAGTGGTTCGTGACTTCCTGGGCAATCACAAGGTCGAAAACTATGTGGAGCTGGTTGAGACTCTGGTGAACTACGGCACAATGGGCTGTAGGATATCCCTCAAAGTCCATATCCTTGATGCTCATCTTGATCAATTCAAGGAGAACATGGGAGCGTACTCGGAGGAGCAAGGCGAGTGCTTCCACCAGGATATACTGGACTTTGAACGGCGCTACCAAGGACAGTATAACGAGAACATGATAGGAGACTACATTTGGGGACTGATTCGTGAAAGTTATTTAAAGTATAATCATACATCTAGAAAAACAAATCACTGTAGTCATTTTTGTATTACTTTAGTATAAATACATGTTAATTTTGATTAATATGTAGTTTTTTCTGACTTTATGCGAATGAAAAGACACAAATTCGCCCTTTTCATCATTGAAAATAGGTACATCTCAAAATATCACTGTCCTGGTTGGAAAATAATAGCCATTTTCTATATTTTTTGGGCATAACCCAGGAACAAAAATTGTGTTATATAGTGTATAATAATGATAATCGGCATTTTGCTTTTTATCCCCCCCCCCCCAAGCAATTAAATTGAGAGAAAACTGTAATAAAAATGAGCAGATGCAATATGAGACATGTGTACTTTACTGCATTTACCTGTATCTGTAGTAGGAGACGAGCATTCTTTCCCGCACCTCACCCTCGATCCGTTGATCAATCACCAGCAACATCACTCCGTACAAGTAGAGTGCTTCACACTGCCGACCACACACAAAGACAGGCGCCGCCTGCTTAAACATATGCTGTTGAAAGGAGTATAAAGCCAAAACAATGGAGGATTCTAACCCCTGCTTTGCAAAAATAGCAATTTTATTTTAATAGCAGGAAACATGCCCCTGTCTGTATATGTTATTATCTCTACTTGCTTTGTGCCCGATTAACTAGGAGAGAACACAGTGAAACAAGGCAGCCCAGTGCATTGAAGTTCGGACCACGTTATGCAAATCGATAAACAATTGATTGTTCATGAGCCTAAAACAGTAAACTATAGTAGTTGGGATCACAGAGATTTAGTGACCAGTGGAATAATTTACACATGTGACTACATTGCACAATTGTACTGTCAGGTGCATAACATGGAAGGCAAGCTGATGAGTACTAAAAGCCATGCATGCTCGGTGCAAAACACAAACCATGAGTTGCTTTCCATCCTCATTGAGAAGCACACTCTCCAGGGTTTGCTGAATGTACACCCCTTCAAACAAATCCTCCAGGTATCTGGAATAAAAAAATTGGCACCAATGGCAAACTTTCACATATTCGTTCATGGGAATTTTTTGATGAAACACAGACATTTAAATCAATCCATCGACCTCAATAAAGTTGGCATCAGTGCACAGCTGAATTTGCTTGGTAAAATATTGGTGGATCTGGAAACCTTTGACTGTGATGAAAACAAGGCCTGGAGCCGGTGCCCTAATGGTTAAAGGTCACAATATTATTTGTTGTGGTGTAAATATGATGGTTATTATCCAGGAAAACCTCACCGAGTCTGTCCTACCAGACAGTCTCGTCCCTTCACCTGATGAAGGCCGCTTGTGTTGAGGCCGAAACGTCGTGAGAATATTATTGTGTTATTTTATTTTATCAATTTATTATTTTATTCTCATTCTACGTGACTTTACCGAAAGAACCAAAGAAGATGAATCTCACGACTCTGCTACGTTTTCGCAGAAGGGGGCAATAATTTTAATACATAACATACAGGCATGCGTAAAACAAAATGTCGTAAATCGTAATGGCTCTTCCCATTAACTTCATGCAAAAACTTAGAGATTTTTTTTGGACAGTCATTCCAACTGTACTCCTAACACACAAATATACACTGATATCACTTTTCACAATACAAAAATAATAGTAAAGAAAATAAATATTAAAACGATTTAATATTTTTTTAAACCAAAATAATTAACCTTTTCAGTGAACTCACCAAAAGATCTGCTTGACGAAATGACTGGTAAGGTAATGTAGAGGCATTACTGATTCAATGTTGGGGATACTGTGATACCGTCACGGGCAGATGGCGCAGCCTCCTGGGTGCTTCTTGTTTGATCTCATGGTGCGTGCTGTGTGAAATTTCGCTCACGTGGAAATTGTATTTAATTAATCGAAAATGCCCATGATTTGTCAATTGCGTAAATGCTACATTTCATAAAACGAACGTTCTTAAAATCGATGGACACGTATATATTTCAAATGAGTAATTTGCAGGAAATTTTTCTGATTTAATAAACTTGGACTTTGACACCATGGGATCTTTAACGTGCACTGTCAAGTAGACCACCTGTATTTTGATGATTCAACAGGTTAATTATTCTTCTTGTCCTTCCCCCGCACCCCCGATTAGCAGTTGGCTACATACGGTGCGAAATAGGTTCAACATACATACACCCGCAGCGTCATTCAGGGCTGCCGCTGAATTCACACTAAGAACCTTTACAACAAGCAGCGAACGCGCTACCGCTAGCTAGGTCATGTCATCGTAATGCGAGTACCTGTTGAGATCCACAATGTACTTGTGCACACTCTCAAAGGCCAAGTAGAAGCGTGTGAGGATTTCGATGTAATTCTCTCGGATCTCCTCGTCCAGGTCTTGCAGCTCAGGTTTGGCATCTATTCGGCTATCCAACAGCTCGCTGGTCTGTGGTATGAGGAACAAAGCGTATGATAGTAAATCACATCAGGGATGGGGCAGTAAATGACATAACGAGCTAAACGTGCCAATGAATGCCAAGAGTGAGATTTATTTTACGTTGGCCGCTGGGTAACAAATGTGAGTAAAATAAGTGTGCCACTGTGTTACGTGTGAGACCAGACCCAGTGTCCCACATTTGACAGATAACAAAAACACATGTGCCACCGTGCTGACATTCATCAGAGGATGCCCAGGGGTACCGACATATAATAACAGGAGTGAGCTCAGACCCAAGTCTAACATTTAAACTAAAAACTAAACGAAAAAACGAAAGTATATTTTGTATTTATCAGGTAAGGCCCACGGCGCTATAATAGCTCATTTTTCAGAAGCGACTTGGCTATCACAAATTATGGCTCAACGAAGTGGCTTAGCATGTGGAAATTTATATCAGCCAAATACTCTAAACGCATGTTGATTCTAAATGTGGAGGGAAAAACCGCAGACCAAGTGTGCGAATGTATGACTGGTTAAACACCAAAGCCAGGTGTACATTATGAACACCAAAGGCAGTTGTACCGGTTACACACAATTTCAATTTATGCTCATGCAGCCTGAATAAACTCCAGGTTAAGGTGTTGATTAAACAGAAGTTCCAGCCGTCCTAATGCGTGAGTGGTTAAACACCGGACCCAGGCGTGTGGGATAACGAGTTAAACATCGGACCCTGGCGTACGGGATAACGAGTTCAACACCGGACCCAGGCGTGTGGGATAACGAGTTCAACACCGGACCCAGGCGTGTGGGATAACGAGTTCAACATCGGACCCAGGCGTGTGTGATAACGAGTCCAACACCGGACCCAGGCGTACGGGATAACGAGTTAAACACCGGACCCAGGCGTGTGTGATAACGAGTTCAACACCGGACCCAGGCGTGTGGGATAACGAGTTAAACACCGGACCCAGGCGTGTGTGATAACGAGTTCAACACCGGACCCAGGCGTGCTGGGAAACGAGTTCAACATCGGACCCAGGCGTGTGTGATAACGAGTTCAACACCGGACCCAGGCGTGTGGGATAACGAGTCCAACACCGGACCCAGGCGTGTGTGATAACGAGTTCAACATCGGACCCAGGCGTGTGGGATAACGAGTTCAACACCGGACCCAGGCGTGTGTGATAACGAGTTCAACATCGGACCCAGGCGTGTGGGATAACGAGTTCAACATCGGACCCAGGCGTGTGTGATAACGAGTTCAACACCGGACCCAGGCGTGTGTGTGATAACGAGTTCAACACCGGACCCAGGCGTGTGGGATAACGAGTTCAACACCGGACTCAGGCGTGTGGGATAACAAGTTCAACACCGGACCCAGGCGTACGGGATAACGAGTTCAACACCCGGAACCAGGCGTACGGGATAACGAGTCCAACACCGGACCCTGGCGTGTGGGATAACGAGTTCAACACCGGACCCAGGCGTACGGGATAACGAGTTCAACACCGGACCCAGGCGTGCCGTAGTCCCGAAACCTCTCCACGCCGCCGCCGCCGCCCGCACCTTGAAGTAGGAGAAGTCGCACACGAGCTCCCCGTATTTGGCGATCTCCGCGCGCTCCCGCAGGCGGAACACGGGTGGCACGAACTCGGCGAGCCTCAGCAGCTCGGCGATGATGGCGTTCCCGCGAGACACAACCCGTAGGATCGCCTGCCCGCACAGGTTATTCTCGGCGAGGAAGTCCACCATGGTCGCCCGCGTCCGCCCTCGCCTCCCTCTCCCCGAGATCCAGAGGACGCCTGTAGGCCGAAGCCTCGACCTCGCCTACCGAAGCCGGCCGGCTCACTTTCACCTCTCCCTGGCCGAGCTCAAGAGGCCGGGGCGTCCAAAACCTGCACCCCGACAACACCTGCAGCGGCGTGTCGATTTGTCTTGCGTTCTCTACGCTACGGCAAATAAAAACACCTCTTCCTTTCTTTCAGACGCTCAGTCTTTGCTTAAATTGATGGTAAATATTTCACGAGACGGTGGTCTTCCGAGGAGAGAAATTAGAAATCGGACGGCTGGTCACGTGACAGGGGATTGGTGCAGGGGAGCGCGCCACGTGACGGAGACGCGCTCGCGCTGCACGTGACGCCGCCGTCACGTGGTTGGGATTTCCCATTGCCCCCACCCTTCACTTACCCCCCCCCATACCCTCCTCCACAAAGACAAAGATCCCCCGTGTAGCCTTCACAGACTGATGGGGCAAGTGCCGTGAGCGAGCAGCACGCATCTATTGAAGGCCGGCACTGTGGCACACGAGGGGGTGGGGCGGCCAGCACCACGCCCGGCCGCCTTTGTCTCCCCCCCCCCCCCGCCTCCCCTCCAGTGACGATGTTTAACTACACACCACCGCACCGGATAATTACTCATTTGAGGCTGAGTCGACCTAGGGGGGCGGGGAGGAAAGCCCCCCGGGACCGGTTCGAGATGATCGTGAGCGGGATGAATGGAACTCGGGCGGCGCGGGTTCGGAGCGCGTGGCGCCAACCGCTGCACCACCGCTCGCGAGTTGGTCACCCCCACCCCCCCCAACCAACGTGCATTGCGCAACGTAGAGTCGTGCGTTGAGTGGGGAAGTTCACGCTCTCTGTGTGTCTCTCTCTCATTGGGCGTGCTCAGCTGTTCCCCACTCACCCACCCCCCTCCCATCCTCCGGACATTGTCGAAACTCCGCGGACGTTTTTACTTCTTCAAAATCCGACTTCCCCGCTGCCGCTGCGTGGCTGTCAGTCCAACACCCAACCAACCCACCCACACCACTCCCCACCACCTGGAGGTAGGTGTGTGACTTTACTGTCCCATTGGCTTTGTGTGTGCGCGTGTGTCTATCGAAAATATATTTCCCGCCCCCCCTCCTCCCCCCTGGGCAACGCCGGGTACTTCCCGCTAGTGAGTCTATACATGTGCGTGTACACGCGTGTCCCTTGCGTGTGTGCGCGTGTGTGTGAATGTACACGTGTTCATGTGTACGTGGGTCTACGGGGAGCGGTAGCGTAAGCGGGGGTGAGAGCGCTGCGCATGAACAACAACACCCGGCAGGTCCCCGGGTTCGATTCTCGCTCACGGCCACCAACAGAACCTGTCCTGGGCCTCCCTTAGGTCGACTCGGCCTCAAACGAGTAACCCGGGGAGACAAAGGCGGCCGAGCGCGGCGCTTGGCCACCCACCCCCTCGTGGTGTGTGGTGCTCGCCCCCTACACAAGTCAACTTTTACAGGCGACACACACGGGGGAGGGGGGGGGGGTGACCCGGGTGACCGGGCCTCCCCTAGGTCGACTCAGCCTCAAATGAGTACCTGGTACGGTGTGTAGTAAACATCGCCGCTGGGGAGACAAAGGCGGCCGGGCGTGGTGGTGGCCACCCACCCCCTCGTGTACCGTGCCGGCCTTCATAGGTGCTCGCAAACAACACTTGCCCCTACAGTCTAAGGCTATATGGAGGATCGTTGTTGTTGAAGATTCTACCTGTACCCGAGTGCAGGAGCTGTGACCAATAATGGCTTTGGCAACTTTCTCAACTTTTCTTCTTCTGCTGCTCAACGATTCCGCATTGCAATCTGCTGCAATCTGCTGCTTCTTCTGCTGCTTCTCCCAACGTCCTCCACCCCTAACGGAGTTGCGTCTCGGTGTGTGGGGAGCGGTGGTGCAGCGGTGAGCGCACACCCGGCTGGCTGGCCGGCCAAGTGAGGACCCGAATTTGATTCCCCGACCGCCGGTGACGACTGAACCGGTCCCGGGCCTGCCCCTAGGTCGACTCGGCCTAAAATGAGTACCCGGTTAAGGTGTGCGTGAACATCGCCTGCCGGGGAGACAAAGGCGGCCGGGCGTGGTTGCTGGCTACCCACCCAACTCGTGTGCCGGGCCGGCCTTCATAGGTCATCGCTAACAGCACTTGCCCCGACAGTATGCTAAGGCTACACGGGGGATCTTTGCCTTTGTGTGTGCGTTGCCATTGACAGCACCGCGTTTGCTATGCAATCAGAGCCCTTTGTGTATTGTGAGAGAGGTCGACAGCTCGTTTTGTCATTCTACTGCTGGATGATGGCCTCCCCGGCCACGCCTTGTCAGCCAGGAGAGTTGTTTGACCATACTTCACCACCCTGGTTGGTTAAGTGGTGGTCGGGGGGTGTGTGTGCCCAGGACTGTTCCAGATACCACTCTCCACCGATGTTAGTCGTTCAGGTTTCCCGGTTCATAGACCATGGCCTCTCGGGCCCTGTCATAAGAACGTGGCATTTCCACCACTGGGTTATAATCAACACTTATTAAATTGTGAAATTAGTCAACTTTAGATCATCCAGGGTAATGGTGTGAAGAGGGAAGGGCCTGGATAAAATGGGGGGGGGTGGGGGGTGAGAGCAGGGAATCCATCAACTCTTTCTTAGCTCCTGAACATATTGCCATTCGCAAGAATACAAGTTTATTTCAGCATATTCTTGGTTCTTTCGGTAAAGTTTTCTATTTACGTGACTTTACCGAAAGAACCAAGAATATGAATTCCTGCAGTCATGAAAGTTGTAATTCAAAATGTATTTCAGCAGTTTACTTTCCGACGTTTGCCGAGTCACTGACCCACGACGAGTGAGGATCAGCTATTAATGAAACCACGGATGGATGCGGATTGGCCAAGGTTAATCCACAGCCCCAATAATCCGGCCATGGATACGGACTGTACTTAAGACGCTTGGGGGGTAGCCACGTGTTGGTACAGATTCACCTGTGTGTGTGTGTGTGCATCGCCAACAATGTGCTGTGTCCGTTTCAACAAGATGTGAATCTGGCCCCCGTAACTTAAATACAACTGCTGCATTTGATTCCACTCTTTTTGCGGATGAGACGCTCCTGCTGTATCGAGTTCGCGCCTTCGTTATTAAGGGAAATAGTGTCAACGTTAACTATATATCGCTTTTTTTCAGGCATAGCTGAGAGCAGTGGTTCCCGACATCGGCCGCTCCGCACGGGTCAATAAATATTGGGACCCACCGGCCTGAAGCGTCGCACCATGACCAGTGGTGATGCCCATTTGGGGGGCCCTAAGCAAACATATGTTTGACTCCCGCCACCCAAACTCCCCTTTTGATTAATAAACTACAGAGGTGACAGAAAAGATGATGCTAAATGCAGATGAGACAGATGCAGTGAAATGAGGGTTGTCGACAAGATATAAAAATGGAATTAGATGACAGCAGAGAGCTGCAGACTAGCTTTTAGAGATTCGTGTTTTTATGTTATTTCGATGTTTAGGTTGATTAGGATTTGCATAAAAGCTAATAATAGTTCAACCCTATTTCTTAAGAAATCCCAGGCCCTGTGAGCTGCTTGGAGCCTGAATCGTGTGTTTAGGATGAGTCGTGCCCAGCGACACTACCAACCATAACTTCACGATCGCATGTAGAGTTTACAATACCAGATATGTGCAAAATCCATTCCATATACAGGGAAAGCGTCTCACGTAACGCTCCCCCCCCCCCCCCCCCAAAGCGTGAATTCGCAGTTACATGATTAATTCATATTTTAGGGACATACGTCACACTTATGCTATGCGTTTCACAGTTACACGTTGAAAAAAAACCTAAAACATTGTAAAGGTTTTTTTTTAACTACAATTGAAATAATAAAAATTATAGCAGCTATGGCAGCACCCAGCGTCACAGGCTGGGAGTAACATCTTAGGTCTGGCTTTGCATGCGTGTTGCTGCTGCAAGCAGCAACACGGAAGCATTCAACAAGGGTAATCTTCTTCTTTGGTTCTTTCGGTAAAGTCACGTAGAATGAGAATAAAATAATAAATTGATAAAATAAAATAACACAATAATATTCTCACGACGTTTATTGTGTTATTTTATTTTATCAATTTATTATTTTATTCTCATTCTACGTGACTTTACCGAAAGAACCAAAGAAGATGAATCATTGCAGTCACGAAAGCTTTAAATCGAAATTTAAGGGTAATCTTTATAAGTAATAATATTTGGAATCTTAATTATTTGTTATTAAACTCCGTATTAAGTAACTTTGTAATATTTATATAGTTATTAAGTATTACATTTATACATATTTTGTAAATTCAGGGCTAATATAATGAAATGATACTCGATTTTGTATTCGGTACCGTACCCCCCTGTACAACGTCTTTGGGGAAATAGGCTTCATGCAGCGAAGATTCGAATTATGCGCGTAATGCGAGGGACGCCTGTGTGTATATATATATAGCATGCAACCAGTTCCTCAATTCTGTTAAACACCTGGGAATGACAAACGCTTGGGTTGGCACATCGCTTATATTACATTTAATGCAAGAGTTTACAATCGACAGAAAACAATGTAAAATCACCAAAGAGCAGCAATAATTAATTACCAGCACATGTCCTTCAGCCAGCAGCAGTGTGGAAACAAGCTCCATATATCAAAGCGAATTAGCTTTCAATGTATGTAATCACCGCGCGTGGATTGTAAACAAGTGATGAGCTCAGTGGGCTTTGCTTCCTTCCTCTGCCGACTCCTCTGGAAAGGCTTCGAGTATCTTGATCAACTGATCACTCTGAGGAATACACACGCGCAGCGAGGTCAGTAAAGTGCGTAGAGCCATATGTATTTAAGAATTTACACTCTTTGTTTACAAGTGTCCGAAGATGCTTTTTAATCAAATAAAAACCTGCCCATAGGTGCAGCCCTGCAATTGTGTGCTCACACCACCCACTGATGGAGGGGGCCCTCCAATAGACGTAACTCACGAGAGCGCCTCTTAGACGGTATTTGACCGACTCTTCCATGATGGCCCGACGTCTTCGACGGAAGATTTGGGAGTACCCACACTTTACCCCACCACACACGAAACCTGCAGATTGACGAACTGTGGTGTGTGCCCATTTATACTGCCCGATGGACAGAGACGGTGGCCTGGGTGGGATTTGAGAAACGTGCCCTACGACCTGGCGAACTCTGGATTGCAAGTCCTGTGTGCCCATTAATATAGTAACACGTACACTTGTGTTACAAAGTATAAATAGTAACATAAAGGGTACATAAACAACCTATGCCTTTCTATGATCAATAAAGTGGCAACTATTTCACCGATCCTGTATAGAAGAAGGGAGAACCATGGGTTAAAATAAATCATTAAGCTGACGATCTATGCATCAAAATCACGCAAGTAAGAACTGACTTAACGATCTGTATATGTTGCCCGTAATGGGTTCATGCGGCCCCCAGCAGCCACTGGTAGCCGCTGCGTTCAGCGCAATATTGGAACAAAAAGCAGTGGTTCCCAGACATGTGGGAACAACTTGGACGTTGGGGGACATCAAGGAGCCAGGGTGGCCCACAAAGGCTTTTGAGAGGGCACAGCAATCGCAATTCCTTTGGTTTAAGAGTTGTGGGTGGAAGCCTTCCTCCCTTCCCCCTTATGTTGCCATGCCTAAGTCATCGTGTTTATTCAGCCATGGAACGTTATTCCACGTCGGCCAGTTGAACCACGCGCCGCCTACAGCCACCGTCTAATGCGCATAGGAGTGGGCCATTGTGGCAACTTTATGCATGTGCAACACCTTTTATCATTATCGTCCTCGAATTACTATCTACCCACTGATGAGTGAAGGCCTCCCCATGCCATCACAATGCCTCACGGTCCTGTAATGCCACCCTGGCACCTGGTCACCTGCCACTTACTCCTCTAATTTGAAATTATTTTTTTAATTATACCCTTGTCAAAAGTAACTCAACCTCTGGGACCAGGGCTATGTCTAAATCTATGTCCAAATCTAGCCTGGTACAGATGTCGTGGTGACGTCACCGTCACTTCGTAGCGAATGGCGGGTATTGGTATGTTCAAATCGCCCCATCTGGATTCGGCCCCCACTTGGTAGCTCTCGGACGCACCGTGACAAACCACCAGGTGTTGAGCCTGTAGGCGAGCCGCAAGAAGCCTATTTGGCTGGCCGGGGCGAGCACGTGGAGGTGCAGATGAGTCACGGAAGAGAAGGGTGGCCAGTGGAATCCCAGCCTGCCTTGCACGCACACACGCCCGCTCATGTGTGTCGTCCCCCACAGCAAAAACATGAGCAACAGCAACAACAGCAACATGGGACACAATCCGTGTGGGTCCGGTCCTGGCTCTAATGCCTCCCCTTGGGCATTTTCTTCTGCCAATAACATATTGCTTACTTTTGTCACCTGAATGAGTTTTTTTTTAACGCACAGTCATTATCTCACCCTTGATCATAAGATATCAAGATTGCAAGCCATTACAGGTGCCCTGGTAATCGCTTATGGTACAGCGCTATAGATGTCATTATAATTATTAAAGCGAGTTGGTGGCCTCAGCCTATACAGATGTATATACTGTGCACAGCAGTGCCGGATTATCCGAGTAGCAAAAGTAGCATATGCTATGGGCCCTGCACTTTCCAGGCCCCGCGCTAAATGCATTCAAGCTATCAATTCCGGTTCAGTGATTCTGCACTTGCTCTATTACTATAGTACTATACTGCCTTCAACTTTTATGAACTACTGGGTTATTTAAGGTTAGCGATTTGTCGTATTATCTGGCTGAATAGCGAATGAAAAAAAACAATTACTTTACTATGCAAGTTAAAAATTTGTGTTTGAATGTGTTTTTTTTTTATTTAGGGCCCTTTTATAACTGGTGCACACAGCATTTGTCTCCCTGTTCTGGAGAAGGGCAACTAAGCGTCCGCTTCTGATGAGACGACACGTACAATCTTTTGGAGAGGAAACCCAATCCGTAGGAACTGCGGCGGAACACTTAGGGTTGGATTTCTGACTGTGCGGGCCGCCGATTATCGCTACACTCTATTCATGGACAACGTTCGAAGGATAACAAAGGAAACACTTAATTATATTCCTGCAATCGAATTTGTAAGAGATTATTTGGCGATGCTGCTGCGTTGGCAGTGGTGCACGACCGGCGCAAATAACAAAACAAAAACTGAACACATTCGTCGATAATGTTGTGGCCCTAAATAGAACAAAAAAATATACATCATGGGTGACATTTCGAGCAATGGCCTTTCTTCATAGCAAACACGGTTCTCAGTATCACATTTGCGGTGTTGGATCGCAAGAGCGGGCAGCCGCGTCACGCTTGCCTGATGTCAGACAGGTCGCTCACGCCCTGTCGCTGCAGTACCTCTTTTCCAACACGAACCATCTCGTTCACTGGCAACAGGAAGTCAGACACGCAGAGACACTGTCAGCCATGGCAGCAGAACATTTTCCTTACAAGAACACACATCCACGGAGGGGGGCAGGGGGCGGCGTTTCAGAGTGCCGTTTTATCTCACAGCTCATCTGAAACATTTGAAGAGTACCCCACCAGCGGCCGATGTCCCTGCGGGCACAAGCTGACTCAGAAGCTGGCCTGCAAACGGCCATTGGTGTGCCAGTCGGGAACGATGAGTGGCTATGTAGAATCCCATGCCGTGGATAATGGGGCTATTTTGACTATGCTTCACCGCGCTGCTCACCGCGGGTTTGTGAATGCACAGAAACACAGATGCACGAGCATAGAAGTATGGTACAACAATGTATTTTGCTGCACTTCTCTCGAATCTCCACATCTTAGCCCTGCTGCAGCCTACAGCACTTGTCATGCAGGAATATTGCCCAAGCAAGCACTGTCCAGGCTCAACCGTGCTTGGCTTGGAGAGGTGTAGAGATCAGGTGCATTGCAGGTGATTGATCGCAGGCAAACACATGTACAGATTGAAGAAGTTTCTAATTACAGCGAGCATAAAACGTAATCAAGCCTCAATCCGTATTAGAAATGTTGCTTGCTATTTAAAACACCCGAGTTCAGCCGCACTCCAGTTCTGCGTACAGTGCCCAGGACTGGCTCACATATGACTTGTCAATCACGTCATCAGAGGTGGCTGAGAATCGAACTCGTAGATCACAGCGCAGTGCGCTAATCACTCTGCCCCCCCCCGCCCCCCCACAAAATCGCACACATTCACAGAATCACTGACATGTTATCTCATCGATTTTGTCAGCCACGTGAACCAGTGTAACTACAGTTGTTGCTTCTCCCGGTAGACACGGAGAAATTTCTTATCTGGCCCGTGGACATTAGTACCTGCAGTGGTGGGGGAACACGATAGGAGGTGGAAGGCAGCCAGTGTCACAAGTATTCCGGCTATGTCTACGCCAATTGGCGCGAGGCCCACATCCCCACCCCACGCCAACAACCCCGGTGGAGGATCCGGGGGGGGTGGGGATGGAGGCAATCGCCATCCCCTTGAGACCCCAACAATTGGTATTGTACCATATTGATATTAACCAGAGAAAACAGATTAAATGTTAACACGCATGGGTTGTTTCGCGTTAGATCGCGTAAATATAAATATGTCGATGAGTCCACCTCCACCGGACACAGCACACCCGTGTACTAGAGAGTAAAGCCACAGCGTTTAAAAGTTGAGTTAGCGACGTTCCACTGGTGATTACAACCAGCATCACCAGGCGATTGCCAGACTTGAATTCCTGTGGTTAAAATGTCCCACACTTCTAGGCCTCAAATTAGTGGCGTGGCATCATCAGCACACACACACACACAAGTGAGAAGGAAGTACAGTAAAACCTTGGATTGCGAGTAACTTGGTCTGCGAGTGTTTTGCAAGACGAGCAAAAATTGTAAATAAATATTAATTTGATAAACGAGCGAGGGTCTTGCAATACGAGCAGTACGTATACGATTTGTCTGCCGAGCGTCACGTGATCACAACTGATAAACGGAGTGCTTTGATATACGAGTGCTTTGGATTACAAACACGTTTCCGGAACGAATTATGCTCGCAATCCAAGGTTTTACTGTATCAGGATTTAATACCTGCTAAATATATTCACATAAATTATAAAACACTATTTTACTACAATAAAGTATGCAACAAGACTGTATTTACATCAATTATAAGAACCAAGAATATGAATCCCTGCAGTCACGAAAGCTTTCAATCGAAATTTAAAACAACATGATAACATCACATTTCACTGGTAGTTAAAACCGACATTGTCAGGAGGTTGTCAGAATTGAACTCCTGTAGTGAAAATGTCCTGCAATGCTGGGCTTTAAATAGGTTAGATTACACAGAAATCCTTACGATCATTCTAACCTTAATCGTCACATAATTAAATGTGCCTTCATGTTAACACATCTGACATACTTTATTGTAATCTAACGCAATGTACGTGCAATGTATGTGGATGCATTCATCTCTGGTATTACTTCCTGCTCATCTGTGTGGGTGTGCTTATGTCATGTTACCTATTTAAAGCCCAGCATTGCAGGACGTTTTCACTACAGGAGTTCAATTCTGACAACCGCCTGACAATGTCGGTTTTAACTACCAGCGAAATGTTTCGTCAAATTGTTACATGACTTAGACTGCTCTTCGACATACCAGTGTGCTCAAGCAATACAAATTGGCACGTTTCTTCACGTGACAACATTATTGATTCGGTTTGCGTCGGGTGGAGGAGGGAGTACGACACACATTGGCACTGTGCTCACGTAGTCTGACCCCCCAAAAAAAAATCTATTATGAGCCATAACAGTTTTGTTTATTAACATAGGGGCCCTATTTTTTTTCTTTAAAAGCTTGAGTTTCTAGATCCACCTCCGAGCAACTGCCACCTTCGCAGCCGACGACGAACTCACCCAGCGCCACGTGGCGCCTCCGTAGAGACTTGCAGTTCCCCACGTGGTCGCGCGGAACCACCAGGTAGTGGTGCGGCGCCCCGGGGTGGATGTCTCGGAAGGACGATAGATGCTCATCCTGAAATGGAGCACGGGGGCTCCATTAAGGCCATGGACACACGCTCGCAAGGTCTGAGGGCAACCATTTGCTGATGTTTGTCACAGCAGTGCGTTTACTGTGAACCACGATGGCAACTTGGTTGGCGTAGAGCAGGGTTCTTCACTGATTTTCAAAAGGGGGGGGGGGTCCACTTTCACCGATAAGACGTCAGTGTGAGGGCCGCCTCACCACCTCCATGTGTGTATTGCCGGGGGGGGGGGGGGGTCGCACCTCAGCGACCGCACTAAAGGCCACCAAGGGCCGCCAGTGGCCAGCGTGCCTGGCAATGAGAAACACTGGCGTAGAGCAGACGTTCCGAATGACGTGGTACGTGTACCACTCATTATAGTGGGCACCCAAATGGGCTTCATAGTCCCCCGGTCGTAGGAGAACATCACGCTTGGGTATCATGCCAAAAACGGCCTTTCAATTCTTGTTAAACTGCTCTTTGATATCCTCCTCCGATGTCTCGATGGATTCATATGCTTCCACTCCTGACACATTGCAATGTCTAAATCGTCGTCTGGCTAAAATAATCTGCTCATCCCCCTGTACACACTTGGTCATGCACTTTGCTATCCCCGTTGCTGATGGGGAAAAAAAATACACTCCTGCCCGTTTTTCATCCTTCCACCCACACTATACGACAGTGTGCACTCCCCGTTAATCCACCTAGTTGCACTTAGCCCACAGATTGTGGGATAATCTTCAGTTATGTAACAATCCACTGCTTAATGAAGGCCTCTCCACGTCATGTCCGTCACGAGGGTTGCGTAACCTCACCATGCTGGTCAGTCCGTGACACGTATCACTTGCTAACTGATGTTAAGTCGGGGTTAAAAAATTTCGCATCAGGTCACTGGGTTCATAGCGCAGAGCACGAAACACTGTGCCCCTCTCTCCCCGTTGTGTAGTCTCATAGGCCACAAGAGCGAGTGCTCTTTAGAGCAAGCACCGACTCAGGCCGGCATGGCACACCAGAGCGTGGGTGACCAACACCACACCCAGCTGGCCACCTCTGTCTCCCCAGTGCCGATGTTTACACACTGCACTCGGCACTCATTTAAGGTTGAGTCGACCTAGCATGGTTGGACACCCCCCCCCCAAGTCCAGTTCAGATATTCGTCACCGATGTTGGCCGCGAGTGGGAGTTGAACACGGGTCGCCGGGTTCGTAGCGCAGTATGCTTAGTTTGCTTAAACTAAACTTTAAATAATGTTTATTTAACCAAGCAAGGGCCACTGAGCTGTATAGCTTTTTCAGAAGCGACCTGGCCACCAATGATAGCTCAGCTATATAGCTTGTTCAGAAGCGACCTGCCCACCAATGATAGCTCAACGGAGAAGCCAAATACTCTAAGCGCATGTTTCTTTAGAAACATTTATGTGGAGGGAAAAGCCGGAGGACCTGGAGAAAAATCCACGTGACCACGAGGAGACGCGCACACACTCCAAATATACAGCAGGCGTCAGGGTCGTGGATCGAACCCTCGGGGACCTCCTGCATACCAGGCGAGGCAGATGAACATCTCGCCACCGTGACACGCCACACCCACGTACAACCAACACACACCTGATACACGAGCTCGCAATCCTCCTGCTGTCCATTGGCTATCTTGCAGAACAAACACGTGGGCTCTGTGTCTCTCCTCGTCTCAGCTGCGTCCTCCTTCCTCCCGTCCCCAAGTTGGGGGGATCCCTCTGCAGACATCTCCAGCAGATCGAGGCAGCAGCAGCAGCAGCGGGTGTATACCTGGGCAAGGAGGGCAGGGGTAGCAGGCAGCCAGCCCCACTGATAAAACACAAGCACACACACACATTCAATTGTGTTGTGCAGGGGCGGGCGGGAAGTTCCTAGACCCCTGTCTTAACATCACGACTTGAACTCGTGCATGTTAAAAGGTATACGGATTTCTCGACCACCGCGTAATGAAATGTATGCTGCTCCTTGGCCGGAGTGTGTATTGCCGTATTCTCCAGATTATAAGACGCAGTTACCTCCCGTGTTTTAAAGTAAAAGTGTGGAGCGGATGTGGGGGGGGTAGCGTCTTATATTCCGGTTCGTGCGTGTGTGACCAGATGCGTACGGCTCTGTAACAAGTTTGCGGTGCGTCTTTACTTTGCGGGCCGTTGTTATAATCCGGAGAATACGGTAGTTGTTTCATTCTCTTTGCCCGCAAATTGAGAGAGCGAGAGATGAACACGCGCACACGCACAAGGACAATGCTAAGCCCGTCCGTCCACCCGGGAGACGGAGCGATGCAAGTCGGCCTCGTGTGCATGGGTGGCACGCGGATCGCACAGTGTCGCGACAGACGGCAACGGCGTGAGAGAGGCCTTAATGCAGCAGTGGATTGAGCACGGTTCTTTTTGTCGTCGTGATACCGTGGCAACGTGGAGGGTTAGTGCCCTGCCCATCCCGCAACGGCCGGTGCGGCAACGCTGCTCCCCCGGCCGTCTTTGTCTCCCCGGCGCTGATGCTCACAGCAGGGCACCGAGGAGAGTGCTGTCCAGTGCAGTACTCGTTTTAAGGCCGAGTCGATCCGAGGGGGGAGCCGGCGAGGGCCCAGCAAAGAGGCCCGGTTCGGAGCGCGATGCGGCTACGCAGGCCCCCCTCTCTCTCTCTCTCTCTCCCCGCTTCCTCGCGGTGCCAGATCGGATCGCATTCGGTACTCGTTTAAGGCAGAGTCGACCTACAGGACGGTTCGGACATCACTCGCCCATTGATGTTTTACTCCGCGTGGGACCGGAAATCCAACGCAAGTCATAGCCGCCCCACCCCCCGTTGGTTTAAACGCAGCGTTGAGTGCGTTAACCACTGCGCCACCGCTCCCTCGCCACCACCGTGTGTGTGTACACGCACACACACACAGAGAGAGACACGTGTGTGTGTGTGTAGCGGTGTATTCGTTACTCACGGGCCGCCAGAGATGTTGTTGTGGTCGGCAACAGTCAAGGAAAGCCGCACAGGAAATTGTCACGGGCCGTCTTAAAGAGGAGCCGGGCAAAATTTGTACCGAGCTCTGCCGGTGGTGGCGCTGCACCATCACATTAAAATCACTTCCGTGGCAAGTCATAAACATTATTGTAACTTAATTCTGCCGATTAGGGGGCCGTCTATAAATGACGTCACGCGATTTTGGACGATTTTTTGACCCTCCCCCCCTCGTCACACGGCGTCACAAAAAGTCAGACCCCCCCCCTTGGATATGACGTCACAAAGCTCTGCCCCCCCCCGAAAAAACATTTCCATTTTGAAAATAAAACATGCTTCAAATCGCTTTAAACTATTGTCATTGTAGTGCGTACTTAATGTGGCGCTGCACTCTGATGTTGTAGGAGTGTTGTTATAACAAATGGTGTTATAACAACTCTATATTTATTTAAAGTTGCGCATTTTGATGTGACGTCACACATCGTCACAAATGTATGACCCCCCCCCCTCGGTGCGTGACGTCATTTATGGACGGCCCCTTTGTGTGTGCTGACCAGATTAGTGTCTGGCGTGGTCACCAAATTTGAGTTCATTTTTTTTGAGACGGGTAATAACTTTGGGGTTGCGTATTATTTTGTTTTCGGAGCGGCGAGAACATTTGTAACTTTAATGTGCTTTGTTTATTGGTAAACAGAGTTGAGCAAAGTGGCAGGCAAATTTATAAACAACTGAAACCCATAAATTGCGTCATTCGTTTGCCAGAGATTGCGTAGGTTGGTGTTGTAGAAGTTAAGCAGTTGTACACATTGCGTAGGAGTAACACACCTGCCCCAATTCCAGAACTTACGCAAGATAATTTGCATATATTCCGATAAACTCATCTATGGGCGGTCGGAAACACCCACACTCTCTCCATGACAATTAGTAATCATGTAGAGTACAAAAGACATATATAAAGATCCCCCCCTCCCTCCCACCTGTTTCAACTTAGGGCAAGTGCTGTTAGCGCCTACCCTATATAAGCAGGAGGCACGATCGGGTCAGGTGACCAACACCACGCCCGGCTGCCTTTGTCTCCCCCGTGCTGATGTTTACTCGCCGCACCCAGGTACTCGTTTAAGGCCGAGTCAGCCTAGGGGAGGTCCGTGACCGGTTGAAATATTCGCCGCTCAAAAATTAAGACTCGGGTCGCTGGGATAGTAAGTACAGTGCGCTAACCACTGCGCCACCGCTCACCACAACAGACACAGATCCACACACTGAGACAGCTGTTACAAGCTCGTCAGTGTTTGTACGTTTGCACTATAATTCTGAAAGTGTGCACAAAACAAAACTACTTTTATAACCAGGGATATATTTGATATGAATGTGACACAGCTATCCGTCTCTGAGATTACATCATGTTCAATTACATCCAAAGTTTATACATCTGATCTCCCATCTCGGTGCCACTCATGATGTATGGGGAGTGTCAGAGTGTTGCACTGCTTTAGAATATCACAACAAGGGAGAATTCTTAATTTCTTTATATATTGTCGGCGAGCAACTATTAAGGCCAACGCCCCAAATACATGTGACAAGATTGTGTCGTGTGACTAGAATCACATCTATACGGTGGTATGGTATGGTCAGGATCACAGACACACACACGGGTGTATTGTGGCCAAAAATCATACACACACACCATGGTGTGTGGACAAAAACACATTCCTGCGGAGGGAGCTGGTAGGAACGTTGGGTTGCTCGGTCAATGGCCAGGGTCAACGGCGGCACCACGTGGTGTATTCCGCAAATATTCCCGACTGTGAGGGCGGGCACAAGCCGGCGTGAGTAGGTGAAACGTTGAGTTTTATAAGGGCACCACGGGGTGACCAGCCCCTCTCCACCCAGCCCCACCCCTCCCACCCTCCCCACCCAGCCCCTCCCCTCCCTCTCCACCCACCCCCTTCACCCTCCCCACCCTACCCACTCAACCCCTCCACACCAGTTAAAAGGGTAAAACCTATTACTATGTCTTGTTACTGGCATAGGAGGTCTCATAATGAGGGGGGGGGGGGTGTTTGAGAAATGTGACGTCACATCAAAATTTGCAACTTTAAATAAATATACAATTGTTATAACAACACTCCTACAACATCAGAGTGCAGCGACACATTAGTTTAAAGCGATTTGAAGCACGTTTTATTTTCAAAATGGAAATATGGTTGGGGGGGGGGCAGAGCTTTGTGACGTCATATTTGAGGAGGGGTCTGACTTTTTGTGACGCTGTGTGACGAGGGGGGGGGTCAAAAATCGTCCAAAATCGCGTGACGTCATTTATGGACGGCCCCTAATGCACCTGGGGGGGTGGGGTGAGTGGGGAACGTCATCCCGCGTGTTGACACAAAACCTCACAGGAAATTGTCACGGACGTGAGAGGGGAGGGAAAATGGCACGGGTTTACCGGGGGTGGCGCTACCACCATTGCATTAACATCGAACCCGCAGTAATTTAAAGTTGTATTTAGATTTGTTACTCGGATGATGTCCCGGCTATATTACAAGGGAGATCCGTGGCGCGTGAGCACAGCAATAAATACAACAAAACGTCAATATTGCAGTGAACGAGTACAGAGTCCTTATAGAATATCCAGAGTGATGATATCAAAACATAATAATTTATTCTGCGGATTATAAGTTGTGAAGATGAGTCTTATAATCCCGTGTGTGTGACCAGATGTGTAGGCGTTGTGACCGGAATTATATGCTTTGAGGAAGGGCCATTGCCCGAAACGTCGCCTGTTATACATTTCCTTTTACGTCCACCATTATTATTTTTTGACAAATGAACTGATGGGCGTTGTTTTGTTAATTGTGCTTGTGCATCCGGAATAAGTTTGGGGTGCTATATATCTTTCTGGAGGTTCTTGCAATCCGGAGAATATGCTAATGCGTACCTAAGTCAGGCTGGGAAATATATATATATATATTTTTAATGTATTAAAAAAAATTCTATATAAAAAAATTACAAAAAAAATTCCAGCGCTTATTCCCGGCCGGACAAATTAAGCCCTGACCAATTTTACACAGCACCGATATTGATACTGCTGCATGTATACGATTAAAACAATACGCGCCCAACGCACCTCGGATATCACTTTTATAACACAATAAATCGCCCCGTTGCACTCGTGTAGCACATTGACACACATACCCTTGTATATTCTCGCAGTGTGCACAACACAAATGCGCATTGTATCGTAGCGCATACACACACGGGTGTAATCTAACGCAATAAGGCGGCAACCACTGCACAAAGACAAAGATCCCCTCGTATAGCCTCTTAACGGGCTGTTGGGGCAAGTACCGCGAGCAAGCGCCACCTATGACGGCTATCACGGCACACGCGTGGATGGGTGCGGACAGAACCACGCTTGGCCGCCTTTGTCTCCCCAGTAACGATGTTTTCCACGTCGCATCGGGTGCTCATTTGAGGCTGAGTCGATCTAGAGGAGGCCTAAGAGTCGGTCCAGATAGTCGTCACTGGTGTTTGCAACGGAGGGCTGTGCTAACCGCTGCGCCACCGCTCCCCCACACACGACACAAAGACCCTACACTCAGCACGGCACGACAATGCGCTTACAGACCCGACCACCCCCCCTGCATCGAGGACCCGTCACGTAAGCCGCTCCATGCGCATAGCCCAGCCCTCCCCATTCATCCTCTCGATCTCTCCCTCCGAAATCCATCCCTCCTCCCAACATCCATCCCTCCGTATACATCCCTCCTCCCAACATACTGTACACCACCCCTCCCTTCGACAAGAACCTCCTCTTCTTGCAACGTCGCTCACGCCCTGCAACATCAAATTCATCCCTTCCTCCTATGTCCCTCCCTGCAACAACCCATCCCATCCCTCCCTACATCCCTCCCTCTAACATCCCTTTCCACTCGCCTCCCCCCCCCCCCGACTGCCCCTCACTGCGTCCCTCCCAAGCACCACTCCTCCCTCCCCTGGGCTTGTGCGCGCCTGCAACTGCCCGATTCATGCCTTCATGTGGCACCACGAGCACGCGAGCCAGGCAGAGGGGGGCAACGCGCAGCCAGAAGCGCCGCTATGCCATTGTGCGCCCGTCAGACTATTGGTTAATGCTAATCATTAATCCGCATTAAGTGCTGTAATGCTATCCACCGCCGCCGCTGATGCTGCTAAGGAATAGTAACAGTAAATCATATCATTTATTTTGTGCGTTATTATTTCCTGCTCGCCGCAAGCTCGGGTAAAAAAAAAAAATTGCCACCAGGAAGGAATATTGTCGGCTTGGTATTGCGGTGCGGTGTAGCGTAGCCCCTGCTGTATGTTTCTCTCTCTCTCGCACGCACGCACGCAAATTCTAAGTGGCACACGTATTTTGTGTCCGCACTGGTACACGCGCACGCGCGCACGCACGCACACGCACAGACGTGGACCGCAGGGCAGAAGTCGCCAGAAGATCATCGTCAGCGCCGGACATCAACAGACGAAGGAAGGAGGGCAGGAATTATGTCGGCACCTCTAATCATCGTCATGGGTCTCCTGGCTGCGTACACCGGATACTACCTGGCCTCAGTTGCCAAGGTAAGAACACCAGCATCCCCCAGTAACCATGGAACGTTGGGACAACGTTAATGATCGCGTGCCAACGTTGGCGCAACGTTGCATCTTTACTGGGTCACTACGGATATCCTCGGACAACAGTAAATGCCGGTGAGAGTATCGTGGGCCCCCCGCTAAGTTCTTATATTGTACTGTTGTAAAGTCTAAGCGTACATTATTGAGCTTATTTAAGGAATGGGCACCGCAGCCCTCCTCATACGCATTGCACACACGGGGTGACAGCTCAGATCAGAATCTGCATTTATACTGCAGGAATGCGATGAGCTCTGGAGGTTATTTTTCACTGATAGAGCAGAATGCACGATAGATTGAAAAAAAAGCAGATCACATCGTAATTACATTCAGTGTTGCGCGATTGTTTAAAGTTGGTGTAACGTTGATTGTCGTTCCCCCTCCCCCCCAACTCCTGAGTCTTTGTTTGCCCCCCCCCCCCCCCCCATTTTAAACGAGGTCACGCGATAGGTCTTCCAGCTAATAGGATGTAAAGGGGATGGGCGCATATTTACACCACCAGTGTACCGCTCCATGAGTAAAGATGAGAAACTAAGAGCGAACCACTGGATACTCGTTGGGTCTTTCGGTAAAGTCACGTAGAACAAAAAAAAAATAAACAAATTAACAAAAAACTACGACGTTTCGATCGCAACACAAGCAGTCGTCATCTCCTGATGTCGCTTTACCGAAATACCCAAAGAATATGAATTCCTGCAGTCACGAAAGCTTTAAGTCAAGATTGAACCACTGGATCTTGAGGTCCAGGTGTCGACCTTGCAACTGCTGCAAGATTCTGGCAGAAGGTAGGAAGGAAGAAAGCTGTGGCGAGGTGTGATGGCACCATTGGCCTTAACGGCCTATTTGAGCTGAGCTTGCGTGAGTGGCTCAACACTAGCCAGGCACCCCCTGTGAATTGAGGGGGTTGGCGATCAAACACGGCGCCTATTAAGGCGGTGTTGTTGACGAGTTGCTTTCAATATTTTTGGCGTAGTATCGCCACCCGAGTAGTGTGAAAACCACGTTACAACGGCAGGGGACAGTTTCTCTGTAGAGATTGCCTCGGGCCAGGAGTGGAAATTCCACATTACAATATGCAGAGACAGTCTGTCCTTGGGACAGACCCTATCGCATATTGCTGTATAATACTGAGCTATAGTGAACAGAGTAGAATACAGTACTGTACATGTAATATTATATTAAGAATAATAGTAATGCGCTTTACCCAGGGAAGGTTATCTTGAGTCTCAAGATTCCTTTCAAGGAGGATCCCGCTACATTGTAGCAGAATATTTGGGCAATTTCGGTGAAGAGTGTTTTACATATGGGAAGAAAACCGGGATAATATCCAGAGAAACTCCACACATGAGAGAATAAACACTCAAGATGTCCACACAGATGGATTTAATAATCACTTATCTGTACTTTCGTCTCCTGGTCACTACTCAGCCCACATTGACAGTCTCATGGTGGTGGGAGGCTGGGGATGCCCTTGTGCGGTGGGGGAGATGTTATCTCCATTTACTTGTATTCAGGAGGTCGTGGGTTTGATCCCGACCCTGACGCCTGTATATTTGGAGTGTGTATGTCTCTCTCCTCGTGGTCACGTGGATTTTTCTCCGGGTCCTCCGGATTTTCCCTCCACATTTAGAAACATGCGCTTAGAGTATTTGGCTTCTTCGTTGAACTATCATTGGTGGCCAGGTCACTTCTGGAAAAAAAGCTATATAGTTCAGTGGGCCTTACCTGGTAAAATAAAAAAAATACTTGAGTTTAGTTTTAGAGATCGTTTCGAGGTGAGGGTGGACAGTCCCCACTATTGGAAGAGGAAGAGACTCCCCTCTTAAGGAGGAGACTCCCCGCCATTGTAATGTGGAATTTCCACTCCTGGCTCAAGGCCATCTTTAAAGAGAGGACTGTCCATGCCATAGTCGTGTGGAATTACCACTACAGGCCCAAGGCTACATCCATATATACTGTATTCTTAAATATATTTATTCTTTATTTTAATTCACATATTGTACATATAGTTGCAATGCAAGAGCTGTACTATTAACAGTTTTGATTACAACCCGTGTCACTTTATGGAATGTATTGCACAATTGCTTATAGTACATGCTGTTGTATGACCTGCAGTTCATACATTTAATGAATTATTCATTGCAAAAGTGTCCTAACACCTGGGTTCCATGATGGGTAATTTATTGCACTTCTGTTTTTTTTCAACGATCTTCATGAAATAATGCAGCCGCATCGACCAGCGTCCAATATATGCACGTGCAAGTATGTTTGTATGTATGTGTCGTGTCCATCAAATGAGCCTGCTGCATTAACGGGCAAGGTACATAGCAGAGGTCAAAGCCAATGTAAGCAATGTACTGTATGTGCACATTATTTACATGCCACTCTGGGCCAGTGTTGAGCCGGAGCCTCTGCCAATGTAATGTGGAATTTCTACTCCTGGCTCAAGTCAGTTATCTCTATGGAGAGACTGTCCACGCCATCGTCATCTGGAATTTCCAACATTGGTCAAGCAAGACAATTGTCAAAAATGTTACACAGTAGTGATGCTAGCAAGGTGACTTTCCTCGTACCGTTTATAACTCTCAAGTCTGATTTGCTCAAACCATCCCTGGACAATTTCTGCAGAATTACATTCCAATCTAGAGTGGACGATTCATACTCTACCGGGCATTTGTGGATATCTGTGAAAAAGAGCGTCATAACTCATCGCATTCCTCCAGTCTAAAATAAAGATTCCACTCGAATCACGCATTTCCTATGGGCGATTCCCACGTGCCATCATCGGAGTGGACTGCATGACCCCGGCGACTAAGGGGAAGACCGAAAAGCAGATGGTCCGAGACTGTCAGCTCAGATCTTGGAGTTCCCGTGTCTCAAGTGCGCAGCGGCTGCGGGATGTGGCGGGGAGGGGAGGGGAACGCGTTGGCAATGAGGTGTGGTGGTGGCATCGCCAGTTTTGGCCATGCTAGAGAAAGTACGCTAAGTACTATCACGCCATCTCGTGGCGATCTTTGGAATTGCCAATCGAATCCCATTCATTTGGAGGTTGTGAGAGAATTTCCATTCTTTTCATTGATGATCCCCGATTTCCTGCTTGCTCTTCCTATCTGTCGGTAAGCGCAGATAATAGGAAGGCCCGTCGATTGATTCTGAAGGAATGGGAAGGGTGGATAATAGGAGGGTGAATTAAAGGACTCAGTATATGATGATGCACACATGGGTAGCTTGAGATGCATGATGTATGTTGAACTTCTTTTGCACTGTATTTAGCCAACCGTGCAAATCGGAGATGCTTTGCGAGAGGATTTTGGCAATGTTTCACAATACAATGCGATATAAAACAGCACGATTTGACGATTATTGAGATATTAGTTTTGCAGTACATTGGGAACTGTAATTTTACCCTTAGCCTTTCTAGACATTGTTTATGATTAATAATTAGTTACTTTTGGCTTAGATGACGTAGGTGTAATGTGCATTTTCAGCTAAACCCTCCACCACCTGACAGAGCCAATCAAATCAAGTTATCACGTGGGCAATTATGCCAGTTGATTTGGTGTTTCAGTAAACTGGACTGTTGACGATCTAAACCAAAAGTAACTACTGTAATTGTGAATCATTGCTAGCCCGACTTCACATTTATATTGTATTCAAGCAGGAATGCAGATTACAAAGATGTCCTTTAACTGTGGCTCGCTCAACATGAGCCTACCATAAGCCCTTCTAATCTTGACAACCTTTAACGCTTAGAACCCACACCGCTGTCCGCTGCACATAAATACTTAAATTATTCGTAAAGCGACGATTATGATGATTTGTTCTACTTACGATGGCATCAATCACTCCAAAAGCCATTCTGAAAAACACAAATTTAATTATTTATAGAGGACAACTTTTCTTATACGCAAAGCTATTACCCAGAAATTCTATTATCCACGGAAGCTGTATGGTCCACAAAAAAATCATATCATCTGGAGCCCTATTCTTCAAATTACCCACGATTATCTGCCATATTTTCCTACAGCTAAGTGGAGTAAAATCGCGGGTAACCCCGCAGATAATAGGATCCGAGATATCGATCCCGCACACCTCCGTGGATAAGAGACGTTCTCTTGTAGCCTTTTAGTGGCAACTGTATTTCATGTAATTTGTTATTTCATAAAAAAAAAATTGTTGGGATAATGAAATCCTTGAGCAAAATAAAATAAGCAACGATATTAATAATAATTTTAAAAAACACAATACGATTACCGTATCATAGGCATGCCTACTTGCCAGTTTGCCCCCAAGGCACCATATTGCAAAGGGTTGGTGGAATCAATCCCATTACCTCTTGGTGTTGCTGTACAGCAGTTGGCAACGATAGACTTCCACCAATGTCCCAGTATTCCATTCATAGTAGGACCGCCGTGGGTCTCGCCATTTTCCACGCGGGCCATGCATTGGGATGTTTGCTCAATTCAATTCCACTGATCGGGCGTCATTCACGTGTGGTGAGAGGGAAGTTAACGTGCAAAGCCCCGGAGAAAACCACACGCGCAAACATCGGCACAGATTGAACCCACAGCCCGCTTGCTGTACTGCCTTCTCCTGGCCACTTCCACAGCAGCCACAGCAGGTCTTTGGAGTTTCACAAATCCGCGTGCTTCCACTCACCCTTGCCTCCAAAAGGAGGTGCGAGCCGCCGCGCCCAGATAGAGCGCAGGCACATTTAGAATAATTACAGGTTTTTAGTATATGTCACCGAGTCAATATATGTTTTGGCTGCACTGGTCTTCCTCGCTGAGGTTTATCGAGAGAGTCTTGAATAGTCTTGGTAGGTGAGGCTTGCTAGTGGGCGATGTCAGATACAGGATTTACTGGGGTTGCAATGAATTATCAGCATTTGTAACATTTTTTAATGCATTCCAAACGCGAGGGACTGCCAATGGAGGAGAACTCTGTGCACTGCCATCTGTACGTGGTGACTTCTAGACATTTATGTATTGTTTGTACAGTATATGCATTGTACGCATAGTCTCTAGCCCCTCCGTGTAGCCTTTAACAGACTGTTGGGGCAAGTTCGTGAGCACCTATAGAGGCATTTAACAGACTGTTGTGGCAAGTTCGTGAGCACCTATAGAGGCCTTTAACAGACTGTTGGGGCAAGTTCGTGAGCACCTATAGAGGCCTTTAACAGACTGTTGGGGCAAGTTCGTGAGCACCTATAGAGGCCTTTAACAGACTGTTGGGGCAAGTTCGTGAGCACCTATAGAGGCCTTTAACAGACTGTTGGGGCAAGTTCGTGAGCACCTATAGAGGCCTTTAACAGACTGTTGGGGCAAGTTCGTGAGCACCTATAGAGGCCTTTAACAGACTGTTGGGGCAAGTTCGTGAGCACCTATAGAGGCTAAGACGGCACCACGCGTGAGTGTGTGGACAACACCACGCCCGGCCGCCTTTGTCTCCCCAGTGCTGATGTCTACGCACCGCACCAGGTACTCATTTGAGGTCGCGTCGACCTCGGGGAGGGCCAGAACCGGTTCAAACTATCCTCCACTGTTATGGGACGTGAGCGGGAATCGATCTCGCGTCTCTGCTGTGTTTCGCTGCGCGGGTGCAGTTGCTAGCCGCCACGCCAGCGCGTTCGGGTTACGCACACGCGCGCGCGCGCGACATCGTTGTGCTGTACACGCGTACACATTGAGCACTTTCAAAGCATAATTGTAAATCCATTTGGCTGCAAATGGCTTAAGGGGCACAATCTCATCGCGGCCAAGGCGATTGTCTCCGCATTTACACGAGCGGGCTGCTTTACGAGCCACGAGGAGCGATGCGCACGGGACGAGGTGAGCGATCAGGTGGTCTCCACGCAGCCTGCCTGCCTCTTGCACTGCCCCCCCCCGCCCCCCAGTCTGGACGGTGTGGGGGGTGGCGAGTAAACTGGCGATTAAAGCTGGGGGTGTGTGTGGTGGGGGTGGTTTAGGGGGTAAGTGGCGGGGAAGGGGGGGGGGGGCGCGGATGAATGGAGCCCGTGTGTGGTTGAGGCTTTCAGAACAAGGGCAGTGGCTTGTTTGTGAGGAACGTGGGACGCGAGGAGATTGTGATGGAGGCAGATTCAATAGGCTCGATTAGGGGGGTGCGTGGGGGTGGGATGATGATTTTTGGGAGGGATAGCGTAGCGGTTAGCGCGCTGCACAACGAACCCGGCGACCCGACTCAGATTCCCACTCACGGCTTCCAACACCAGTGAGGATTATCCGAACCGGTCCTGGGCCAACGCTAGATCGACTCAGCCTCAAACGAGAGTAGCTTGTTGCGATGTGTAAACATAGCCACTGGGGAGACAAAGGCGGCCGGGCATGGTGCTGGCCCACCCCACCCCCACGCGTGCCGTGCCGGCCTTCATAGGTTGCCGCTACTCGCTAAAAGCACTTGCGCCGACAGTTTCTTAATGCCACACGGGGGGATATTAGTCTCTGTTAGGAGTTTCACTCATGAGGCACTCACAAATTCAGAAACCATGCCGAGCGTGTGTGGTGTCAGCTGCACCAGGGGTCCCCAACCCCTGGGCCACGGATCGGTACCGGGCCGCACAGCAGCAGGAGGTGAGAGCGGTGAGTCCGCACGTGGCCCACCCCGTATTATTTTATTAATCACCACTTCCGTCCGCGCCTCTTTCCCGCACTGCGCACTTGTCTCAGTCACGTGGTGTTTGGTAAGCCCACAAGCTCTAACCCCTAGTAGCCACAATGAGTAAAAACACAAACGTCGCTGGAGAGCTTCTTTGAAAATGGGGAAAGACCCAATGATGACACCCGCACCCCCTCGGTCCGTGAAAAAATTGTCTTCCACGAAACCGGTCCCCTGGTGCCAAAAAGGTTGTCGGACCGCTGAACTGCACGGAAGTTTTGCAGCAGTCAAGAACTGTGAGGTAGCCGAATTCCGCCAGTGAGCACCTCGCGCTTTAAATTTTCTCGGCCAGCTTATCAGGCAGGATTGTTACGCCAGTAATCCTACGATTGGGTCTATCGTCGTAGTGCGGTGGTGGTGGTGGTGGCTTTGCACGTGACTGCCTGTAATCCAGCACCGTGGAGGCAGCGAGGGTTGGTGAATCACCGCAACAAATGTTGCGAAACTCCTTTCCCATGGGCGTTGAGGCGTCATACCCTGGCTCGCCAGGAGAAAAGTGCATAGCAAAGTTCAGACTCGTATCGTCTGTCCCTTGTGTATTGGGATAGAGTGTTGCTCCCTCGCACGAGTTGTTTTTTTTCCCAGAGTGCTGCGGTTTTCCTACTTGTGTAAACACTCAATCGGATGAAAACATCTTAATAGATAGAGTACTCCAGAGAGTTTAGGCGAATGTTGGTGCTTGCTCACCACCTGGCCCGCCTTGACAATAATAATAATAACAACCATAATTTCAACTTGTAACGCGCCACACTGCATTCACTCGCTCTCGAAGAGAGAGAATGAGTCAGAGGCGCGTGGAGGAACCACAGACGATCAGGGAAGGCAGCCAAGGAGTGAGCCGTGGCCAAACCCCCACCCTCCCCCCTCTCCTCCCCGGAAAGCTCCCCGGTCTGTGGTTCCTCATGACCGTGAGATGCAATTCGCACGAACGACGCCGTATAAAACTAAATATTATTGTTAGCAGTTACCCAGCCTGTAATCGGCCTGCCACTTGATGGGTATTGACCAATGGTGCGTGTGTAATTATGGAACTCGTTATTGATGGCGTGCAAAGTTGCCTGTGATGCTTAGGGGGGTGGGTTTGGGTAATGCTGTGTCACAGCACAACCCGAATAGGTCCAGAATGATGTTGGTCGGCGGTGATGATCATTCGTGCGGTGGTGGTGAAGATGATGTATGTATGTTGAACATTTTTCGCAGCCAACGCAGCCAACCATGCTAATCGGAGGTGCGGGGGAAGGACGACAAACTAAACACAAAAAGCAATTCTAAAGAAATTGGCCGATGTTATGATGGCTGCGGTGGTGTGTGTGTGGGGAGTGGTAGTGTCGCGGTTAGCGCGCTGCGCTACGAACCCGGTAACCCGAGTTCGATTACCGCTCACAGCCAACACCAGTGACGATTATCTGAACTGGTTCTGGGCCCCCCTAAGTCGACTCAGTCTCAAATGAGTACCTGGTGCGGTGTGTAAACATCGCCACTGGGGAGACAAAGGCGGATTGGGCTTGGCGATGGCCACCCACCCCCTCGTATGCCGTGCCGGCCTACATAGGTGTCACTCGCTTGCAGCAGCGGTCTGTTGAGGCTATACGGGGGATCTTTCTCTTTGGTGGTGGTGTGTGTGCAGAAACCAGTGCTGGAGGCCTCCATTGGTTTCCGTGCCTTCCTGGAGGCGCACTGCCCGGTTATAAGCGAGCCCTTCCTACCCACCGCGTGGTGCTGCAGCGGACGCATCCAGAGCGTGCTGCGCTTCCTACTCAAGTCCCGCCCGCCCATCCACTACCGCACGTACGTACGCGCACACGCACCCATGCATGCGATACTCATTGACCGTTAATATTGTTGTCATTAGCACTACTACTACTAATAATAATACGCTTATTTACCCGTGAGAGTCAGGAGGAAATGTGAAGACAGGCCACTGGCCGGCCGAAATATCGCCAGTTTGTTTTTCTGTCGAAGGATTCTGACGAGTTTTCATCGTAAGACGGGTTGGGGGGGGGGGACGGTGATGATATGATTGATAGGGAGGCGGTGTTTTATGTGATTTGACAATTATTAACACCACTACCATAGCCACCATCACCTCCATAAAAGCCTCTCACAACCCTCTGTCAACCTCTGCTAACTGGGAGTTCGCTCGTCCTCTGCTGCTGCCACCATATTTTAGATTCGCCTGCCATCAGTGCTGCTGGGTCCCCTACCTTTACTTTACTCAAATGCCGGCTCAACATTTGACATTTTCGGATCGATTGACGTGCAAGCTGAAGTGAGCACGGACCCGATTTAATACGTTGGTCGTTCTCTCGGCTGAAGCCATCTCCTCCAACTGTTCGCGAAGCCAACGCAGACCACAGAGAGATGGAGAGGGGGTGAGGGGGGGGGGAGGTGGGAGGTTGAGCGACGTGCACGCTCCGTCAAAGTGTGGCGGCGCTGTGCCCGCAGGGAGGTGCTGGCGACGCCCGACGGAGGGCAGCTCTCCCTCGAGTGGCTGGTCGACGAGGACGGCGACAGCGAAGGCGGCGGCGGCGGCGGCGGCGGCGGCAGCGAGCGGCGGCGGCGGCAGCGGTGGCAGCCGGCGGGAGGCGAGGTGGCCCGGCCCACGGTACTGCTGCTGCCGGGCCTGACCAGCAACAGCCGGGAGAACTACGTGCTGCATCTCGTGCAGCAGACGGCCGATCTGGGATACCGGTGAGAATAGGCCGGAGAGAGCATGCTCCCTCTCCTCCCCTGCTTGTGATTGTAATAAACGATTTCAACGGAAGTGTGGTTACAACCCCTGTTATCCACGGTCTCGAATTGAACCCAGGTCACCGGGTTCCCAGTGCAGTGCGTGCACAAACCACAACGCCATCCCAAAGACAGAGATCCCTACGTGTAGCCTTAACAGACTGTTGGGGCAGGTGCTGTTAGCGAGCATCTATGAAGGCCGGCACGTCACGCGAAGGGGGTAGGTGGCCAGCACCACGCCCGGCCCCCTTTGTCTCCCCAGTGGTGATGTTTACACACCGCACCAGGTGCTCAACGCCATCCCTCCTGTATAAGTGCAGACGTGCGCGCACACACACGCACACGCGCTCATCACTACGTGGCCTTGAGTCAATTCCAGTGCAATAATGTCCCTTCACGCGAATGATTCCCGACGGATGATTCCCCTTTAGCCTTGGAAGTCAAGAGGCATGAATCGCAACCGGCTGTCTCTTTAACAACTCCGTTCCGAGCCGTGTCGACTACTACGATCACCAGTCATTCCGCCAGCGGGGAACGCTTGTACCCAAGTGCACAGTTGACCTTGCGTCGTCCGTTTCTCCCCCCACCACCGCGTGCAGGTGTGCGGTGTTCAACTACCGCGGCTGTGGTGAGGAGGAATTACTGGTGAGTGCCTGACATTGCTTCCAGTTTCAGGAGGGGGTCCCGCTTATTGAAGGGAACCGGAGCAGCCGACAGAAAACCCACCACGCTTACGAGGTGGTGACACCCAGCGCTGCCATCTCCTGGCCGCCTCGCAGCACCCCCACCCCTTACGAGTCCTGCTGGTCAACCATCCACGTACTAACCAGGCTCAGCTTTGCCTCTGAGGTCAGACGAAATTTGGGGGGTGGGGGAGGGGTGGGGCCATGTTGGGTGACTTTGTCACTGTAAAACAACAAAAAATGGCCTTGGACTTATGTGAAGATACTCTGTGCCCCAAGACTGAAATATGCCTCAACAAAAGGTTGAAAAGACACGATCAGCCTTTGAACATAGGTATACGCAGACGACGTTAGGAACTGCGTGACAAGACGGGGTTAGCAACGGGAAAGTTTAGAATGGCACGGAATGTTGTAGAGAAAGCTTAACGGAACAGGAGGTCACGATGAGCGAGGCACCACTTCAGCAGGTTTGCACGGAGGGTAGGTTACTGAGGCGCTTCTAACGCCTGCTTTGTTGGAAAAGGTCAACGTTGGCTGCCCGTTATCTTCGTGAAATTCCCAGCATCCTCCACATTCCACCCGCTACTGGAACTGGCCAATCAGTGCAGTGCAAGTCCTTCCTGAACAAGAGCCTTGAGACTTTCGTGAAGCTTTCGTGGAAATTTATGAAGGGCGTTATTTATTGTGATTGCTGCACATCTACTGAAAGACCAGAAGCTTCTTGAAACTCAACAGCCAAGAGAAAGACCTTGAGCCAGATGATGAATACTCGTAGGAGCAGACCTTGCAAGATACTAGCCACATGCCAGGCGCATACCAACCACCACCTGCTGAAGCTACAAAGCAGTTTGCGTGAAAGGTTCCGATGTTCGTGTTTTAATTTAGTCGTGAAAAGTCTTAAGCCATTGACGAGGAGCCTTATCTGTCAGAATGTGATCAGTACATTAGCATCGTGTAAATAACATGTTTGTGAACGTGATATTCTTTACTGGTGCGTTTAGAGTATTTGGCTGCTATACATTTCCACAAGATAAGCCACTTGGTTGTGGCCAGGTTGCTGCTGAAAAGGAGCTACGTAGCTCAAGCTCAGTGGGCCTTGCCTGGTACATATAAATCTATTTTTTTAGGTGGTGGAGAGTTAATGACAATGATTTTGGCATTAAAAACCACCACGTGGCCTAACCCAACAACAGACGTGGATTATTGCATGGGCTACGAAAACCTACGTTTTAAATCCACGCACTGATCACATGGAGGTGCCAACCACACGTACAAACAGCTGACGGGATCTGGCAGAAGGAAGGAAGCGACGGTGGGGCTGCGACGACGTATAACCTGGCGTTGAACGTGTGGCTTCCGTGTGGCCTCCCGCAGACGCCGCGCATGTACAGCGCCGCCAACACCGAAGACCTGGAGCTGGTGGTGTTGCACATCCGCGCCCTGTACCCGGACAGCGCCCTGCTCGCCGTCGGCATGTCCATGGGAGGGTAGGGCTCACCGCGACCCAGCGACGCACAGTTTTGGAGATGAGGGCCCGGAGGAATGCAAAGGCAAAGATACCCCCCCCCCCCCCCTCGTGTAGCCTAAACAGACCGTTGGGGCAAGTGCTGTCAGCGAGCACCTATGAAGGCCGGTACGGGACACGAGGGGGTGGATGGCCAGCACCACCCGTTTTTTTCGGTGTTGTTTTTAACCGTGAAGTTGTTTACGGTTTGTACAGTTTTGTTTGCCCCATTAGCCTAAATGTAACACCGGCGTATCGTTTGAACGTGCTCATTGCGCGCGGCCTGCAAAGACTCTATTGAAAGTGGACTGACACACGAGGTAGCGCCAAGTTATTGGCCTTCCCCGGTTATCGCCCTCCTACTAGGGCCGTCGCAACATCATTTCAGACCCACACACACGCAGGGGCAATGTCCAAAACTCTGCGCAGCGAACAGGCGGTAGAGGCTACGCACGTGGCCTGTAATCCAGCCCTGTGGACGCAGCGAGGGTGGGTGGGTCATTGCGCAAATGTAGCGAATCTCCCTTCCCATGGGCATTAAGGTGCCATACCCCTGCTCGTCAGGAGAAGGCGGTATGCAGCAAAGTGCGAAATAATATAATCTGTTCAAACTGTATGGGGATAGAGTGTTGCCCCCTCGCGTGTGCGAGTTTTCTCCTGAGTGCTCCGGTTTCCTCCCACATGTATGAGCACTCATCAGTTGGCTGAAGACATCTTAATATATAGAGGACTGCAAAACGTGGGGCAATCGATGGTGATGCCAGCACACAGGTTGTCTGTGGTTCCTCAGCGATTGTATGATTCAAATTCCACGAACGGCGATGTCATATAAAGCTAAACATTATTATTACTCTTATAGATTCGAGAATCCTTTGCAAGACTGCCACCATTGAGGCTTTGCACGACCAATATCCATAATAGAGGTTTTTTTTTTTCTGGGTTAGATGTCGTAAATATTTAGATCGCTTAAATTTTTACGCGATCTAACCCAAAAAAAAAAAAACCTTTATTATAGATGCTACTATCTCCTGCAAATGAATTACATTTTTCTCCGATCTTTTTCTAAATTTTTTACCGTTCTCTTTCCTCCCTACCTTTGGACTCACAACCGTGACCCCCGACCTCCGACCCCAGGATGATGCTGCTGAACTACCTGGCGGCGATGGGGCGGCGCGCGGGCGTGGAGGCCGCGCTCACCGTCTCCGTGCCGTGGGACGCCTTCACGTCGACCGCGTCGCTCGAGACGCCGCTCAACAGCGTGCTCTTCAACCGCGTGCTCACGCACCTGCTCACCAGCGCTGTGCACAGGTGCCCGCCCCACACACCACCACCACCAACCAACCACCACCACCAACCACTAACTAACACCACCACCAACCACCACCACCGACCACCCCCACCACCAACCACCACCAACTACCACCGACCACCCCCCCACACCAACCACCACCACCGGTTACCTCCCATACCAACCACCCCCCTACCAACCACCACCACCAACCACCACCACCAACCACCCCTGACCACCCGCACCACCAACCACCACCAACTACCACCAACCACCCCCCACCACTAGTGACCAGTGACTTGCTTACCTTTCCCTAACCCTGAAAAGAGCTTCGCAGCTCATCAGATTCCTCCAGTACAAATAAAGATTCTGATTCTGACACGGCGCCCCCTCGCTCCGCCAAGCATCACCTCCTGCCGAAGCCCCCCGCCCCCCCCCCCCCCCCCGCCACCCCTCCAGGTCCAACCATCCGCTCAAAATCAACGTAACGCTGTCTTCCTCACCGTTGCGCGCAGGCACCGGGAGGTCCTGAAGAAGAGGTACGACGTGGAGCACATCATGAAGGTGCGGACGTCTCGACTCTCGCTCGGGGGACCGTCAGCCACATCCCACCTCCCACAACCTCCCACCGCCGACCGCGAACGCGGCAGTGCCGCGTCCGCTATCCGCCACCGTTCTCCCGGGCCCCGCTCGAGAGCGCATCGCTCGGCTTTTAAACAGTGGCATCGTGCGATCGCCGTGCGTCGCAACGTTCCGTTGCGTCGCACGGAGCGTTGCAACCCCGCCGTGTTGTGCTGCGATGGGTTGCGCGACACGATAGATTCGTGCCTAAATTTTGATTTGAGGCTTTCGTGACTGCAGGGATTCATATTCTTGGTTCTTTCGGTAAAGTCACCACGTCGAAGGGAAACAGTCAAATAATAAAAATATAAAACAATACAATTCTCGCGACGTTTCGACTGCAACACAAGCAATCACCATCAGGTGTGAAAACCACAGCAAAAAATAAATTATTGTTTCCCTTCTACATGACTTTACCGAAAGAACCAAGAATGAGATTCATACCTGTTAGCCCATTCTTGTGCAGGGAAATTGAGTAAAAACATTTTTGTGTCAATTTGTTCGCGTTTCTCCCTTGTGATGGGACTTCTTTGTAGGATGAACGTTGAGATTTATAAGGGTCACGGGGTGACCAATAAGGTCTGAATTGGTCTTTAATAAGGTCGGCACTTATAAGGGGTTGACGGCTATGTACAGCAATGTGTTAGCATAGCACCGCGTCGGGCTACATTTGCACCGCGTTGCACGGTGTTTTTGCACTTCGCCGTATGATGTTGGCGTTGTTGCGTAATGTTGGGTTGCATTGCGTAATGTTGGGTGACGTGTTGTTTGGTATGGTGTCGGCGTTGCGTCCACGTCAAGAAAACCCCACCGTAGCGGAACAATTAGTGCAGGCCCGGAACGAACAAATAGATTCTCCAACACACGCAGGTGTGCAGCATTGCCTGTTCAGAAGCTTGCAGCCTTACCTAGAACTGACTGGGACTCATCATTTACAGTACAGTCATCAATGTTTGCTGCTACCACATGCCCCTGGGAGCCCATACATGGAAAAAATGACTTTAGCTTTAGACTATGGGGACCACACTAACACTTTCCTAGGGTAACTTTAATTGTTCTGGATAATTTGGTCTGGATAATTGGTCTGGTGGTCTTGAAGCCGTTGTACCGACAGTGAGCACCTGCGCGACTGTGTGTGCTGTTAAATCTGTTTGTTTTTCCAGCCGGCATCAATGTTTCTGTTGTGATTGGCCATCGTTTACAGATTTGAGATGTTGTGCAGTGGCGAGATGTTAACTACCTCGCCCGGTATACAGGACGTCGTGGGTTCGATCTCGACCCTGACGCCTGCTGTATATTTGGAGTTTCCATGTTCTCACCGTGGTCGCGTGGTATACAGGACGTCGTGGGTTCGATCACGACCCTGACGCCTGCTGTATATTTGGAGTTTCCATGTTCTCACCGTGGTCGCGTGGATTTTTCATCGGGTCCTTAGGTTTTTCCCTCCAGGTTTCGAAACATGCGTTTAGAGTATTTGGCTCCTATCAAGCTCCAGCCCCCACCCTCTTGCCCGATGCGGCCCGATGCGGCCCGATGCGGCAATCTCCCCCTCCCCTCCCTCTTGGCTCTATATATAAGGACTTTTGATTTAAAGCCTTCGTGACTGCAGGGATTCATATTCTTGGTTCTTTCGGTAAAGTCACTACGTAGAAGGGAAACAATAAAATGATAAAAATATAAAACAATAAAATTCTCACGACGTTTCGGCTGCAACACAAGCAATCATCATCAGGTGTGAAAACCACAACGAGAAAATTTTCCAATCACAACAGAAATATTGATGCCGGCTGGAAAAACAAATAGATTTAATAGCACACACAGGCACACATTTTCTTGTTGTGGTTTTCACACCTGATGATGATTGCTTGTGTTGCAGTCGAAACGTCGTGAGAATTTTATTGTTTGATATTTTTATTATTTTATTGTTTCCCTTCTACATGACTTTACCGAAAGAACCAAGAATATATACAGTGAGGGAAAAAAAGTATTTGATCCCCTGCTAATTTTGTACGTTTGCCCACTGACAAAGAAATGATCAGTCTATAATTTTAATGGTAGGTTTATTTGAACAGTGAGAAACAGAATAACAACAACAACATCCGGAAAAACGCATGTCAAAATGTTATAAATTGATTTGCATTTTAATGAGGGAAATAAGTATTTGACCTCCTCTCAATCAGAAAGATTTCTGGCTCCCAGGTGTCTTTTATACAGGTAACGAGCTGAGTTTAGGAGCACACTCTTAAAGGGAGTGCTCCTAATCTCAGCTTGTTACCTGTATAAAAGACATCTGTCCACAGAAGCAATCAATCAGATTCCAAACTCTCCACCATGGCCAAGACCAAAGAGCTCTCCAAGGATGTCAGGGACAAGATTGTAGACCTACACAAGGCTGGAATGGGCTACAAGACCATTGCCAAGCAGCTTGGTGAGAAGGTGACAACAGTTGGTGCGATTATTCCCACGGCCTGGGGCTCCATGCAAGATCTCACCTCGTGGAGTTGCAATGATCATGAGAACGGTGAGTAATCACCCCCGAACTACACGGGAGGATCTTGTCAATGATCTCAAGGCAGCTGGGACCATAGTCACCAAGAAAACAATTGGTAACACACTGCGCCGTGAAGGACTGTAATCCTGCAGCGCCCGCAAGGTCCCCCTGCTCAAGAAAGCACATATGCATGCCCGTCTGAAGTTTGTCAATGAACATCTGAATGATTCAGAGGACAACTGGGTGAAAGTGTTGTGGTCAGATGAGACCAAAATGGAGCTCTTTGGCATCAACTCAACTCGCCGTGTTTGGAGGAGGAGGAATGCTGCCTATGACCCCAAGAACACAATCCCCACCGTCAAACATGGAGGTGGAAACATTATGCTTTGAGGGTGTTTTTCTGCTAAGGGTACAGGACAACTTCACAACATCAAAGGGACGATGGACAGGGCCATATATCGTCAAATCTTGGGTGAGAACCTCCTTCCCTCAGCCAGGGCATTGAAAATGGGTCGTGGATGGGTATTCCAGCATGACAATGACCCAAAACACACGGCCAAGGCAACAAAGGAGTGGCTCAAGAAGAAGCACATTAAGGTCCTGGAGTGGCCTAGCCAGTCTCCAGACCTTAATCCCATAGAAAATCTGTGGAAGGAGCTGAAGATTCGAGTTGCCAAACGTCAACCTCGAAACCTTAATGCCTTGGAGAAGATCTGCAAAGAGGAGTGGGACAAAATCCCTCCTGAGATGTGTGCAAACCTGGTGGCCAACTACAAGAAACGTCTGACCTCTGTGATTGCCAACAAGGGTTTTGCCACCAAGTACTAAGTCATGTTTTGCAGAGGGGTCAAATACTTTTTTCCCTCATTGTTATTCTGTCTCTCACTGTTCAAATAAACCTACCATTAAAATTATAGACTGATCATTTCTTTGTCAGTGGGCAAACGTACAAAATCAGCAGGGGATCAAATACTTTTTTCCCTCACTGTAAGGACTTGTTTCAGCAGCCTGTTTCTCACTCACACCCGAAGACGGTTGCTTGTGTGGCGATCGAAACGTCTTCATCTATTATTATTTTTCTACCTACGTGACTTTACTGAAAGAACCAAAGTGTATGGATTCCTGCAGTCACGAAAGCTTCAAATCAAGAATGATAAGCCGCTTAGTTAAGCTTTCTTTTGTGGCCAGGTCACTTCTGAAAAAAATAACTACATAGCGTATTGGGCAATCTTGATTTGAAACATTCGTGACTGCAGGAATCCATACGCTGTGGTTCTTTCAGTAAAGTCACGTGGGTAAAAAAATAATAAATCACGACGTTTCCATCGCAACACCAGCAATCGTCATCAGGTGGGACAACCACAGCAAGAAACAACTGCTGAAGTAGGCGAGAGATCTGCCGTGGCACGAGGTTATAGAGTAGGCCTCGGCAGTAGGGGGGGGAGAGAGAAGTGGGGGGTGGGGGGGGGGAAGGAGGCGGGGCAGAAAGTGGACCCCGCAGTAGCACCGGAGAGATGTTTGGGGGGGGGGGATGAATAAAAAATTATTTAGTTTTATATCTACCATGTCGCTTTTCATGAAATGGGTCTTGTTTTTTTGTGTTGAAATGTCCGCTGCAGTGAGCATATTGCATAACCCCCGCCGCGTCACGGTGCCCGCGTGTCCGTCTCGCGCGCAGTCTCGCTCGCTGTGGGAGTACGACGAGCGGCTCATCTCCATCATGTTCGGCTACAGCTCGGTGCGCAGCTACTACCACGACGCAAGCCCCTGCCACAAGCTGCCCGCAGTGCGAGTGCCCGTGCTGTGCCTCAACGCCGCCGACGACCCCCTGTCCCCGGCCAGCGGTAATGCTCACCACCGTCAACTTCGTTGCGCCGCCGCCGCCGCCGCCGCCGCCACCGCCGTCGCCACCGTCGTGATCAACCGGTGACGGTGGTGGCACGCGCCTGTAGTGGTAGTGATAATAATCGTAAGTCATTTCAACTTGTAGTGACGCGCCGTCGCGCGGCGTTCGCTCGCTGTCGTGGAGAGGGAACGACTCAAGAGGTGCGAGGGACCGCAGGCAGGCAGGAGCCACGCGGTGAGCCGGCACCAAGCATTGCCCAAGCTCTGTGGTCCTTTATATATGAATGTGTTATTGGTCCCATTAATTATTTTAACACATCGGGTGGTGGCGGGTTTAACGACACATTTAGATATTTACGCGATACAACCTATGACGTGTTAAACTAACCAGTACTTCATTGCAACTGAAAAGGAATATATAAAAAGCAAACAGTTCCGTTTAATGCCTCTCCGAGAAAAGCTTCTCTGGCGTTGCGTAAGTTACGATGCGTATGTGGACAGGCGATACATCACGGGGCTCTGCAATGAGCCTTGAGGATGCGGCTTGTTCGCTGTACATCGTTGTGTTCAATCAATCATTCTTTATTTTTACTTGCCAATATCGCCCTCAATAATGTAGCCATAAGTGCACTTTACGACTGAGCAAAGTAAATTGCAACCGGGACGCAAAGTAAAGTGCAACCGTGCGCAACGAGTAGCATAAGAAATTTAAGTCGTAACTCAAATAACTAACTAATCAACATTTTAATTCAGATTTTATGGGAAGGCGAGTCTGAACAGATGTGTCTTGCACAGGACCACGGAATTGAGAGGCACTCAGCGCGTTTAGGACGTCTTGTGGTTGCTGCGGGTTTATAAAAGATATATTCACACCATTGTTAAATATCACCCAAAATAAAACGTCTTTGTTCTGCATCTCTTTCTGAAAACATCTCCCCCCCCTCCACTCTTCCTCCCCACAGCCCACCCCCCCCATATAAATTCTCAGTACTTCATCACTTCAAACGCGGCAAAAAAAACAATAAACGATCACAAAAGACAACATTTCCCCTTGCCAACAAACAGCAAAAAAAAAACCTAGTGAAAGAATGCCAACCCGAGGGCTATTTTTGTTTTTACAATACCAACGCACACAGAGTGCAGCCATTGCAGTTAATTTAATTATTGATGCTCTTCACATCAATTCACGTTAAATCATTTGACCGCAGCTAAAAGGGGCTCCCGTGAGACCTGGCGCGGCTGGCTTTGCGACGGGGTTTGTTGCGTTTTACGGATTGCTCACGCATTCGCCCCCTCCACTTGCCACAGATTGCCTTATGGGGTTATCGCCAAGGGCGGGATATGCTAACAATTGTTTTCTCGACGAATTTTATCCGCCGATGACAAAAATGTATGGTAGAAAGTTTTCCGTGGCAGCTTAAAGGGTTCCGTTGTATCCCGGTAGACTTGCAACGTTGGGGCAACGTTGGTTGACGTTGCGCCAACGTTGATTCGGTGTTGGTTCCATGGGCTCTCTGTCTGCCGGATGTGAGATCTGGAATCGTGGGGGCATGGTGCAGCCAGCATGCTGCACACCCAGAACGGCGCCAGATGGCGTACTCACTCCGATCGTGAATACCAAACGTCCACAGCCAACCCTAAGCAAAAGCGGCTCAAGATAAAAAGACTAAAGGATCCCCCGTGTAGCCTACACACGTGAGCACCTATGATAGGGGGTCGGGGGGGGTGGAAATTGGGGGGAGGGCTATAGGGAAAACCACTCCCCCCCCCCCCGCCACCACCACCTCTGATGCTCCAAAACTAGCATTCAATTGATATACACGAGAGAATATACGTTGACTGTGACTTTGTAATTCATCTAGGGCCCTATTTTAAGAAGTTAGATATTTCAGGACTTGCCCATGCTGCCTCTTGGGAAGTTTGGGTGCCACGGTGGCGAGATGTGAACTACCTCGCCTGGTATGCAGGCGGTCGTGGGTTCTTTACTGACACCGACGCCTATATATTTGAAGTTTGCGTGTTCTCCCCGTGGTTGTGTGGATTTTTCATCGAGTCCTTCGGTCTTTCCCTCCACGTTTAGAAGCATGGGACGGTGTTAAATCTGACTCGGAGGCAAGCGACACAACCACTGAGCTACCCAGCCAACAATAATTACATTTTAAAACATACGTTTATAGTATTTGGCTGCTATACATTTCCACGTGAGAAGCCACTTCGTTGAGTGATCATTTGTGGCCAGGTTACTTCTGAAAAAAAGCTATACAGCTCAGTGGGCCTTACTCTTTGGTTCTATTGGGTAAAGTTCATCAGGTGAAGGCCGCTTGTGTTGTGGCCGAAACGTCGTGATTTTTTGTTATTTTATTTTCACCTACGTGACTTTACCCAATAGAACCAAAGAGTATGGATCCTAGCAGTCACGAAAGCTTTAAATCTAGAATTCAGTGGGCCTTACCTGGTAAAAAAAAAATCTAAATCGATTCGTTTAAGTTCATCGCCCTGCCTCTTCACGCTTGGCAGGGGAAACTCTCTTCCCACCCCCCTCACCCCCACCTCCCCCATCCGTTGAACGTGCCGATCGTACCAACGCGAACACCGCCGTGTGTCCGGCACGCAGCGTTCCCGCTGGAGAGCGTGCGCGCCAACCCGTACGTGGCCCTGCTGGTGACTGCGAGGGGCGGCCACCTGGCGTTCCTCGAGGGGCTGGTGCCGCGCGCCACCAGCTACATGGACCGGCTGTACCAGCAGTTTGCGCGCGCCGTGCTCGGCGTGGCACGCGGCTCCCTGGAGAAGCAGCTGCACCTGCCGCTGCTGTAGCGGCAGAAGGTGCGGGCAGCCGCGGCGGCAGCGTCGGCGACAGTCGCGTCATCGAGCGTAGTATCGCCGCAACGGTATAAACGGCATAGCTGTGCGCGTCGGCAACAGAATACAATCAGTGTGACGCGTGGAGCGGCGTGGCGGCAACGCTTGTGCCGGCGAGGCGAGCGGGCACCGGGTTCGATTTCTGACGCGGTCGCCTTTCCGTGTGGAGTTTCTACGTACGTGGAGTTTCTACGTACGAGGAGTTTCTACGTACGAGGAGTTTCTACGTACGTGGAGTTTCTACGTATGTGGAGTTTCTACTTATGTGGAGTTTCTACTTATGTGGAGTTTCTACGTATGTGGAGTTTCTACGTACGAGGAGTTTCTACGTACGTGGAGTTTCTACGTACGTGGAGTTTCTACGTATGTGGAGTTTCTACGTACGTGGAGTTTCTACGTATGTGGAGTTTCTACGTATGAGGAGTTTCTACGTACGTGGAGTTTCTACTTATGTGGAGTTTCTACGTATGTGGAGTTTCTACGTACGTGGAGTTTCTACTTATGTGGAGTTTCTACGTATGTGGAGTTTCTACTTATGTGGAGTTTCTACGTATGTGGAGTTTCTACGTACGTGGAGTTTCTACGTACGTGGAGTTTCTACGTATGTGGAGTTTCTACTTATGTGGAGTTTCTACGTATGTGGAGTTTCTACGTACGTGGAGTTTCTATGTACGAGGAGTTTCTACGTATGTGGAGTTTCTACGTACGAGGAGTTTCTACGTATGAGGAGTTTCTACATATGAGGAGTTTCTACGTGAGGAGTTTCTACTTACGTGGAGTTTCTACGTACGAGGAGTTTCTAAGTACGAGGAGTTTCTACGTACGAGGAGTTTCTACGTACGTGGAGTTTCTACGTATGTGGAGTTTCTACGTATGTGGAGTTTCTACGTACGTGGAGTTTCTACGTATGTGGAGTTTCTACGTATGAGGAATTTCTACGTACGAGGAGTTTCTACGTATGAGGAGTTTCTACGTACGAGGAGTTTCTACGTATGAGGAGTTTCTACGTACGAGGAGTTTCTACGTATGAGGAGTTTCTACGTACGTGGAGTTTCTACGTACGAGGAGTTTCTATGTATGTGGAGTTTCTACGTACGAGGAGTTTCTACGTATGAGGAGTTTCTACATATGAGGAGTTTCTACGTACGTGGAGTTTCTACGTACGAGGAGTTTCTACGTACGTGGAGTTTCTACGTATGAGGAGTTTCTACGTACGAGGAGTTTCTACGTATGAGGAGTTTCTACGTATGTGGAGTTTCTACGTACGAGGAGTTTCTACGTACGAGGAGTTTCTACGTATGTGGAGTTTCTACGTACGTGGAGTTTCTACGTACGAGGAGTTTCTACGTACGAGGAGTTTCTACGTATGTGGAGTTTCTACGTACGTGGAGTTTCTACGTATGTGGAGTTTCTACGTATGTGGAGTTTCTAAGTACGAGGAATTTCTACGTACGAGGAGTTTCTACGTATGTGGAGTTTCTACATACGTGGAGTTCTACGTATGTGGAGTTTCTACGTACGTGGAGTTTCTACGTATGAGGAGTTTCTACATATGAGGAGTTTCTACGTACGTGGAGTTTCTACGTATGAGGAGTTTCTACGTACGTGGAGTTTCTACGTATGAGGAGTTTCTACGTACGAGGAGTTTCTACGTACGAGGAGTTTCTACGTACGAGGAGTTTCTACGTATGTGGAGTTTCTACGTATGTGGAGTTTCTAAGTACGAGGAATTTCTACGTACGAGGAGTTTCTACGTATGTGGAGTTTCTACGTACGTGGAGTTTCTACGTACGAGGAGTTTCTACGTACGAGGAGTTTCTACGTATGAGGAGTTTCTACGTACGTGGAGTTTCTACGTACGTGGAGTTTCTACGTATGTGGAGTTTCTACGTACGTGGAGTTTCTACGTATGTGGAGTTTCTACGTACGTGGAGTTTCTATGTATGTGGAGTTTCTACGTACGTGGAGTTTCTATGTATGAGGAGTTTCTACGTACGAGGAGTTTCTATGTATGAGGAGTTTCTACGTACGTGGAGTTTCTGCATATGAGGAGTTTCTACGTACGAGGAGTTTCTACGTATGAGGAGTTTCTACGTACGTGGAGTTTCTATGTACGAGGAGTTTCTACGTATGTGGAGTTTCTACGTACGTGGAGTTTCTACGTACGTGGAGTTTCTACGTATGAGGAGTTTCTACGTGCGAGGAGTTTCTACGTACGATGAGTTTCTACGTACGTGGAGTTTCTATGTATGAGGAGTTTCTACGTATGTGGAGTTTCTACGTACGTGGAGTTTCTACGTACGTGAAGTTTCTACGTATGAGGAGTTCTACGTATGAGGAGTTTCTACGTATGTGGAGTTTCTACGTACGAGGAGTTTCTACGTATGTGGAGTTTCTACGTATGAGGAGTTCTACGTATGAGGAGTTTCTACGTATGTGGAGTTTCTACGTACGTGGAGTTTCTACGTGTGTGGAGTTTCTACGTATGTGGAGTTTCTACGTATGAGGAGTTTCTACGTATGTGGAGTTTCTACGTACGTGGAGTTTCTACATATGAGGAGTTTCTACGTATGTTCTCCCCCCTGTTCTGCATGGGTTTTCCTTTGGGTTCTCCGGTTTCCCCTCCGTTAGCTCAAAACACAAACACACAGAGAACGTAATTGGTACTGGTTAAACATTCCCCAATGCTGAAATAGTTACGCGCAAATGACTCAATTGGCATTACACGTGGCAGAATTGCCCCGTGCTGCGGAAACTTGGCAGAACCTTCCTACAAAAGGGTCTTGAGACTCGCTAATAATAATAATAATAACGTGGTAAATCGACACAATATCGCCAGCATAACCACGCCTGCCACTGACACAATGCTTAGCAACATAACATAACGATGTCTACCGTTGACACAAAGCTGTCGCTCTTAGCCACGCTTGTCACCGACACTAAGCTTTAGAACTTAACTGAGTTAATCACCGAGGCCGAGCTGCCGGCTGGAGGTGTAACCAACAACCTATCCCCCACCCCCACACACCGGTGCGATTAAGGGCTGCGATAAGCAAAAGACAAAATCACATTAATAAACGAATTATACTTTAACATTGCAGTGGATGTAGCAGCCGCTTTTGGCTGCAGGGTTCCGCGAACCCATTACGTAAGGCGTATGAATATATAAGCACTGAGACTTAAGCGCGCCATTCGCATGTGTCATCAGCTTAGGAATCGATATGAATCGATGCACCGTTACACACATCAAATCTACTTATCCTATCGTCAATCGCATGCTCTCAACAGAACCGTTCTGAAACGATCACCCTGGTTGTACCAATTGAATGTTTACAATCAAACATATCTACGTACACCGTTAATCATCATCATCATCATCATAATATACCACGTGAAAGTTGAAGCAGAGCCATTGTTCCCATAGACATAATTCCATCATGCCACCCGTTGCTATTAACTTTATAATCATCACTCGGCTGCCCGATCATCGTTACCGTCAGCCATCGGTGAAATATTGGAAAACCTTCAGCACGCAGCGTGTCAATAAAATGCTGGGTATATTCGCTTGGCGAACCCCTGTGATGTAGCACTCTGGAGGCGCGGCATGGTGGGTCACACACGGGCATGGAACTCCAAAGCCCACTGGGCTGCAAGGTGGTCAGTAGGTGGCAGGACAGAGGGAGCGGGTTCGTGAACTGGTCCGTCCCAGCGTTATCCCCCCCTCGTGTGAGCGGGCTTTCTCCCGGTAATCTGGTCGGCTCCCACGCGCCTCCTACACCGGTTCACGAGTTAGTTGACCAAAACGACGTCGATGTCTCAATGTGTTTTGGCAAACGGAGTGAAGAGCCTTGAGATTCGTTGAGATTTGCCTCGGCAAACAAATTGCGTTGAGGAAATGTCAACCAAAAATGTACAAAAATGCATGACGGAAAAATAACAACCCACAAATAACAGATACCGTCACGCCGCCATTTCTCTCACCGGCGTGAAAAAGAAACATTACCACCGTCAATGCACCTCCGACTGGCACGGTTGACTACGTACGGTGCGAAAGAAGTTCAACATACACACGTACAACATATGCGTGACATGAATACTAATACATTGAACAGCAATATCAACGCCATATGTATATTGTCAATGCACACGCGCTCGCTAGCGTCGCGATTGCTACCGTCTACATCACCACTATGTTTACCCCCACCGTCAGTGGTGGCTGTTTACTCCGTCAAGAGTTCAAATGTTGTCTCGACACGAGCGCGGATTGAAGCAATTTCAAGCGGTCCATTTGCTCTCTCTGTGGATGAGCCCCATTAACGATGAACAAATGATATCTACGGCGGCATCAATCGCCGGTAACGCACTGAGTTTCTGACATAGACACGTTGATCTGTGCGACACGAAGAGTGAATCGGAGCTGACCCCGTGAGACTATACAGCCCAGTTGAGTGGGAGTCTGACAGCTAATAGGATCCATGTGTGTCTATAGTAGAGATATATAGTAATTCAAACGCTTCAGCGCAAGGGGCTCCATCGTGAAGTTGGGGTGTTTTGAGTGCGTTCTTGACATCGGTGTGGCACCGCCGCGTAGGTCTGGCGGGAATTTTGACGTAAGACTTCACAGTCACATGAACGCAGCGATTAATTATCAACCTTCGGTGGTGTGTGGCAGTGGCCTCCAAAGCCATGGCCATCGGTCCCTGCTCCCCCCAGCCTCCGTCACTACCCCGCCACCCCCCGACGACCCCCCCATACCCCAAGTTTCAAGATGATTTTGTTGAACCAGGTGAGAACTCAAGGGACCAGGGTAGAGTCTCATTTTGCCAGGGTGACCTGGATCGTGACCAAAATGACAAAAGCAAAGGGCAGAAATTAAGTGACGCAACCAAAAAAAAAACACCTCTCAAACGAGGAAATGGATCGGAAATATATGCAAACGTAAATCAAATGTTAATCAAAGCTAAACATTTAATTCCCTGCAGTGCAAATCGGCACTGCCAAGGCCCCAATACGCGGAGAGATTACATGTCCACGCCTCCAGTGAACGCGGTGTTGGCAAGGCATGTGTTTCATGCTGTGTATCAGTGTGTTCGTAAGGTGTTTGTTTCGTGCCGTGTATCGGTGTGTTTTGTGTTCGTAAGGTGATTGTTTCACCCCGTGCGTCAGTGTGTTCTGCCGCCGTAACGTCGGGCTGACGTTCCCTAGTGCACATTCCATTATTTCTCCTGCACGAAATCCATGCTGCTGCCTACCTGGGGAGAGCAGGTGGGTGGTGGGGGGTACTTCATAGGTTGACGCCCGCTGCACTAACGAACGCTCGGAATGCGTGTTGCTGTCTCAATTTTGCTTATTTTAGAGCGAGGAAGATCTCAACTAAAATCTGACCAAAATCAGTCCCGCACAGCCGCTGCGTTGGTGTTGATGGTTTGAGAGGCTCGACTTTAAATGGGACCTGATGGACCGTGGGCCAGTGTGGCCAGTGTGAACGTGCCCTCGCGGTTTCCCCTATGCAAACCGGGCCGGAGTTGGATTAATGTGGCCAGTGCGGAGGGCCAGGTGCAGAAATCGGTACCTGACGCGGCAAAACTTCAGTTCGTACCGATTTATTTATACGGCTACTGCGGACGAATTGTACGACAACCCCGCTCAATTGCAAACGGATGTCGCGTCGTTCACAGTCTGTTGGCCGCATAAACACATCGCAAGCATGAGAGTGGGGCCACCTCGGGTGGTAGCATTCGGCGAGACATCTACTCCGGCCCCGTGGCCTACTGTCGCGTGTCGCACGTTCGTAGTTGCGCTCTGTGGTTCGAGGACTTGGAAAACAGTGACCAATTGAAATGTTATTTGTGCTCAAACGCTGTTTGTCATATATATGTATGTGTGTGGAACAAAAAAAAATCTGTATATACCGTATTTTCTGGATTATAAGACGCTAACTTTTTTTACCTGCATTTTAAAGCAACAGTTGGGGGGTTGTGTCTTGTAAATCTGGTAACTGTGCGTAACCATATTTGTGTAACTCTCTTGAGACCGGGCACAAGTTTGAGGTGCGCCTGAAGTTCCGCAGCGTCTTATAATCTGGAGAATACGGTAATATTATAACTGTCCACAGAATGGCGCGACACTTAAAAGATAATAATGCAACTCAAGAGATTCAGGAAATAACACATGCAACACAGCTGCCAGTAGAAATACGATTTTTTGTAATATCCTATATATTTACAAAATGAACATACAATGAATTTCATATGGAGACTTTCACGACCAATATTATGATTCATAACTGGTGTCTTTTGGGTTAGACCTCCTATGTATAATGTCAATTCCAGCTGCATCTCCCCCAACACTGAACACAGCCACACTAACCAAGCTGTCACTTGGACAGATGTGCCAATGAATGAGGGTCGGTGGATCACGCAAATGTAAAACTCCCTTCCCGTGGGTGTCGAGGTGCCCGTGCCCTGGCTCTCTCCGGAAGGCAGTACAGCAGGCGGACTAATCGCCGCGCGTTTCCATCTGTACGGCGAGTGTTGTTCCCCATCTTAAAATAAGGAAACCCAATGTTTGAGCAGGACCCTCCTGAAAAAAATGTCACATGGCTCGGTGTGGATAAATGAGTTCAAACGTTAACCCAAAGTTGATTTTGTAAGCGGTTAACGTCGCAGAGCAAGAAAATGTTGACAATATGTGAAATCGACTGGCACGTTTGCCTACGTGACAACTTCATTTGTTTGGCTTTGGCGGATGCATAGGTCTATTTGACATCATACCTGCACGATCCGACCCAAAAGAAACCAATTACGAACGTGCAATTATCGGTTTCAAACACGTTTATACTCTATTCGTACAGGTTACGTGCACGAGGTTATAATGCGCAAGGATTTCTTTCTTTTGCACGGGATGTTGTGAGCCCACAGCTGTTTACGGGGAAACGTGGTTAAGTGTTAACGTCAGTGTATCGTTCTGGGACAATCTTGAAACACACACTGGAATATCTATTAATTCATCATAATGACAAAAGATTCATATTCTTGGTTCTTTCGGTAAAGTCACGTAGAAGGGAAGCAATAAAATAATAAAAATATAAGACAATAAAGTTCTCACGACGTTTAGACTGCAACACAAGCAATCATCATCAGGTGTGAAAACCACAGCAAGAAAATTTGAAAAAAGTGGCGGATTTTTTTACGTTAGCACCACGGAGAGCGATTTGGCAGTTATATTTTTATTATTTTATTGTTTCCCTTCTACGTGACTTTACCGAAAGAACCAAGAATATGAATCACTGCAGTCTCACGAAAGCTTTAAATAAAAATGAAAAATATTGTTTTGTTTTATATAGTGCCGTCATTAATGCAAATTGCATCTCACGATCGCCGAGGAACCAGAAGCAAAGCTTAAAGGCAGCAGCCAGATGGTGAGCCGGCACTACCAACAATTACCCAAGCTCGGCCATCCTCTATATATCAAAATGTGTTCATGGTGAAAACCCGTGAATGCGAGGGGGCAACGCTCTATCCCATACGGAAGCGACAGATGATATTCCGTCCCCATTTTGCTGTACCGCCTTCTCCTGGCGAGCCAGGATTATGTGTCCCCGAGGCCCGTGGGAAGGGAGTATCGCAACGTGTGTGCGATCCACACCAACCCTTCACGTCTCCGGGTTATAGGCGTGCGTAGCCGCCACCGCCTGGCTAAACACAGGAGGCCATCGAGTAACTGAGATGCTGACTTAACACCGACCAGTATGTGTGTATTATTTATTTGTTACGCACTTGCATGTCTACTGCTCGTGAACACTGACAGTAAGAGTATATTTTATTTAGTTGCGGTCATTTGGCTCGTAATGTTTTCATGTGTTGTTCTTATTCTTTGAATTATTGAAACTGTTAAACGACGCAAAAACTTGTATTTTACCAGGTAAGGCCCACTGAGCTGTATAGCTCAGAAGCGACCTGGCTATCACAAATGCTCGCCCAACGAAGTGGCTTATCACGTGGACATTTATAGCAGCCAAATACTCGAAGCGCACGTTTCTAAATTAATAATTGTTGGCTGGGTAGCTCAGCGGTCGCCTCGCTTGCCTCCGAGTCAGATTTCACACCGCGCCCAGCTTTCATCTCCCGTGCCGGTCGGATAGCGTTCGCGCGAGAATGACCCGGAGCTCGCTGTTCGCTCCGAAACGTGGACGGCAGATCCATTCAGACGCGTCACCTTGCAAGATAAGAAAATAAAATACCGGAGCGTATTCCCGCGCAGCTGCAAGTCTCTCCCCCGGAGGTGAGCCTCTCGATCGGCTCTCACCTCGTTAACTGGACGGCAATGGATGTACAGCAGGGTATCACGGAGCCAAATTCCCGCGGCACAACGCCCCACTGCTGGCTTACTCACTGTTAAATGCAAACACAGGCAGGTGCATGCGGGAGCACCGCTTTTCATTGGGAGGTCCAAGCACGCGGCGGGACACACGCTGGTAAATGCCAAAGAGTTACCGCATTGAGATCTATGTCGCGTGTCTGCCAAGATATTTTGTGCTTCAAGAGCGAAATATACGATTCAGCGGAGAGCCACCCCCCCACCCCACCCCCCCCCCCCCCCCACCCCCCCCCCCCCCCCATCCCTCCAGTGGGCCAATTTGTCCATGTTATGTCCCTCGCTGTACTAAGTGTATTTTACTTCAAGTTTGAAGAACTCTGTTTTGTAAAATGTACAAGTATTAATAAAAAAAGGCAATTTATAACGTGCAAATATTTCACGAATTGGGCGCAATATTATATTGAGAGCTCGGAGGCACGTAGCCAGAGATCAATATACCTCGTACGCAGCTTGAGCCAGGTGAGAGCCTGGACCAGGTGAGAGACTGAACCAGGTGAGAGCCTGAAACATGAGAGCCTGGACCAGGTGAGAGCCTTGAGCTGCTGCTTAGAGGTGGATGGTGGAGCTTGGATGCCGCTGTGAATGTGCAGTGGGAGAGAGAGAGAGAGAGAGTTCCAGATGAACGGTGCAGCTATGGAGAAACGTCGCTCAGCAAAAAACATTCCTGGTTCTGGGTACACTGAGTAGGTTGTTTGATGAACTCCATAGGAGGTGGTGGTTTGCTGTAGTCGCTGGAGTGAGAAGGGCAGAGGGAGACTTTCAAAATATGTTTGTGTCTTGATGCGATATTATCATATCAGAAAATATATTTTTTTCTGCCAGCTCTTGCTTGCAGGAACAACAAAATTGCACAATATCATTGCAAACTTTAATATTTGTGAGTCTTATTTGAATTGGCATTTGTACAAAAAGGGGGCTCATTTCTCTCAAAGGTGTAAAAAAACAAGAACGAATCATCCCAAGATCCCTCTCCTGTCCCACGAATCAACCGCGTACCATTTATCCTGAAACAATTTGCAACCACTGGCTCGGATGCATGCATTTTTACACTTCGGTAGATTGCTCGTATTTACATTTTAAGAGGTAGGTACGTTGTTACAACGTCAAAAGCTGCTAGCAGTTGAATAGCTTTATCTACTCTTGTTAGTTTATTGCTAGTTGGTTAATAAACTCTATAAATGAAGCATGTTTTAATCGAAATGTTATAGGACTACGCACTTTACGATACAACCAGCAGTAATGGGTCATATGTTTTCTTTTTTTACTTTACTACATTGCTAGAGAAAATTATCTAGACGATATATTGTTAATACAAATCCTTATAATCTTTCAAATATATATGCTGTGTGAGTTGAGGAGCGCTTGTTTGTGGATGATTTTAACTTGTAACACAAAAAAAAACAAATATGTTAACCGCGTGAAAAACAAGGGTTATTTGTATTTGAGTGTAGATTGCGTTACACCGGCTGCATGTTACGTTGTGTTCCCTGCTACTTGGCTTTGTCTGCGTGTGCACGACAGATGCCTGAACAACTTACTCAACCCAGAGGGGGGGTGGAGGGGGGGACCCCACGGGCAATACTCGTACCGCCCGTAACTTCTGTTGCGATGCGCTTGATACCAAACGTGTGTACCGATACATGCTTGTCTGGAGAGATAACAACAACAACAAAAACCAATTGTGTTTTCCTCACTGCTTAGGTGCAGATGTCTCTCGTGTGCGAAATAACATGGTATAAGTGTCCCGTTTTCAAGTTGCTGTGCCGTTGTCTCATCGTGTTGGGGAAAAAAAAGCCGCTATTGAAATTGCGTCTCATTTTTGCACTGGGATAGGAAGAGTCGGGACAAGCTATCGACGCAGTCCCTCGCCCCGCTGAATCAGAAGAGAGCGAGCGTGCAGATCATAAACTGAACTATGAACATGTTTTTTTTTGTTTTTACCAGGTAAGGCCCACTGAGCTACGTATATCGTTCTTTTTCAGAAGCGACCTGGCCACAAATGATAGCTCAACGAAGTGGCTTGCCACGTGGATATTCCTAGCAGCCAAATTACTCTAAACGCGTGTTTCTAAATGTGGAGGGAAAAACCGGAGGACCCGGAGGAAAAATCCACGCGACCACACGGGGAGATAGAACACGCAGACTCAAAAAATATACAAAGGTCAGGGTTCGGGATCGAACCCACATGCTCCTGTATACCAGGCGAGGTAGTTAACATCTCGCCACCAAACCAGCAGCCTCCTGTGGCATAATTCCTCATCACTCCTCCAGCGTGTTCGCCGCTTGTTGCAGAGGTTCGCGGTTCAGCGTCGGAAAGACCGTCCCGGTCAATGCTGCCAACGATTTGGCCCATAAAATATGCACCGTCTGCTTCGCAGTGGACGTTAAAGATCCCGTGACGTCATTCAAAATGAGCAGGCCATATGTGTTGCTGGCGTCATGGTCCACATTTGGCAAAAATCTGAAAGATTTCCGGGAAACTTATCAATTGGGATTACGCATAGCGATTGTTGCCCTCCCCCGCCCCGTGCTTGCAGACGAATGCCTGGCTGCAGGCCAGTTTGCCTTTGGAGTGATTGAGATGTGGTTTAAGACATTTGAGATGGTGAGCCATTTAATAAGCACCGAATCAATGTTTAGATCGAGGAGGCAGCTGGCAGGGAAACCCCCCCACTGGAACTTTTCAAAGTCGATTGTGCGACAAAACTGTTGCTTTGTTTTCATCTCGCTTGTCGTGAGACGAAGGGATTTCGATTCTGAGCTCCCGCAGTGAGCAGTGCACCACGGGGTGTTGAAGGCGACGTTACAGAGCTACTTTAGACATCACTTTTGGCAGTCTGCATTA